GCTGAAGTTAAAAAAACATATGAACAAAATAGAAAAGTTTTAGAAAATATTTTGCCTGCACATGTTGCTAAAGTAGATTAAAATTAATTGAAATTAATTTTTAAATTAATTTATTTTTAAAGCATTTTTTATGTGCCCAACCAACTAAAAGGTCTGATCTTTATTCTGAAGGAAGAGAAAATGTTTGTATTATTTTTGTTACAATTACTGAATTTGATAAATTTTATATGGGTAAATAAAATTAAATATTTAAATAACTTTCTTTTAAAAAAAGAAATGGATACTAATCAAGAAGGAAGGGAATGTATTCGAGTTTTAAATGAAATTATTGGAGATTTTGATAATGTTTGTATTTTTTATAAATATTTTATTTTTAATTTTTCTTTCAGATTTTGAGTGATCCAGAATTTCATTGTATTGAGAAAATTAAAGTACCCCCTAAATTTTAATTAATTTAATTAATTTTAATTTAAAGACAATATCGACAACATTTATGGCAGCTTCAGGCTTAACAGGAAGTACTTGTGGTTCTTCCCATGTTGTGGCTGTTGCTAATTTTGCTTTAGCTTTATTTTCTCAATTAGAAGAATTTAATGCACATTCTTTTGGAAATTTTAATTTAAGAATTGGAATAAATGTTGGGCCGGTAGTTGCTGGGGTTATTGGAACAGAAAAACCTCATTATGATATTTGGGGGAATTCTGTTAATGTTGCCTCTAGAATGGATAGTTCTGGTGTTCCTGGACGTATTCAAGTGAGAAAAAAATTATTTTTTAAATAAATTAAAATATTAAACGCCTAAGAATTTTATTTTGATTTTGAGTTTTGGAAGGCTGGGCTACGGTGGAATTTGTAAAAAAAGTTGTAGGAATAAGATTTTTTATTCTAGGAGTATGTAACAAAATAATTAAGAGTATGTAAACAAATTAAAATATTTAATTTTTTAGGTAACCGAAGAAACAAAACAAATTCTTGAACGTGAAGGTTTCGAATTTGAATGTCGTGGTGAAATTAATGTTAAAGGGAAAGGGTTAATGACTACTTATTTTTTAAAAAATCCAAATGGTGATGATTTTGATGATAATATTTCTTCTCTTCCTTTAACAAAAAGACGTAGTAGTAGTGCTGTGCCGGGAAGTGGATTTCATCAACAATCAAATGGTGTTAATAATATTCAACAACAACAACAACCAAATGGAACAATTTAAATAAAAAATATAAAAATAGGAGATTTTTTTAGAAATTTTCAAAATTAATTCTTGAATACAGGGAAGGGAACTAATAAATATAGGATTTATTTTTTCTTCTTTTCTCTTTTATTTTTTATCAATTGGGGAATTTTTTGTGAACATTTTTAAAATTAATATTTCCTAGTTGTTATATCTCTATTAATTAATTAATATTTTAAGCCCAGAGCTTTTTTTTTAATTTTTCCATTTTATCTTTTCTTTTCCCTCATTTTCTTTTTAAATACCTTTTAAATCTAAACTTTTGTCAGATTTTGGCATATTTTTATATTTAATAATTTTTAAATATTTTTTGTGCCTTTTCTTCCTCTGTACATTCTCGGTGAATAATTGTAAATATTTCCTTTATTTAATTTCCACGTCAAAAACAAATAAATACGAGTTTTTATTTTATTTTTAAATACTATATAGCATGGGGAGTATCCGTTAATATCCTCTTTGAAATTTTGCCTTTTATGGCTATTATTTACTCGATTAACATTAAATATATCTTTTTTAAATAAAAACAAAGGTATATATCAGGCCTGCACATGGACACGGATTTTACTATACATGTCCGGATATATCCGTGAGGCCAATATCCGTATCCGTTAATATCTGTGCAACTTTTGAGCATACCACCCGCAGGTATTAAGAAAATATTTGAGGGGATTTTAAATTAGCATAATTATTATTTCTATAATTTTTATTAAAACAATCTTAGTTACAAAGAAAATTAAATGCTAGAAAAGTTGTGAAAAATGCTTTAACAGATTTTGTAATTATCTGTTTAATTAATTTACTCAAAATTTAACCTTATGACAAAAAGCAAACTACGGAATTAAAGATATTTTCATGATTTATTTACATTGAAGTTGAAATAACAATCTTAAGCTTACTAATGGAAAAATTCACGAGATATTCAAAACAATTACTAAATCTCCAGACGATAAAATTAGTTTTTATGAATTTCTAGTAGACTGAAGAACAGTTATGTGAAGCATCCCTAATGCTATTATTAAAGAAATGAACACAGAAATGCTAACAACAGTTCTTTATCGCTAGCAAATACATACAATACAGCAAAATACATCAAAGGATTACAAAAATAATGTGAACAGAAACATATCTACAATATATTTAGGCACAATTATATCTATACATACAAATATATAGGGATGACAAACAAATGTGGATGAGTTTAATCACAATACATATATTCGAATATCACAAGGAGCTTCCTCATCCCGTCATCCTTTCCGGTGTCCCTTCTTTTTTTCCTTGCCGCTCTTGTCTTTCGCGCTCCTTTCCTTTGCTGTCGATCCTTCCCTTTTAGATGGTCGCGATGGTTTGCTATTGCCTTTGGTGTCATCTACGCGGCTACGCTGGCTGTCAGTGATCCTCTTCATATTGTCGTCGAACCATTGAAGGGCTACCTGCATCGCACACCTGTCGTCAGCATCGCCATTCCAGACATGTCCCGTTATGAATTCAGCGAATTCCCTTGGCGCTTCGTCTGGGAATTTCATCCGGTCACCCATTATCACCTAAATGTTTAAAAAAATTTAATAGATTCCAACCCCCTAAAACACACCCTTCTTGCAACGTCGTTATTGGAGCCGAAGTTTTGGTAGGGATTACCGCCGTTCGCAAAGATCTCCCAGCAGAGGATTCCGAAGGCCCAAACGTCCGACTTCTTGGTGCAGACCCGATCCCTCATCGTCTCCGGTGCCAACCACTTGATCGGGAGCTTTTGATCCTTGTCGAGCTTGATTTCCGTGTCACCAGGCAGCAGCTCACGAGCGAGCCCAAAGTCAGCAATTTTGACCTTAAAAATTAGAACAAAAATTAGCAATTAAAAAATTTTTGAATTGTGCTACCTTTTGTTCGCTGTAAAGGCAATTCCTTGCCGCGATGTCGCAGTGGACGACGTTGTTCTCGTGAACATGGCTGAGACCAGAAGCGGCTCCAAGACACATGTACAGCTTGCTCCTTGGGCTCCTCTGGATCTCCTGCAGATAGTCCTTCAGTGCACCATTTGTCGCGAGCTCCATTACAATCATCAGCGGCTCCTGACCAACGGCTACACCTTAAGGTTTGAAAATATTTTTAAAAAAGACATGAGACTTCATCCCGAAACTTACCATAAGACTGGATGACGTTTGGATGCTTGAACTTGCGCATTATACGTGCCTCGTTCATGAACTCCTTTATCTGCTCCTTTGTACACTTGGTCAGTGTCGCCTCTTTGATGGCTACCTTCGCCTTCTCAGTTTTGCTGATCCTGAGCTCTCCGCGTCTTACGATGCCAAATGCGCCTGCTCCCAGCCTTGCTCCACTGATAATGTCTGCATGCGCAAGCTCCCATTCCTTTCTCGACATGGGTTTGGTGATGATGACATTACTCCCCTGAAATTAAATCTCGGTAAAATTTTAGTCAGGATGCGCTGTACCGAGCAGACAGGTTGACGGCTTTGCATGTGGCTGTCGACAAAATCCCTCAATGTTTTGTAGCCCTTGTCTGATTTGAAATCGATGGAGAAGCGTCCTTTCTCCTCACGGAAGATATAGTGCTTGACGTTGCCGTAGACGACCGACAGGACGAACGTTCTTGCATCGCCTGCATTCTCTTCACTCTTTCGGAGCAGGAATTCGCCATTCGCCTTCAGCATTGCAACGGTGTCCTCACGCGGAAGCTAAAAAATTAAGCGAACATGAAGCCTATTAAGAAAAAACGAAAATTAAGCTTACCAATCCATGGTAGTATGGTAGCGCCCACAGGTCTCGTTCAGACTCCATTGGTAGAGAAGCGGTAGAAGTGTTTACAGGGCAGCGAAGCGGTAGAAGAGCGTTTACAGAGCAGCGAAGCAGTTGAAGCAAAAGCCCGTGTTGTGAGTCGTTGTGTTGTGTTATCTCAAGTTCTGCTGACTTTTATATGTACATACCTATGTCTCCGCCTTGGTAATGGTGCAGAATTGGGGAGACACCTCAAAAACACCTTAAAAATTAATATTTTTTTCTGCAAATAATTTTATACAGGTAATCGACCATGCTGATTACGAATCTGAGCTTAGAATTTGGTTATTTCGAATCCCGGACTCGATCTCGACCAAGTCGAATTCGGGGTAAAAATTCCCGAACCGAATTTCAAATATCCAAATGATAGCTCATTCGAAAGAGCTCGTCGAGTTGAGTCGAATTGTATCAAAATTAATCAATTTCGACCATTTTAGACGAAGTTGTAATCAATGAAATACACGTTTGTAAAAAAGATATAGGTAGATTCAATATACAAATCAGGCATCATAACTCAGTTTAAAGTTGTCGAAACTGATTAATTTTGATACCATTCGGCTCAACTCGAATAGATGTATCAGATTAGCCCTAAATTTTTAATTTCGAATTTTTACCCCGAATTCGACTTGGTCGAATTCGGGTCCGGGATTCGAAATAAGCAAATTCTAAGCTCAGATTCGTGATCAGCATGGTCGATTACCTATACAAAATTATTTTCAGAAAAAAATAATACCTTTTAATGTATTTCTGAGGTGTCTCCCCAATTCTGCACCATTACCTCGGCCTTAACCAAAAAGTCATATAAAAGACATCTAAAAATTCTCAACATAACTCAGTACGACTCGACAACACTAAAATTGCGCTTCGTCTGCATCACGACTACTGCTGTTTCGGGACGCCGTTGCTGTACCTCGTCAACGTTCGACTTTCCAACGATCTTCTACTCTGCGGGTTGTCTTCTCAATTTGCTCACAGCCAATGGAGTCCGACAAAAACCTTTGGGAGCTCCCATATTACCATGGATTGGTGAGTCCATTTTTTTTAAGTAACTAATGTTGATCCGTTTTCCCTTAATTTATTTTTAGCTACCGCGAGAGGACACTGTTGCAATGCTGAAGGCGAATGGCGAGTTCCTGATCCGAAAGAGTGAGGAGAATGCAGGCGATGCAAGAACGTTCGTCCTGTCGGTCGTCTACGGCAACGTCAAGCACTATATCTTCCGTGAGGAGAAAGGACGCTTCTCCATCGACTTCAAATCAGACAAGGGCTACAAATCAATAAGGGATTTCGTCGACAGCCATATGCAAAGCCGCCAACCCGTTTGCCTGGTACATTAGAAATAGAACATAAGCTTAAATGACAAGATATTTTTAGGCCAGCCATGTTATCATCACCAAGGCCATTGGAAGGAAGGAATGGGAGCTGGCACATGCGGACATTGTGAACGGAGCAAAGCTGGGAGCTGGTGCATTCGGCATTGTAAGGCGCGGAGAGCTCAAGATCAGCGGCGGACAGACGGTTAAGGTAGCCATCAAAGAGGCGACACTGACCAAGTGTACAAAGGAGCAGATAAAGGAGTTCATGAACGAGGCCCGTATAATGCGCAAGTTCAAGCATCCAAACGTCATCCAGTCTTATGGTAAGTTTCGGGATGAAGTCTCATGTCTTTTTTAAAAATATTTTCAAACCTTAAGGTGTAGCCGTTGGTCAGGAGCCGCTGATGATTGTAATGGAGCTCGCGACAAATGGTGCACTGAAGGACTATCTGCAGGAGATCCAGAGGAGCCCAAGGAGCAAGCTGTACATGTGTCTTGGAGCCGCTTCTGGTCTCAGCCATGTTCACGAGAACAACGTCGTCCACTGTGACATCGCGGCAAGGAATTGCCTTTACAGCGAACAAAAGGTAGCACAATTCAAAAATATTTTTATTGCTAATTTTTGTTCTAATTTTTAAGGTCAAAATTGCTGACTTTGGGCTCGCTCGTGAGTTGCTGCCTGGTGACACGGAAATCAAGCTCGACAAGGATCAAAAGCTCCCGATCAAGTGGTTGGCACCGGAGACGATGAGGGATCGGGTCTGCACCAAGAAGTCGGACGTTTGGGCCTTCGGAATCCTCTGCTGGGAGATCTTTGCGAACGGCGGTAATCCCTACCAAAACTTTGGCTCCAATAACGACGTTGCAAGAAGGGTGTGTTTTAGGGGGTTGGAATCTATTAAATTTTTTTAAACATTTAGGTGATAATGGGTGACCGGATGAAGTTCTCCGACGAAGCACCAGCGGAATTCTGTGACTTCATGACGAGGCAGGTTTGGGCCGGTGACGCCGACGACAGAAGTCCGATGCAGCAAGTGCTTCTATGGTTCGACAATAACATCAAGCGCATGACCGACAGTCAAAGGAGCCGCATGGACAACACGAGAGGAGGCAGCTCAAAACCAGCTCGTCCGACGTCAAAGGAGGGAACAACTGCGAAGGAAAAAAGCGGGAGGGAGAAGAATGAAAGCGGGCGAGATAAGAGTCAGAAGGGCAAGAAGGGACACCGGAAGGGATGACGGGATGAGGAAGCTCCTTGTGATATTCGAATATATGTATTGTGATTAAACTCATCCACATTTGTTTGTCATCCCTATATATTTGTATGTATATATAATTGTGCCTAAATATATTGTAGATATGTTTCTGTTCACATTATTTTTGTAATCCTTTGATGTATTTTGCTGTATTGTATTTGCTTGTGATAAAGAACTGTTGTTAGTATTTTTTGTGTTCCGTATTTCCTCTAAAATAATATACCGTATTTCCTCTAAAATAGCACCCTTTCAAATACATAAACTCCCTCAGAGGTCGATCGAAAAATAGCCCCCCTCTCTAAAATAGCCACCCCCCATAAAAATATAATTATTTTTGGAATTTTGTTTTTAAAGCATATGTAGCACAGTCCCTATAGTTCAATAGATTAGAAAGAATTAATATGAATATTGGGGGATTTGGAGTGATTAAAGTGAATATCAGAGGACAGTTGTGTCAGAGGACAGCCTTTAGAAGTGCTCTTAAAATGCAGGCAACCGAAAATTTCCCAACAGCTTGGGGCAATACTTTTGACAGCGAGTGTAATTTCCAAAACTTTTTTTTTTAAATTCGAAATTAAAAATTAATTTTTGTACTTTATCAAATCCATTTTGTGAAGAAACTGCAGCCCAATTTAAATTTTGATAAAATGAATCAGATACGAGACTAAGTGAACGTGTTAAATCGTTAGCGTAACAAGATTCGCAAGAACTTAAGGCATCCTATTTCAAATAAAAAAATAATTGGAAAAATAAAGATTAAAATGTGGGAGAAGGAGAAAATGTGGGAAAGGAAGGAAAAGAGGATCATATCCGTATCCATCTGATGCAAAAACAGTATCCATATCCGTCCGTATCCGGATATATCCGCGGGTATCCGGATATTTTCCGTATTCAAGTACATATGTATATTTACAGAAAAAATATTTTTATTTTTTTATTCAACAAGCATTTTTAAAGAATTCTAAAGGCCAATCAAAATAAAATATTGTAGCATTAAGTAAAGATAAAAAACTTAAAATTATTTCAAATCTAAAATATAAAAAATTACCAAAGAACATAATTTTTTCCTTTAAAATTTTGCATTAATTCGGCTGTCTGAAATATTTATTTTTTTTAATTTTTAAAGTTAGAAAAAAACTTTGCATGGATGGATATTGTAAAAAGCAATTCCAAGGAATGGATGTTCTCCTTGTGATATAAATTCTAAAAATTCATTTGTTTCTTTTCGAAAAGTAAAATTCTTAAAATCTTCTAAAGGAATAAGTTTTCCATTTAAAAAAAGAAGGAAAATTAATTTTAATTTTGAATAATTAAATTTACCAAAATTATAAATATTAAACCAAAAAACCGGCACAGAATACGCCTCACTTTTTAAAAATACTTAAATATTTAAATAGTATATTTAATTGTTAATACCTATAACAAATTGAACAACATCTTTTGTATTTTTTACCAGAAATATCACAAACAAAATCATTCATTTCCATCCATTTTCTATTATTTAACTAATATTTTTAAATTTTGTTTAGAAAAAATTAATTTTACATTTTTAATTATCCACGGATTTTTACATAATTTTAAACTAAAATCACAAATTTGTTGAATATCTTCAATAAATTTTTGTTCACAAATCATCACTTTTTAATTAAAAATAATTTAAAATTATTTCAAAATTTTTTGTTAATTTTCAAGTAATTTTGAGATTGAACATTAAAGCTAATTTTGTAAACAAATATTCTTTAAATTTCAAAACAAAGCACTTTTAATATTTTTCCAAAATTTAAAAAAACGAAAATTTCAATGATTAAACAAGTGGTGTGGTGGGGGAGAGAGGAGGTGGAGGGGGTAAGTCAAGTTTATGTGTCAAAAGAAAATTTTATAATTTTTAAAATCAAAAGATGTATTGACGAGGCAATAAATTCTGAAAGTAAATATAGAACATTAAATAATCAGTTAGGAATACAGAAAAAAATTTAATAAAAGATAAACTAAAATTAAATTTCCATTTAAACATTACAAAAAAAAATTGTGTATTTATTTATTGTTAAACAAAAATGTTTTGGGGTGGGGGAAGAAAAAAAAATAAAGTTGTTACAAATCGGTTGATGCACAATTATTGTTTCTTAATATACACAAACAAATGTGTAAAATATATATAGATTGGTGAAGAAAAGAAAAATTGAGAGGATTTTTATGAAAAGAAAAATTGAGAGGATTTTAATTTTTATATGGTTTGGGTACTCTTTTTTTAGCCACGCCCTTTTTTCCTTTTCGATCATTATTCTTTTACTCTTTTTCCCTCTCAACCATCAATCAATTGAGTTGAGGTCAATTTTTTGTTTAAAATAAAGAGAGAAATAGAGCTGACTCGGATGACTCATAGAGCTGGGCTGAGACGTATGGCACTAAACTCGGTCCGTGAGATCTCTGAGCTGAATTACTGGGGTCCAAAAATTTCTAAAAAGAGGTAAAACGGTCGGCATTTTGTAAAAAATATGATTTTAAACATGCAAAAACTGGAAAACACAATAAAATACGGGACCATTAGTTCCAAAACGTAGAACCGGGATACCTATTGGCATTTAAATAATTGAAATAGATAAAAATAAGGGTACTTATGAAGATGGAGGTGCCCTTTCTGCGGACTTTTTTTTGCGGACTTTTCTTCCTTTCTTTTACATATTTTACTTGTAGCAACTAACTGTCAAAGACCCTCCCCCTATTATTTTTCTTACCTAAGTTTGTACATAAAGGTCAGATTTTCTGCTTCCTTTCCTTCCTCTATTTGCCCTGTGGCATATTCAAACAAGAGACATTGGTGAAGAGAAGATTAATTTCATAGTCATACACTTATTTTTTGCCTTCGAAAACAATTTAAACAAAAAAAGAATTAAATAAAATTGATTTGGTGTATAACATTATGAATTTCTGTGTAAAAACTTTACATTCTTATATTTAAAAATATTGAACAACTGAAAAAATAAATCGTACTCAATATTGAACAACTCAATTAATTTTAATCTTCTCTTTATCAACTATGTCTCTTGTTTAAATATGCCAAGCTCAAATAGAGGAAGGAGAGGAAGAAGAAAATCTGACCATTTTGTACAATCATAGGTAATAAAAATAATGAGGGGGGGTGGGACAAGGATTGAAATTACCCGAATTTCTGTTCCAAAATCACAAGTTCTCATTCTATGAAGCATTCCGAGATCAGTAAGCCATTGTTGAAATTCAGTTTCGGGCAATTTAATTTAATCATGTAATTTAGTTAAAGTAAAATTTTTTATTGATTGTAACATTTTTAGCGTCTATAACGTTTAAATTAATTGTGAACACATATTTTTCAAATGGCATACAAAATAATCCTTTGATAGTTAATTGCTACTAGCAAAACTTGCTGAAAGCAAAACAACAAAACATTTAAAAAGAAAGGAAGAAAAGTCCGCAAAAAAAAGTCCGCAGAAAGGGCACCTCCATCTTCATAAGTACCAAAATAAGAATATTGATTCAAATGTTAATTCAATTTTGGTGAAATTGGAAAGGAAAATTAATCTTTTCATTGTTAATGTCTCTCACTGAAAATGCCACAGGAAAAGTTAAGTAAAATCGAGGAAGAAAGAAAGGCTGACCATTCTGTCCATATTAAGGTTGATTGATGAAGGAAAAGGAAAAAAGGGCGTGGCTAAAAAAGAGTACCCAAACCATATAAGTTCCAGATTTTTTTTTAAATTCGAATACTCAAATATTAAAAAAAATATTTTAAAAACCTCACAATTAATTTAATCCAATCTCGTCAATATAACACAACAATATAGAGAATATACCTATTTATTGTTGAAATAAGATCTCTTCAATATTTTCCCTTCCCGTTAAAGTTTTCTTTCCTTACCCCTTAAATGTCCAACCAAATTTTACATCTCTTCAATTGTTATCTTTAAAAAATAAAATTTATTTAAAATATTTTACAAAACAAAATTTACATTTTCCCTTTTTGGCCAACGCAATTCTTCAAAAGTTTTTGATGTGTTCATACTTGAAACCTATAAAAAGAAAATATTAATTTAAATTATTGGACAATAATAAAAACCTCTTTTTTCGGTCTGTCAGAATTCCACAAACGAAAATGAGTCCTCTCAAAACCAATTGATTCAGCATAAATAATTAACATTTCCACACTTTCATCACGAGAAAATCGTCTCATTTTCATTTCTCCATTTGGACAACGAAAACGAATAGAAATTGCCTTAGGATCAGATTCTTCTGGCTCAGGTGGCAAAATCATGGCAAGTTCATTAAGTCGACTTTGTTTCTTTGCTAGCAATCGAAGATTCTTTTCTTCAGCTTCCCTAAAAAAATTTCGAAAATAAAATAAATTCTTGCGAAAAAAACCTTTCTTTCGTCTTTTGTTCATGTAATTCTTGCTGTTTTGCTTTGTCTAAAGCCAAACTACGTTCATATTCCTGTGCCTGTTCTTGTCGAAATAATTCCCTTTCAAGTCGTCCACGTTCCTCTTCTTGGTTTTGATGCCGAATTCCTTGGTATTGGTCTAGACCGATCATAAGTTTCTGCATGGCACTTGCCACATCTTCTTGACCTTTTTATTAATTAAAAACATTAAATGCTAGAAATTTAAATACTTTTAAACAATTTACCGTAAATAAAAGTGTTCTGTTGAAAGGAACTCCGATCTTTGCATAGAATAATCAAAAGCGGATATTTTCCAGACATGCTTGATACTTTAAGAATTTCAACAAGATTCCCTAAGTTAGCCAAATTCATCCAGTCAAAAAGAGTCTTGCGGTTCTGTTCTTGAGTAACATCCCATGCCCAAACAAGAAATTGACATTTAAGCAAATTACTAATTTCAACCGAGCACAACACCTTTAAGTGGGTAAAACATTATATTTAAAAAATAAAATACAAACATTCTGAGGAAAAATATGAGCAGCAACAGAATCATCATGATGCAGGTATAAAACCAATGGACGACGTTCTTCAATATTTGGATTGTCAAATGCCTCAGTAATTGCTTTTTGCAACGGGCCATCAAAAAACGGGGGATGTTGAGCACCATATCTTTAAAAACCAGGAATTAAGCACTGAAACCATTAAAATTTACAAACCTCGATTGAAAAACAGCCGTAAAATTCTGAATTGCCTCGTGAATTGAAGTAAAATCTGTCGGAATTAAGGGAATTCTATCACTATTTTGATTGTGAAAGTCTTTCTTGTCAAGTAATTCGAGAGGAGAATCTGAACGAAAAGTGTAGTCTGCATAGTCTTCATCATCAGAATCGACCAAATACTGGGTATTATTTAAAGGGTTATGAGAACTTGATTGATGACGTCCTTGTCCAGAACTAGTACCACCTGCGTCCACACCATTTTCATTACGATTTGTATCATTAGCTTTGTGAGTGTTGCTATTACTTCGTTTATCATTATCCATAGTTGTTTATTTTGGCTAACCAAGATTCTCTTAATCTAAAAATAATTAAAAAAAATTAAATATCAAAAATAATTTCGAGAAAGGATGACATTAACGGAGCAGCACAGTTGAGTCTGCTTGTGAATTCTGAACGATTTTTCTCTGTGTGCTTTCCAATTTATCAAAATAAAGGGATATCGCTTCGACCCAACTAGGAAAAAAATTTCACGTGTTTAGAGCTTTAAATTGATAAAAAATTTATTTGAAATGGTTCAAATTTAAAAAAACTATGGATCGAAAAACGCTCAAGCGTGCGACTCAACAGAACACAATGAAAAGGGACACGCCCGAAACGGCGCGGGCCAAAACGGCGCGACCGAAACGGCGCGACCGAAACGACGCAGGCCGAAACGGCGCAAGGCCAAAACGGCGCACGACCCAAAACGGCGCAAAAATTTCCCATAAGCTATTGTTACATGAGGTTTAGCTCGAATGGTGATCGTATCTTTTGGAGATGTGAACAAAAAAAAGCAGATGTAAAGGTCGCATTTGGACAACATCTTGTGATAACAGAGTGATAACAAAAACTGAGCGATAACAAAACTAATTAGATCGTATACTTACTAGTAAGTATAACTGCGAGAAATAACTGCGGGATTCAGATAGTTCCAATAACTATATTACTAGTTAGTTTCCCCTATAACTACATTTATTACTAGTTAGTTTCCCCTATAACTACATTTATTACTAGTTAGTTCTCCCTATAACTATATAGTTATCGCCATATTATTACTGTAACCAGCTAGACTTAGGTTATTTTTATTCTGGTCGTTGATGTTGGAACAGTCTTGACCGTTGCTGGAACAACTTATCTCAATGTTGGAACGATCTTCCACATTGTTGAAACAATTTTCCCGTAATATGCAAAACCTTATTGTAGAATTTAAATAGTTCGAAGGATCAATGTACGCAAGGGTGGTTATCGATTTTTGATCAATCACTAAAGTCAGATCGATCACGAATAGGTTGATCACTAGAGATCAATTGAGCACTCTCACACTTGATCACATGATGATAACACGATTAATCACTATCATTGTGCAGTCTAGGGTTTGCGCCGTTTTGGGCCGTGCGCCGTTTTGGCCTTGCGCCGTTTCGGCCTGCGTCGTTTCGGTCGCGCCGTTTCGGTCGCGCCGTTTTGGCCCGCGCCGTAATGGGCTGTACCCCAATGAAAAGTAGATGAGGACGTTTCAGATTTGATGATCAGATACCCGGTTCAGTGTACATTAAAGGTACGACCATTCAGATACGTGAATTTTTGGACTTGAAGATCCTTTTACTCGTATTTTTAATTTTTCTTACTTTCTAATGCAAATTTAAAAAAAAGTTTAATAAATTTTTCTAAATTTTTAAAAAGCGGTCGAGTCTTTGCTCTAGACATTTCTTGGGTTATTTATGGTTTTCAAATTTATCGGGCTTAACATTTTAATGGCTGATAAGAAAAGAGATTCAGTTTAGTGAGGGCTTTCCACCTTCTTCAACGAAAAACTTTCCATCTTTTTGAATCAGTCTTGAATCCCTCTAAAATAGAATTTTCATTAAACATTCTTTTCGAATAATATCCTAATCGGTATTTAATTAGCACTTTTGAGGGATTACATTTTTAGAGAGAGAGAAAGGTTGTTTGATTAAATATTTTTAATAATTTTTTTAATCTTTTTTTTTGGGAAAACTTGTTATTTTCCTCATTATTTTTTAAATAATGAGTGTATTAAAATAAATTTTGAAAATAATTTTTTTTTGTTTTGTCCATTTTAAAAAACAATTTATTTGAAATACATAGATACTATATTTTTGAAATAAGAAACAAATAAAATATTTTTAAAAAAATAAAAATGGCAGCAGAAATAATTAATAAAGAAACAGAAAAACCTCACAATAATTTAGTAGATTCAACAATGACTAATTCATCTAATTCAATTAAAAGTCAAACAAAACCTCCATTCGAATTAAAACAACCTTTAGCTGTTTGGCCAATAAAATTATCTTTAATAATTTTTGGAATTCAATTTTTGGAAAGATTTTCTTTTTATTTTTTAAAATGTACATAATTATTTAATTATTTTTTAATTTCTTTTTTCTTAAAGCTACACTTTCCAATCATTTAATTGATAATTTGGGAATGAATATTTTAACAGCCAATACTTCCCAAAAATTAATTATTCAAGTTACCTTTTTTGCTGCAATTGTTGGGGGAATTATGTGTGATATTAAATATGGAAGATATGGGTAATTAATTAATTAATAAAAACAAAATCTGTAAATATTTTTTAAAGTACTCTTGCCTGGTTCTTTCCAATTTATTTTGTTGGCCAAGTATTAATTACATTTAGTCCAATTATTCCTTTACCTGGATTTTTCCATCCGTAAAATTAATTTTTTTTAAATAATTTCTTTTTAATTAAAAAGTTATTTTGATTTTTTTGCTCTTTTTCTTCTTTCTTATGGTTGTGGATGTATTAAAGCAGTTTTGGCTGCTTATGGGGCTGATCAATTTAAGCCTCCTAATGTTACCCAAATTGGATGCTTTTTTGCTTTATTTTATTCGTTGGAACAATTTTCAATAATTTTTGGAATTTATTTACTTCCAATAATTAAATGTATACATATTTTTAATTTAAAAAGATTTTTCTAAAAAATATTTTCTTAGTTTTCTCTCAAATACCAACAGACAAACCTTTATTAAATGTTCTTTCTTTAGCTACATTTTTACTTTTAATTTTTATTGGTTATTTTTTAATTAATTTAAATTAATTCTTTTATTTTTCTTTAAAGTAATTTTATTTGGAACATCTAATTATTTTTATAAATTTATTCCTCAAAATAAAAACCAAAATATTTTTATTAAATCATTTAAAATAATTAAACAATCATTAATTAATAAATATCGTCGAAAACCTTTAATTACCTCAACAAAACAACCAACCCCTAAATATTTATTAGAATATTTCCTTATTGACCATAATTGTCAGAGAGATAGAGAATGTGATTTTGGAAGAAAAAATATTTGTGAACAAGTAAAGAGAGATAAATATATTTTTAAATTAAATTAATTTTAAAAAAATATGTAGACAAAATTTATTGGTGAATTACAAACAGTTATTCAAATATCTTTTGTTTTATTGCCACTTTCTCTTTTTTGGGCACTTCGAACTAAATTAGTAAATTTAAACTTAAAAAAATATTTTTAATTTTTAATTATATTTAGATATCAATTAATATATCACAAATTCAAAATATCGACACTAAACTACCATTTATTGGCCAATTACCTGACCAGATTTGTTGCTTATTACAACCTATTTTTGTTATTTTATTATTACCTCTATTTTATGTAAAATTTTTTTAATTATTTTCTTTTTATAATTATGCCGTTTTTTCTTTTTTTATGCTTAAATAATTACCCCTCTCAAATAATTACCCTCTCGAGCGAGAGTTTGAAACAAATTTTAGCATGTACGGTAATTATTTTTCCACCCCTAGGAAAATGTTGAATTTTTACTATCCATAATTTAAAAAAAATATATATTAAGATATCTATTCAGAAATACTAAAACTTAATTGTATTTCTAGACATAAAAAAATTAATTAAAAGAACACATTTAAATTTAAGGAATATTAAAATTTATTTAATTTATTTTAACAAAAATATTTATTAGATGTTTATTTTCAAATCTCCTTCAATTAGTCAATGTTTATCATTAAATACGTAAATTTATTTTCATTTTTAGAAAAATCTTTTTAATTTTCTAGTTATCTTCGCCGTATATTTATTGGTATATTTTTATGTTCTGTAGCTTGTTTTTGTTCTGCAAATATTCAAAAACTTTTATTATCAAATAACAATTCTTTAATTAAATCAACAGAAGATTTTACTTTAATTAAATTATTTAATTTATTCCCCTCAAAATGCTCTTTTTCGATTTCTAAAATTAATTCAAAAGAAAATTTTGTTATTATTGAGGCAAATAATTCAAATATATTTTCTTTAAAATCAGAAGATTTAACTGCTGGTTATGTTGATTTATTATTTCGTTTTAATGGGTAAAATATTTAATTTTTCTCCCCAAAAATACACATTTTTATCCCTCTTTTAAGCTCTTCTTGCTCTAGCCATCGGAAAAATTTACTTAGAATTTGGCTTAATTCAGCAACAAATAATCAATTTAATATTGCTTTAGTTGGCCCTCAAGGAATATTTTTTACATCTTTAAATATAAAAAATACAAAAACAAATGGACCTTCAAATTATTTGGGGTTTTCTTTTAAAATTATTTTTAAAAACAATTATTTCTTTTAAAGATTTTTAAATCTTATACCTTGTAATTCCCTCTCTTCTTCTTTATCTTCACTTCCTTCTGAATGTTCTAATTCAACTAATGATATATTAACACAAGCACTTACTCCATTAAAACAATCTTTATCTATTTGTGATGATTCTAGTAATTGCCCTATTAATTGGGATTTAAATGAAGTATTTTTAATTAATTTAAATTTATTTTTAAATAAATTAAAAAAGATTTTGTCTTCAACTTTTTTTGTTTTTCCACCTAATGGCGATAATGTTGGGAAAGGCCGAGGAAGTGTTTATCCAATTAAAGCTATTCCTACAGGAAAGTAATTATTAATTAAATTATTATTTAGTCAAATCTCTCTCTTTCTCTTCATTTAGTTTTCGAAAATTATTTGTCCTTAAGTATTTAACCAAGTTTTGCTAGTCACTTACTTGAAACTATTTTTTTTAATTTAGTCATTTAAATCTGTCTCAGAGATTGGATTAGATAGACTTTACATTAATTAAAAATTAATTAATTTTAAAAAAGATATCAATTTTCTGATTTAATTCCCCAAACAATTATTTCAACAACAACAAATTCATCAATAAATCCTCTTCCTTTAAATACTAATTTGAGTAGCAATAATCCATTAATATCACTTCTTCCACAAAATTCCGCAATTAATGTGGATGGTACTGGATCAATATTGTTAGCAGTATTATCTTTAGATGGAAGTCCATTAGCTGGACAAAATGTTTTTTTATTTGAAATTTTTTTGAATTAATTAAGAATTTAAAGGATTCAACAACTTCTTCCTCTTTACCAAATCCAATATTTACATTTCTTTTACTTTCTGGTCCTCCTCAATTAGGCATTTTATGGTTATTTCCTCAAAATCTTTTAATAGCAGCCTCTGAAGTATTAATTTCGGTTACTGGGCTTGAATTTTGTTATATGAAAGTTTGGAATTTTTTAAAGAATTTTTTCCTAAATTTTTAAATATTTTTAGTCACCAACTTCTTTTAAAGCTACAATGCTTGGGTAAGAACAAATAAAAACATTTCTTAAAATTTTTTTAAAATAGTTATTGGTATTTAATTATGTATGTTGGATTTTCATTTGTTCCAATAATTTCTAAACTACAACCTTTTACAGATCCAGTTAATTTATTTATTTTTTATTTAAAAATTTATTTTTTTTAAGTTTTTTCAACTTTTATTTTGTTCATTCTCATTATTTAATGTTGCTTTAATTTTTGCTTTAATTGCCTATTTTTATTATAATTATCGAGACAACTCAATTAATGGAGGTTTTGTTGAAAATAATCAAAAACAATTGTTAACAGAAGAAATTGGTGGAAAATTTACTGAAAAATTAAGTGGAACTTTGAGGGCAAGTATGGCCCGTCTTCCAACTAAAAAAGTTATTAGACTTTAAAATGATGAAAGAATATTTAAAGAACAATTTTTACGTAGAATATTTTATTTAAATTTAATTTTTCTGTATTTTCCCAACAAAAATAATAATTTTCTCAAATATTACTTTAAACACTTTATTTTTTAAATCAAATCCTGACAGTTTCACAACAAAAATATAATATTAATAAATAACAACAATAACATTAATTAACAAATATTTGATAAAAGAAAAATTATTTTAAATAGGATGTCCGACTTGTGAGGACCCAACACTTGAGGATATTATCGGCTAAATTTGAATTGGCCAAAATAGGCCAATTTTTGAAAAAGTTGGCTGATTCCAGAATTTGTTAACCATAATTTTGTTTCTATTATGGATAATTATTAGATTGTTTTTATAAAATTCAGTCTTTCTGTAGTTTTACTTTATACTCAATTAAATGGAAATTATCCTCAAATGTTTGGCCCTCAAAAATCGCGTTACGATTTAGAATACGTAGCAAGTTAAATTTAATTTTAAAAACGGCAAAGATTTGCCCATAAGTCTAAACCCTGCTATAAAAAGACAGAAAAAGAAAAATAACTTTACGTAGCGTAACATACATAGAATGAAAAATATACAAAACAAAAATGTTATATGTATTTTTCTCTAAAAAAATTCAGCATACTTATGTCATTATCGCACTACTTAAGAAAAGGCGAAAAGTGAAACTTTAAGATGCTGATTTTAGTGTCCGTTTAGGTCGGGCGGGATAATGACATAAATACCAAATCCTATGAAATTAAATGTCATCATTCCAAAAACTGACACATACTACATGCTGGAAAATAAAAGGCAAGAAAGTGAAAAAATCACATAAATATTATTAACTATTTTAATTAGTTTGAAAAAAAAATATGAAAGTTTTTTATTACTTTTATTGCGTAAGTGGAAGATTACCGCTAACATGCTTAAAGAATTTTCCTTAATTAATGAATTAAAGTCCTATTCCCCTCTGAAAGAATTATGCAAATAACAGAATATAATTTAAATTAAACAATTCTAGCAGTAAAAAATCCAAAATAATTTTGCTCAAAAATTCCAACAGAATAAACCAAAATATCTAATTTTAAATTTTATTTAACTCATCGTCTGTTTGCTGGGGCTAACACTCGATAGATACGTACAATCCAATGTTCGGTTGTGTATGCTTCTTCTAAATGTTCAAAGTCAATATCCTTATTGCCAATTTCAGCATGTCGAACTCTGTCATAACCAGTAGGTCTTCCCTTAATTTTTTTAAAGATTTTAATTAATTTAACAAGTATTTACTTGTTCTGTATAGACAGCACCAAAACGATAATAACAAAGTTTATACATCATACAATTTAACATTGTTTTAGACCTAAATTTTAAAAATTTTAAACATTATTTCCTTTAAATTTACCCTTCTTTATCAACTCTAAATTCTCCATTTTTAGTAAAATAATCTGATTCATGAATATGCCGGCCCTCTGGTGTAGATCCACCAATTCTAACCATCCAGAGGAATTTATTTATATCTAAAAAACAAAGAAAAATTAAAAACAAATATTCTTTATTTAAATTAACCATCAGAGGAATATCCAGTTACTCCACCAAAAATAACCAAAACATAATCAACGTCTAATTCACGTATTATTTCAATAGCATGACTTTCATTTGAAGACATTGCTTGACCAACACGTGAAATATGCGTGTTATTCCAAGTATTATTGTCAACAATTGTCTAAAAATTCTTTAATTTATAAAAGAAATTTAAATTAATTAACAATTTAAAAAATATCAAAATAATAAAATTAGCCTCCAATTATTTAAATACCAATTAGTGACTATCTATTCTTTTGCTTTCGCCTTTGTTTTTAAACATATCCTCTCAATTTTATATTTATGCTAAATTTTATTTTTGTTACATTCCAAATAATTTTTAATTTTTTCATCTAACTTTATATTTTAAAAGAAATTATTTTTACAAGTCTGAATATTAAAATAATATTATCCAAAACGTTTTTTAGAATAATTTTTATTTACCGTTCGATCTGCCATTGCCGAAATTTGATATCCATAATCCCACCAGGACATAACCTTTGCATCAGTTGGTGTATTCTTACGTAGCCAATAATATGCCTCACGAAAATCATCAAAAATGATTCGGCCGCCATCACCCGAACGAGCTGAAAGTACAATGGAAGGACTTGAGTAGGCCTAAAATAAATAAATTTTTTAACAGCAAATTCCCCTTTACAAAATAGAAAATTCCACTTAAAGAATTTTCTTTAACCAAAATACTAATTTTCAAACCTCACTTGTCACCCAAACGCTGTGAAACACAAAAGTGCACAAACAAAATGTCATTGCTAATACAACTGCTGTTGCAATCTTTTAAAAATAAAGTTAAAATACTCCCATATTTTCTTTTGGAAATTTAAAATCTTTTACTATTCTAGTTACCTCTTGTTTATATGGATAATTGTCTTCTTTCTTTCCAACTTTTCCATAAGATTTACCTCCAACTGTATCTTTGGATCCGCTTTTTTTCTCCGTTGTACCAAATAAATCTAGATTGGCAATATAATTGCCAAGCGTGGAAGAAACGGCAATTCCACCCAAAATACACATTATTGGAGCAAGTACCAGCATCAATCTTTAGAAGAAATTATAAATGAAACAACAAACGAAAAACAAAATAACTAACCTAACCATAACACCTGCAAAATAGATTGAAGTAAGCCCATACAAAATCACAAAAATATTAGCATCAGTAAGCTGTTTGAAGCAAAAATAGAGACCAGCTAAATTTTTGTAAAGGGATGAATAATTTAGAGAAAGTAGGTTAAACATTAAAAATACTTGGAAAAGTAAAAACCAAAAATTGTAGATCAAAATAAAAGCTACTCCACGCAGTTGGCTGATGTTCGGAAACAGAAGCTATAATAGGTATGTTGTTCTTTGCATAAGAAGGATCCAAAAGAGAGTAGAAACGACCAGTCCAAGGTGCAATTTCTGTAAAATTATAAAAAATAAAGAATAAGGTTTTATTCTAACTATGTAAGAATGTAGCAACAATAAGTGCTAAAAATGCTGCACCTCCAAATACTAGGAGAACCGAACGTAATACCAATTGAAAACGATCAGCTGTCATTTTTGACCTCATCCAGCTAGCAAAAGCAACAATTTGACAAAGACCAAATACACCAAAAGCCTAAAAATTAACTAATTTGTTAAAAAAATAAGATCTTACGCCCATATGTTCAGATGTAGAGACTGGTTGAAAACCCACAAAAGGAATTTGCATTGATAAAATTGTTCCAAGCGTATAAGTTGTGCAATAAGCAACGTATGTACGATGAGAAAACCGCCCAGTACAAATAAGCGTGAGAACATGAAGCGGAATTAAATTGATGAGAAATACATAACCTCCCCAACTAAAATTAATAAAAATTAAAAATAATTGAGTTATAAAATATTTTTAAAGACGGTAAAAATAATCAAAAATAACCTAGAAACCATATAAAAGTAAGCAAGTGCGCATAAGACTGAGTAAAAAATTGACCCAGTTTTTACAGCACGAATCCAAAAATAATATGTAAGTAACATGCAAAATATGGCAATCCCCTAAAAATATTTAAAATAAAAATATTACATAAAATTTTCAACTTCGTTGTCATATGAACCAGCAACAGAACGTGAAATATAACCAGGAACTATAGCAATTAGAGCAGCTGCAATTAATCCAGCGCCCTCAGACTTTTAATAAATTAAAATAAGAAAAATATTAAAAATTACTTTAACTTCTTTAGTCAACAAGAAAGTAATTAAAACAGTAAATGAGCTAAAAAGAGGAGCAAGGAATACACAAACTTCTCGAATATCAATTGTAAAATTCAAAAAAGTCAAAATCCGATGAATAAATAAACTCGTTATCATAAGACCTGCAAAATGACAAAAGTATTTTACGGGAAAATCAAGGTTTTGGGACCACACTTTTCTCTTTTGGAATATTAATTTTAATGAAAATGAGACTATATTCATACGTTCAATAATTATATAACAGAAATTAATACTTTTTTGATGCCACAGGGAAATAGAAGGAAATTAAGGAAAACTGACCATTCTATCCATATAAAGGGAAAAAAACTTGAAAAGAAAAAAGTGGGGCTCCAGCCTTATCTTTCCCTACTTTACTCAAAAATAAAATGACCTGGATAAATAGTTCCACCAATAATTCGACCCAAAGGATACCAAGCATATGCTTAAATAATAAATTTAAAAATAATTCGAACATTAAGACAAAATTTACCATCAAACCAATTATGAAAAGCATAATAGCCATTTTCAGTTAAATATTTTGTTGTTCGATAATTGAAATAAGGATCGAATTCGTGAATAACTGACTCGAATCTAATTACTGCAAATAAACGTACAGTAAAGGCTACAATTGATGATAATGTGAGCACAAGAAGCTTAATTAATGTTTCATGTTGCTTTTCATGCCCACTCAAAAGTGATGGCAAAAATCCCATTTATTCAAAAGTAAAATTAGCAGAGCAATATATAATTATCTGAAACTAATTAAGATTAGCATAATTTTCAAAAGTATTCATCATTAATAAAGTTATTTTGTCGCACAAGTTGAAAAAATTTATTTCGATCAGCTGGAAATAACAAATTTTAAAATTAACATTTCGCCAATAAACGTAGCATTGACGTTTTGTACATAAGCTAGTTTGGCGCATGACAATTTTGCCGAAGGCAATTTTCGTTGTGATCAGATATTAAGACAAAAATTAAAAGTTTCGGTAGGCCAAGACGATTGAATTCTTCTATTTTTGTCTGCTGATAATCCAATACGCTTTCCATGATTCGGAAAGCAAGGATGAACCTGAAAAGATCGCGCCAGACTGGCTAACACCAGATTAACCACTTAATTGATCTTTTTCGTTTTTATTTCCTCACGTTTTATTCAACTATTTACATATTTATATACACGCTAAAATTTTTTTATTATAGTAGTTGTGAGTTTTTAAAATTATTCGTTGGATTAATTATCAGAAGAATTAGAAAAATGGCTTATGTAAATTCTAGTAAGTTAATTTAATTTTTTACTTATAATTTTCTTTTATTTTTAGGTGGTGAGGTTCGTGATCGTGCTGATTTTTCTATTGTCAAGACATTTTGGAATTTCGTCTATTTCGTGACATTTTTGTAAATTTTAATTTAATATTTAACAAATACTTTTTAATTTAAAGTTTCCGTGCACTTCTTGCGCCTTTATTCGGTAATGCTCAAAGTGATCCAGATCAGGGCTGATCGAAATTTCGTTTCGTTTCGTTTCGTTTCGCTCTTTCGTGCCCTTTTTTCCATTTCGTTTCGTTTCGGAACGAAACAGAAAAAAATTTATTTCGTTTCGTTTCGAAACGAAATAGCCAAAATTCCGGACGAAACGAAACAAAAAAAAGTAAGAAAATACACCCCTAATAACGGGAATTTATGGAAATAATCATTAATTTTTTAGTAATTTCTGTCTTATGAGCAGCCTAAAATTAAAAAATTTTCGCCTGCGGCGCTGAAAATGGAAGAAATTTGGCTTCTTGAGCTCCAAATTTCAAAAAATTTTCGCCTGCGGCGCTAAAATGAAGAAAACTTTTACGGGTTTTGCTAGAGCAGACCAGCCTTCCGTCGCCTAACCTACTATAGTACTCCAAATTGGATTAATTAAGGATTAAGAGGGATATGTGGGTATTGAGAATAGCACTCCACGTTACCTCCACTAAAGTATCCAATTTTCTTCCCTTTTCATCGCCGCAGACTAAAATTTTGAGGATTTTGTAAGGCCAAACAAGATTAAGGAGATATCGATGGAGCTAGATTTTTTCAATTTCAACGCCGCAGTTGAAAATTTTAAGATTTTGGTAGGCCAATGGGCAATATTCCATAAAAATTTGATAATTTTGGAAAAATCTTAAGAAGGATATAGAAGATATCGCAAGGGATAAGATGTCTCTTTTATCCCTCTTAATATCCCTCTTGATCGATATCTAAAGTGGTATACTCCAAAGTAAATTTGGATATATCGTGGGATTTTAATAGGATATCGGAGATTAAGGCGAATATATGTCGATTTAAGGGGATTAAGGTGGATATCGGCAGATTATAGGGTCCACTCTTGTTTCTGCTATTCATTTGTCACGCATCTAGCTCTTGGGGTGCATTTTTATGATTTAAATATCGATTAAAAGCATTTATGAACTGAAAAATAAATATTTTTTAATTTTCATTTTATTTCGTTTATTTCGTTTCGTTTCGTCCGAAACAAGCTCATTTCGTTTCGTTTCGCTCCGAAACGAAATAGGAATTTTTTTATTTCGTTTCGATTCGAAATAAAAAATATTTTTATTTCGATCAGCCCTGATCCAGATGCCCAATCTCGTTATCGAACAAATCTACGAGGAGGTGGTGACGGCTGGGGAGGAGGCGGTGGGGGTGGTGGAGGATGGAGACCTGGTAATAAATATATTAATTTAAAAAGCAAAAATTTAATAGGGATTTAATATTTTAATAATCCCTAAGGGAATTGGTCCCTAAAAAGAGTCCAGAAAACGAGATTAAAAGTTATCGGGAATATGAGTTGTTTAGTAATTAATATAAAATATATATTTTTAGATGGTGGTGGACCCAGACGTCCAATGGGTAGACTGAACATGGACGGCCCATCTTCTATGCCAAGTTGTCCCATGGGTGGATGTTGCGGATAATGAATTTGTGATAAATACAGTATTTTACATTAATTACTATTTTCTAAATGTAAGTAATTATCCGATGATAAACTTTCTTTTCTACATTTTTTATTATTATATGGTAAATGGAGGGCGATATAGATATTGTCGAAATAAGCCCAAATATGCATTTAGTTTTTCGATATTTTGAACAAAGTTAACATTTAAATTCTTTTTATATTTTGCCAATTTTCCTGTTTAATACTTGACAATTAGCAAATCCATCTAAATTACTTATATTAAGTAAATATAACTCCTTCAAAAGTCAGTATCTCGAGTCTAGACCATTTGTAATTTAGCGAACTTCGAGCCGTCTTGTGACATAAAAAAATATTTTTCTTATTTTTTGTTTTTTCAAAAATAGATTTAAATTGCATTTTATAATTTAAATTATTATTAAATAAATTTTCCAAAATCGTCTTTATTTAATTTTGGATTATAAACTAATAATTATTTTAAAATTATTTTGAATATTTTTTAAAATTAAGGAAACTTTTTAAATAGAAAATGAACAAAAATCAAAGATAAAAAACAATTTTATTATAAATAAATAAATAAAATATATATATTAAGTAACATATTAAAAATAATAATTACCTTCTTTTGCTATAAATATATAAATAATGATTAAATAAATGATTGTTAAATATTTATTTATATTTTTAGTGCCAATTACAAAATATATATATATTTACTCAGTTTTTATTTCCTTTTTTGTTGGACATAGCTTACCTACTTATTTTGCCAACAAACAATATAATAAACTTAATAATAATAGAGGCTTCTCGAATTTTGATGTTTTTTTTTAAATTTATTTAAGCATAAAAGTTTTCCTGAATTAAATAAAAGATATTTTTTACTTCACTAAATTAAGCTTAAAAATAAATTCATTTTAAAGTAAAGAACGTAGAAATCGGCCAATTTTTGAAAAATATACATATAGCTTTTGCTGTCTTCTAGCCATAATTTTGTTTAAACTTTGTATCATTTTATTGATAATTATTCGTTTGTTTTTATATTTAAAATTAAATCCTTTTATCGCTAATTTTTCTGCTTAATTTAGTCGAAATTATGTAGTCTTAAAAGTCGCGTCACAATAAAGATATCTTTAAATATATTTATTTTAAATAATAGTTAATTTATCATTAATTATTTTAAAATAAAAAAATTTAAATTAAATTATAAAAATAAATTCCAGTATGAAATGTTCTGGGGAAATTTTTTCCTTAACTTGGTTGAGGAAGCAGTAAGACATTTGACTTTGGCAAACCTTGATCAGTAAACACACCTGAGAACTTGAACATGGTCAAAAACCAAGTATACCCTAACCCCTGGTTTTCGATGAGAAAAAGTGCCATGGAAACTGGTTTGTACATGACTTCTATGTTTATGTACTAACAAGAATAACATGATACATAAGACAGTACTTAACAACTGAGCTTTATTTGCAATAATATATTCTCAAAAAAGTACAAATTTTTAAAAAAAAATGAAGTTGGTGGGACCCAGCCAGATATGCAACTACCCTCTGAGGCAGTTCGCAATTCAAGTGACACTTTTTTATTCAGTCGTAGTTATGTGCTTTCCGGTGACCCTTTAATAATTGTTTAAAAGAACATTTTTATTTAATTTAATATAGACAAGAATAACAATAAAATAATATTTTTTTGTTTAAATTAATATATGTACATATTAAATTAACATATTAGGTATCTTGTTTTTTAAATATTTTTTTAAATGTGAACAAAATAAAAGTTCATTTTCATATGTTTAAGTTTTTCTTTTAATGTTTAAATATTAATATTACTTTTAATAAGTTTTAATATTAATTTTAATTTTCAGTTTTAACATATCTCAGTCTAAATTCAAGTCAACATACTACTTACTACACGTTCAGTAAAATTTTAGTCACTTTCCGCCTAAAATCCCCCTAAACATCCTGACACGATAAAAGTTCTCAAAAAATGGCAACCCTATAAAATCTATATTTAAATTCATAATTTAATATAAATGAACTAAAAATATTTGTATTTTATTGTATAACAAGACTTCTTTGAAAAATTTATTTCCTTCTTTTTTATTGTAGTTCTAATTTATATTAAAGAATTTTCTGAATTTTTAAATAATTATTTTTAAATTTATTTGTTCATTTTTAATTATTAAAATTATTTAAATTTTTTAGAAATTCTAATTTTTTTGCAAATTATTCAATTAAATAAAAATTAATTTGTGAATGGATATGATTAAAAACGGTTGGATACCTTTATCCCAATATATTTTTATATTTATTGTTTCAACAATTTCTTTTTTAATTATTTGTTTTGCTTTGTGGATGATACGTTATTTAACAAAGAAAAATAATTTTGAGTGTGCCCCAACACTTTTAGGTGGTTTTTTTTAATTTAAAAATTAATTTTTAATTTTTTAAAGTTTATTTATATTCTCTACTTTTTTCTTCTTTTTGCCTTTCAATTCAATATTTTTTACTTTTGGTTTTTACTTTTTTCTTCAAAACAACTACAAAAATTATATTTTGGACTGGCTTATTCCCTGGTTCTTTATTGCCGGCAGCCCCCGTTTCTGTCCTTTTTCTTTCTTTGGATCGTCTTTTAATTGTTTTAACTCCACATATTTATTTCAAAAAAGCACCAAAATTTATTTTAGCTTTGGCTAGTTTAACAACGATTTTTATATTATTTTTTATTAATTTAATTGTTAATTATGTGGAAAGACCTTTAAATGAAATATCAGGTAGCGGATGCTTATAAAACATAAAAAGAATGGGAAAAAAGTTAGACAAAATTCAATATTTAGTATGTTTCCTCATGGAAATTAATTTAAAAAAAGTACTAAATACTTATACTTTTTACAGAAAAAAAATAATATTTTTTTTATTTTGAAACCTTTATTTTATATATTTTTTATTTTTCAAAGACTGTATTTCTTTTGGTTGTTTAACTTCTGATGCTTCTCGTTTAATTTATGCAATTAATCGTTTAGTTGTAGCTTTACCTAATTTTATATCAGGAAGTATATTTTTGGTTATTTTATTTGCCCATCGTCGACGTTTAGAAAAACAATTTGGAAATAATAAACAAAAAATTAAAGAAAATATTTCTTTAAATAAATCAAAAAGAATGGTAATTAATTAAATAAAAAATATTTTTTAATTTTTATTTTATTTAAGGGAAATCGTTTAGCTTTGTGGGTTGTTATATTCGAATTTTTATTAGATTTATTGCCAAATACAATTAATTTTTTATTGACTGCTTTTTTTGATATAAATATTTCTGTTTATGTTGGGGCATTTCGTTCATTAACTTTTTGTTTAAATTCTTTATTTGCTTCTTCAACACACACAAAAATTCTTTGGCATATATTTTCTTCTTCAAGTTTAAACAGAAAATTAATTTTTAAAAATATTTTTTTTTAATTTAGAAATTATTCCTTCAAGTAAAACAATTAATGGAAGGCCAACAATTCTACAAAATAATTTATTTAAAAGTAATTCAAATAATAATAATTTACCTGGAATTATAAATCCAGAAATTGTGAATAATTAAAAGGAATTTTTTAATTATAAAGAAGTTGGGAAAGAGAGAAAGAAAGAAAAAAATATTCTTTTTAAAATACTTTTTATTTTAATTTTATTTTTATTTCAAATACTATAATAATCCATTTTCGATTTAATTAACCTCAATATATACAAACTTTTACTACATTTCCTTTATTTCATTATATCGAGAGTCAACTGTAATTGTATTTTAAATTAATACTTTAAAATCTCATTAACACATTTCCTTGGCAACTTTCATTCCAAGTCAGCCCAATTCAGTCCAGAGAGTGTTTTTTGTCGAGACTCATCCATATTTCCGTTTAAATTTGTCAGAATTTTTAAAATTCTTTTCTGATTTTTGTGTTTATTTTTTATTAAAATTATAGAAAGAAATATGTGTCCAATAAAAGATCAATACATTTTTTTTGTTTTTTAATCCAATTTAAAATAATTTATATATACAAATGTTTAAATACATGGTTGGGGAGGGGGTTAAATATAAAATTTAAGAAAATAATATGGGGGAGGGGGGGGGGTTAAATTTAAGGAAATATATGTACATATTTAATATCACACAAAAAGTTTTTAATCAAAACATTTCTTTCACTTTTTTCACTTTTCCTTTCAATTTCTTCTTTTCTCTTCAAAAACCTCCATTCTTCTAAGCTAATTGACTTTCTCGATTATCAGTTAAATTAATCCATTTTTTATTTTTCTGAGAATTTTGTTTTTTTGTAAAATCTGTGGAAATTTGTGGAGGAATTAAAATAATTTTATCTTCATTCATATAATCTAAATAAACAAATATTTAATTTTAAATTTAAATTAAAAACAAAACTGTAAGCATTAGATACAATTGAATAACACCAAAATAAAATAAATTCAATTAAAAGAAAAATAATAAAAATTAAAAAAGTAATTGAACGGAGGGAGTCTGTAAAAAGAAAGAAAATTAATTTTTAATTATTTATTTAATTAATTAACTGTTATCGATGTCAAGAGATAATTCCAAATGTTCTTTCCAAAAATAAGGCATCCAAATCATCATTGTTCCAATAAATAAAAGATATAGAGAATTCAAACAAATTAAAATTGCCTTTTTTAAATTTAAATTAAATTAAGAGGGAAATTTTTGGGGGGTTTTTAAAAAGTCTTCCCCCCTCCTTTTTTTATTTAAAAATATTTTTTATGATTTTAGAAAAAAATTCAAATATAAAATAACCTCCTTCCTTTAAAATTTAATTAAAATATAAATTAATTTTTTAAACAAACATTTAATAACAAAAAAGGCAAATAAAGTTTAGAGCATCGTTGACGGTCAGCAAAAAGTAGTAAAACAAAAGGAACACAAAACATAGCAAATACCTTTAAATAAAAATAAATTTAATTTTAAAAAATTAAAAACATATTTACATACAAAAATTCCACAAAAAGATTGTTCTGACAATAAAAATGAAATTAAAAATGAACATGTTAAGGAACCAATTGCTCCAATTAAACGAGCACCAGTCTTTAAATTAAAATAACTAATTGAAATAAAAAAAGTAAAAATTTCTATTTAAAAGTTTAATCAAAATTTTATTTGGAAATTTTTTGTTTTATTTATTATTAGCAAACCAAAACATGAACATTTCCACAAAAACAATAAAAGTTTGGCGTGTCCATTCTACGACCAAAAAATGAAATTAGATAGTAATGAATGTTTTTAAGATTTTTCTAAATTAAATAATTAATTTTTAAATAAAAAAATATGTAAATCTTTTTTAATATAAAATAATTTGTGTGGGCAATATTAATGTATTTTTTCAATTTAAAATTTATTTTTCTAAAAGTTGTTTAACAATATTTTGAATAAAGGGTTATTAATTAATTAAAAATAGAGAGAGTTGAAATTTAAAAAATTTCCTTCCTTAACTTAAGTTTTTTAATAAATAAAATAAATATTTTAAAAGTCAATCATACATTTAATTTTAAAATAAAAATGCCACGAGATTAATAAATTTAATTGATTTATCTATTTCTCTATAATATACATATCCCCCCCCCTCCCCTCTATCTTCTTCCCTTAAATTTATTGAGATTTATCCTTCCTTTCTCTTAATCAGAATGCCCTTTTGTTATGTAATGCCGAGAAAAAAATTCGAAAGTGCAAGTGAAAATAAAATTTAAAAAAATTTATAAAGTAATAAATAAATAAAGTTTTAAAATAAATTTAGGTATCGTTTAAGGGTGAGGGTAAAACACTGTCCGATCAAAATCCGTCTGGAATTTAGAATAAAAACACCATCCAAAATTCAATTGGCGATATTATGTTATCTTGATATTTTTAGCCCTAAAGCTATTGGATCTTGGATTGTACGACATATAACTCCTATATCTAAAATTATTTTAGCTTTAAAATTCTTTACTCTAAGCGAAATGGGCGGTACTATGTTTTGATAGAACGTTGCTTTGTTTTAACAATCGTAGGCATCTTCTCCTATCCATTAACCAACCAAAATTTTAAAAACTTATCTAAAATTTATGTATCATTTGATTAAAGATATACTTAATTTTTATAAAATAAATACATTAAAATTATACAATTGTTTGCGGTAAATAGATATCTTTCATTATAACCCACTCTCTAATATTTAATAGAATTATGGATAAAATTTAAAAATTATAGCTCATTCTTGTAGAGTTTCTGAAATATCAGCTGAGTTTGAATCAACAAGTTGCTATATCAATTTTTCTTGATTTAATTCTTCAATCATATATTGATAATTATTCTCATTATGATGCGTTATTTGATTAAATATATTTAAATAAACATATTCAAATGAGGTAATAATCTCAATTGGTCATCGTTACCTAGCCTAGTTAATCCTACCAATTAATTAATTGTATGGGTTTGGCATAAAGGTAAAGTACCGGAAACGTGAATATAATGAAAGTTAACAAATATTTTTTAATCCAAAAAGTGATTGACTGACAGTTTTAACTTCCGGTTTTTATTAAGTTAATTCTTTATTTAATAATTCTTTGTTGTTAGTGACTTGAGGCAAGAACACACAAAAATTATTTAATAATGATTAAATAAATGGGGAAGGCATTTCTCCTAATTTTAATATGTATAAATAAGGAAAAAATATTTTTAATTCCACTATTTACCTAATAAGTATTAATTTTTTATTTAAGAAAGGTAACAAATTTAAAAAAATCCTTAATTAATATTTATTTCTAAAAATATAAAAAAAATTATTTTTAAAAATATATAAAATTCAGAAAATTTCCAGAAACTTTTTAATTTACCAAAACTTGTCCCCAAATAAATTGCCAAAAGTCCTCCCTCTTTAAACCTAACAGTACTTTGTTTTCATTAAAAAAACTTTTCCTTGGCAGACGTATTTAATACAGTAAATATATTCTTTAGAATAAAGTGGTTAATGTTTCTTTCTTTTTGGATACAAAAACACAAAAACACAAAAATAACCAAAAAAGAAAAGAAGAAGACGTTACTTTTTTACCCCAAAAATTTTTTAGGATTGAGGACTTTTGTTTTATTTTTTTCTTTTCGGGTTTATATTTCATCGTTAACCTATTTATTGCCTTTTGCCAATCCATGGATACACAAATAAATATTTAAAAAAATTAAAAAAAAATTTTTTGTACTTAAAGAAACTTAATTTAAGCTTTAAGCAAAATATAAAACAAAAACAATTCTTGAATTTTGCGTAAATAGAAATAAAGGGAAAAAAAAGTGTTGGTGGTCCTCTCTAAAAAAAGAGAATAATTTGGAAATTATGTAGCAAATAATAAATAAATTGTTTTTTAATTAATTTTTCTTTTGTTTATTATTTAAAATTTAGAAATCCAAACAAATGTTTCCTACAAAAAACAATGACAATAATTTATTTTTAAATAATCAACAATCAACCACCTCATTTACCTCCTCCCCTACCTTCTATAATTTACCTTCAACTTCAAATCAATTTACTAATTTAACAAATAATCAAATACCTCAACAAAATTTAAATTATTCTCTTTGTATATATCCTTATTTTAATTATAATTATAACAATTATTATTATCATAATTATTATTCTTCAAACAATTCACAACAACAATTAAATAATAATAATTTATTATTTAATAATCAATCTTCTAAAATTAATTATTCTAATTCTTTGGCTATTAAAAATGAAATAAATCCAAGTATTTTTTTAAATTAATTATATTAATTTTTATATTTCTCTAATTATATTTTTTTCAAATTTTTCTTTGTTTTTTAATTTATTTTTTAGTTCCCAATTTATTACCCCAAATTGCTGAATCGACTAATACTACTAATTTAAATAACAACAACAATTATATTTCAAATAATTATTTTGAAAATAAAATATTTTTTAAAAAAGAAGATGAAAATTTAAAGAAAGGAAAGAAAAGAATACTTTTTAATCAACAACAAATTCAAATACTTGAAGATGCTTATAGAGGTAATTAATAATTATAATATTTAATAAATTTATTTCTAAATTATAATTAATATTTGGAAGAACTTGAAAGTTTTTAGATAAATAGCTAAAATGTTTTTTGAAATAATTTTTGAAAAATGCTGCTACTGATAGGCCAAGCATGGTCTTCAATACGTGAAGATCTGTTTCGCTGCGACCACACTCGCTTTACTCGTTTCAGCCGTAGCGAATTGGTGACTCTCTTTTAGTTTTATACATGCTTGGTTTCCTCCGCAGCGGCAGAAATCTTCCGCGGAGTTTCTGATCCAAGCAAGTCAATTGCCTTGATTTTCATTATTTAGCTCAAAGAGTTACGTCGAATGAGCTTTAATTTGTGTACCAGGGGAGGTGAATGGATAACCAAAAAATACCAATAAAAGTTTAAAAATATTCATAACATTATTTAAAAAGGAGAAAACTTCATTAATCAATCAAAACGTAATGAGTTAGCTAAACGTTGTGGACTTAGAGCAGATCAGGTAGTATATTTGAATCTCGTTATAGTCTCAATCCTAAGGGATTCTACCTATACAACCGTAATTAGAATATATCCGTGAATTATAAATATTAGAAATATTTTTTGTTTTATTTTCATATTACGTCGAACCAAAAGTTACGTATTATGAAATAGCGAGTTTGTTTAAAATTATTAATGGGTTTGATTAAAAAGTAAAATGATAATATTTAATAATAATACAAACGCCCATTTCCAAAAATAAATATGAAATCAAAAGTCTAGCACTTTTTTCTCGCATTTTTAAGAAAAGCGGGACTATTTTTCTTTGTTTGGGATTTGAGTGGATTAAAACCTCGTTTTGAAATTTGTTGGGACCGGGCAATAGGTGGAAGTAAATATTATCGAGAGTGGATGGTATCTAGTTGGTGCTATAACGAGATTAAATATATTTTATATATAAATAACGAAATTTAGGTTAAAATTTGGTTTCAAAATAGAAGATATAAACAGGTATATTTTAAATTAATAATAAAAAATATTAAATGCTTTAATAGATATTAGCTTTTAATTTTTGAAATTAAAAATATTGGGAAAGAGATTCTAAATTGATTGAGAAATAATTTTAAAATAAATTCTACAAATTCCTTTTTTAAAATATAATTTTTAGAGAAAGAAGAAAAAAGATAAAGATTTCTTGGAAAACCAACAAAAACAGAATTCTAATTTCAAAGCTGAATTAAATAATGAAAATAAAGGATTGTTATTACCTCCAACAACATATTGTTTTAATAATTATTATTCTAATTTAAATGAAGAAGAACAATTACCCTTTTAATTATTTAAATATATCTTGATACATTTTAAATATTTTTTTTCTGTAATTTATTAATTAATATATTTAAATTAAAAAAAACTTTTCTATTTTTTTAATATTTAAAAACAAAATTTCAACTTTTATTTTCTCTTTTTTTTCTCAATTATTTTTTTATCTAAAATAATTTAATGAGAGGATTAGTATAATATAAAATGACCTAAATAATTCTTCCAAAAATCTCCAATACATTTATATTTTGTTATTAAATTTGTTTTTGTTTTCGTTGATAATAAAAGAAAATAAGTAAATAATTGATATTTTAATTAAATGTTTTTAAAATTATTATTATTATTTATTTTGTTATTTTCTGTTAATGCTAGACGTAAATGTTTTCGTCAGGCTTGTTTTATATTTTAATTTTTCATTTTCACATTTTAGGATAATTATTAAACCAAAAATTTTAATTAAGGTCTTTCCTTCCCTGTTTTTTTCACATGGAAACGGGAAGAAAAAACCCTTAAAATTCTCCCAAATAGTCATATACCTCTTTAGTGTGACCATTATTTAGAATTTTTTACCTGTATTTTACCTGTCATTTGTGGATATTTTATATATTAAATATTATATAAAATCAAATTAAAGATGAGAGGTACAAAAACATTTGTTGCAGTAAATAGCCAAGATGAAGATATAACACAATTAATTGAATTTCAACCAATTGAAGGTGACACAGAAGAAGAAAATAATAATAATGAAGAAGAAATAAAAACAACAACAAATTTAATTAATTCTTCACCAGAATTACAACAATTACTAGAAGACAATAACAATAATCAACAAAAATTAAAAAGACAACAAAATCCCTCCCTCCCAAATATTGGAACTTCAATTAGGTAGGTTGTTAATTCTCTTTAAATTAAATAACAATAAAGGCCTGCAAGTCATGATGTTTATTTATGGCCTAGCATGACAGAACACGAAAAAACAGTAATTAGAGATGCTGTTAAGTTCTCCTTTTTTTATATTTAAATTTAATTTTTAATTTTTAAAGTTTATCCAAATTCATCGCCGAACATGTATTAGATTTAGTGAATTAGATTATAAAGTTTTTAATTAATTTATTTTAAAAATATTTTCTTTTAAAAAAGCCTTGGTATCATGCAGAACGTTGGGCAGAAGGAAAGCCTTATATTGTTATTAGAAAAAGCAAAAAATTTTCTGGTAAAAAATAAATCAAAAGAAGAAAATTAAAATTTAATTAAAAAGGTTATTCTGATAATAATATTGAAGATGTAAATAGACGGTCTTTAATTTATTTATCAGAACAGTCATTGAATAGTCAAAATGTTAATAATTCTAGAGGAATGGTTAATTAATTTAAAAAAGAAATTTTTCTATAAATTTTTTCAGGTAATGGAACAATTATTAAAATTTATGGGTATTTTTAAATATAAAATTAATTTTATTTTTTTAATTTAAAAAAGGTTATAGAGAAGAATTTCTTAGACCAGATGCCCCATCATATATTCAATTAATTACTGATAATAACTCAAAAAATACACAACAATTACTTAAAAATACACCAAAATTTTCAAATGAACAATTAATGTATTTAATAGAAAAGAAAATAATTTTAAAAAATATTTAAGGTGGCCCTTTGATCCAGAATCAATAACAATTCCTTCAACAGCTAGGTTATTTTTAAATATAAATTAATTTAAAAATATATATTATCTTAAGAGAATGGTTTCAATTAACAATTTACTGTCAGGCAAGAAGAAATTCTGATATTGGGGCTGGGCAAAGAGCTGGATTATTAACTAGGTAGAGTAAATGATGGTAAATTAATATTCTAAAAATTAATATTTCTTTAGATGGGATGCTGTAAAACTTAATTCAATGTATTGCCCACAGGCTGTTGGGTATGCTGATCCAAGAATGGGACCTTGTGTTGTACCCAGAAAACCAAAAATTTAAATTTTTAATTAAAAAAAAGATTTTTGAAATAAAATATTTAAAAAGAATAATTTTCATTCATTTATATATAAAAACCGAGAAAATAAGAAAAAAATGAAATTAAAACAAAAAATGCTAAATTAGGTATAAAACAAATGATTTCCTTATTTTATAATGGATTTAAAAATACCGTTAGACCTTGATTTTAAATATTTCGTTAGGGGAGTATCACTTATCTGTTAGGCGAGCTTTTTCTACCCCGTGGCCAAACAAATTCTAAAAAAGTAATTTTACGGTTATCTGAATTCGAGGCCCCCGATTTTATATAAATTTAAAAATACATATTCACTTGACTCCAGTTACAAAAAATTCGGAAATGCAAAAAAAAAATACGGTTATATGTATATCCAACAATTAATCATTGTAACCGAGTCTATGAAATTGAACATTTTAAGATATTTGAGATTAAAAACTGTATTATACTTATTTTAAAATAATTTTAATATTATGCAATATAGTAACAATAAATTTCACAAAAGCTCATTGTGATTTTTAAATTGCAAAAAAACTCCTCAATTTATTCAATTCTGTTTCTTTTCTTCATTATTTTCTTCTTCTTTAATATCATTATTTCCATTTTTCACATCATCAATACTATTAATACCAGCATCTAAACAAAGAGCCCGAAACAGAGAATCTTGTCTAGCAAATAAATTAATTGGAGTATCAAATTCAGCAACCCGGCCTTCACTAAAAACTAAAATTCTTGTAGAATCAATTACAGAATGAAGTCTGTGAGCAATTGTGAGAACTGTACAATCAACAAATTGACGACGAATTGTTTGTTGAATTAAATGATCCGTCTAAATAATTTTTAATTAAAAACATAAATTAATCCGAGAAAATTACTTCAAGATCTACAGAGGCAGCTGCCTCGTCTAAAACAAGAATTTTTGATCGGCGAAGAACAGCACGAGCTAAACAAATTAATTGACGTTGACCAACACTAAAAATATGTATATTTAATTAATGTTTTATTAGAAATTCTGATATTGGGGCTGGGCAAAGAGCTGGATTATTAACTAGGTAGAGTAAATGATGGTAAATTAATATTCTAAAAATTAATATTTCTTTAGATGGGATGCTGTAAAACTTAATTCAATGTATTGCCCACAGGCTGTTGGGTATGCTGATCCAAGAATGGGACCTTGTGTTGTACCCAGAAAACCAAAAATTTAAATTTTTAATTAAAAAAAAGATTTTTGAAATAAAATATTTAAAAAGAATAATTTTCATTCATTTATATATAAAAACCGAGAAAATAAGAAAAAAATGAAATTAAAACAAAAAATGCTAAATTAGGTATAAAACAAATGATTTCCTTATTTTATAATGGATTTAAAAATACCGTTAGACCTTGATTTTAAATATTTCGTTAGGGGAGTATCACTTATCTGTTAGGCGAGCTTTTTCACCCCGTGGCCAAACAAATTCTAAAAAAGTAATTTTACGGTTATCTGAATTCGAGGCCCCCGATTTTATATAAATTTAAAAATACATATTCACTTGACTCCAGTTACAAAAAATTCGGAAATGCAAAAAAAAATACGGTTATATGTATATCCAACAATTAATCATTGTAACCGAGTCTATGAAATTGAACATTTTAAGATATTTGAGATTAAAAACTGTATTATACTTATTTTAAAATAATTTTAATATTATGCAATATAGTAACAATAAATTTCACAAAAGCTCATTGTGATTTTTAAATTGCAAAAAAACTCCTCAATTTATTCAATTCTGTTTCTTTTCTTCATTATTTTCTTCTTCTTTAATATCATTATTTCCATTTTTCACATCATCAATACTATTAATACCAGCATCTAAACAAAGAGCCCGAAACAGAGAATCTTGTCTAGCAAATAAATTAATTGGAGTATCAAATTCAGCAACCCGGCCTTCACTAAAAACTAAAATTCTTGTAGAATCAATTACAGAATGAAGTCTGTGAGCAATTGTGAGAACTGTACAATCAACAAATTGACGACGAATTGTTTGTTGAATTAAATGATCCGTCTAAATAATTTTTAATTAAAAACATAAATTAATCCGAGAAAATTACTTCAAGATCTACAGAGGCAGCTGCCTCGTCTAAAACAAGAATTTTTGATCGGCGAAGAACAGCACGAGCTAAACAAATTAATTGACGTTGACCAACACTAAAAATATGTATATTTAATTAATGTTTTATTAGATTCACAACCTTAAATTTGTACCCCCTTCACTAATTTTATAATCCAATTTATTCGGTAATGTATTAACAAATTCATCCAAATGTGTAAGTTTTAATGCTGTCCAAATACCATCGTCAGAATGGTGACCAAAAGGGTCTAAATTTTCACGAAAAGTTCCAGAAAAAAGTACTGGATCCTAAAAATATTTTTTAATCAAAAGAAATCTTTAATTTACTTGAGGGACTATTGTAAGACGAGAACGTAATTGTTTAAGACCAAGTTTTGATATATCAATTCCATCAATAATAATTTTACCAGAAGCAGGTTCTACCAAACGAAATAAAGCAAGAACGAGAGAACTTTTCCCTTAAAAATGTATAGTACTTTTTATTTAAATATTTATTAATAATTTACCAGCTCCAGTCCTTCCAACAATTCCAATTTTTTCATGAGGCAAAATATGTGCATTAACATCTTTTAATACCAAATCCAAATTTTGCCGATATCGAATAGCTAAATTATCAATTAAAATTTCCCCATTTTCTGGCCAAAATTCTTCTCCTTTCTTTTCTTTAAAAACTTCTGACGGAGTTTCCAAAGATGCCTAGAAAATGTATAAAAATAAATAAAATATGTAGTAAATCTTTTTACTTCAGTTGGTGTTTCTTTATATTCCTTGATTCTTTCAACTGAAACAATATTTGTTTCCAATTCAGAGGCCATTCTAACAGCCCAATTTAATACTTGAGTAACCTAAATAAATGAAAAAAATTTTTAACGGTTACAATTAAATCCTCACAGAAAGAGCATAAGAAACAGAAAGTCCAACTAATCCAGCAGTTACATGATCAGTATGGCGGAATAAAACAGCAGAAAATGCAGAGAAAAATACAATAAAATTGCCAACTAATTCCAAACGAACTGCCAACCATATGAAAAAAGATTTTTAATTTAGGTGATGAATATAGGGACAAGCTACCTATTTGCCACAATAGAAGAGAAATAAATGACCATATTATTATCCACACGTTTTTGAGATTCAATCGAAAATCGTTCAACGCAATTGTAAGCACGAATTGAGCTAGCACCTTGTACAGACTCCTAAAAAAAAATTTTTGAAAAAAAAAGTTTAAAAAAAAGTTTCTTGCCTGGAAATGCGAATAAATTGGTGATCGAGTTGTTGATTCTAGACGTTTTAATTGACGCGAGGTACTTACATAATAACGCTGAAAATAAAATAATTATTCTAAACTTAAAAACAGATGTATAATTTAAAAAGCCAAAATAAATAGAAAAAACAAACAAGCACTAATCCATAAAAGATGGCAAGGGGCGCAACACACAACATAAATTGAGGAGTCGCATAAGAAATCATTGCTAGCGTTTCAGCTGATGCAAGTAAAGTTCTGAGAAATGAAGTAAACGAACGAGGAATTTCGCTATCCAAACTGTCAACATCCTGGGGAAATTTAAAAATATTTTTAAGTAAAAATTAAAATTTTCTCCCTATTTTTAATTGAATTAGGTAATACATTAAATTAATTATTATGACAGTCCCTTCGAGTTGGAAATGAAAGGTTAGAGAGATAGAACGAAACATGACGATTATGAAAAGACTAATTAATGTAGTTTACTAAATAGAATATTCATGAAAAAAGAAAAGTTATAAGCAATTTTAAATAAGATTGGCAAGAAGGTAATGAATAAATACAAGATATAGAAATAAGGAAAAGCAGGCAATAAAGCAAGCAAGTGCTAACAAAGAAGGAAGACCATAATGCGAATGTAGAAGAGAAGGATGAATCCAAAGAAAGGAACAGTCCAATAAATTAAAAAGATTGGCATCAAAAGAGTCAAAAATGTTTGAAATATACAGGCAACAAACATACAAAACGACAAAGGAATTCGGGAATCAATAACATCAATGTCCTTCAAATTTTGAAAAATATTTTCTTCTTTATCGGTTTTTTGTAAATTTAAAGTAAAATATTAAAAACCTTTCCAAATCTATTCATTATACGACCAAGCGGAGTGATATCGAACCAAGACATTGGAGAACGAAGTACACTCTTCAACATTGTTTGATGTAATTTTCGGCTTGCTTTTATCCTATTAATTTGGAAAGATAAGAAAATCATATAAAAAATACAAACATTCCAATGGACATAATAACTGAGCCAAATGCAACTGTGAATGCTAAAAAAGTTTTTAATTATTTCAAATAAGAAATTTATTTTCTTCGTTACCTTGTGCTATTCCAAGCGAAGTGTAAATGAGTAAATTTGATTTTGTCTCAGTAGAAAAAGAAGAAGTTCCTTTTTGGATCTAAAATAACAAATCATAAACAAAAATTATATTTTTAACATTAACCTTTTCTGCCTGATCAGACCATTTAGCAAGCCAAAGATTGGTAGCAATACCAAGTAAACTTGACAACAAATAAATACAAAGAAAGAAAGTCAAAGATATCAATCCAACTGCTCGCAAATATTCCAAATAGACTCCAAATTTAACTTTTCCAGTAAATACTTCCTCTTTTTCTATTATTTTTGTTATTAGCTTCTTTTGAGGAATTGTTGTAGTTGACTCTTTTTGTTGAGGCTATTTTTTGGTTTTTAATAAGTAAATTCCAAAAGAAAAATTACCATTACTGCTTTAGCAGAAGTTTCACTTTCTGAAGTTACTCTTCTAGCCGACAATCTTGGAAGTGATTTTTCAGGGTGGATTTTTTCCAATTCATCTAAAACATCCAATATTTCATCGTCTGGCTCTTCGTTTACATTAGTGGCAGATTGCTGCTTCAATACATATTCCTCAATAATTTCAGAAAGTTCGCCAGAGGATTTGAGTAAATCGTGATAAGATCCCGATTCTGTTACTTGTCCATCTTTATTTAAAAATAATTTTAAAAAACCCTAACATTTAAAATACCTTTAACAACAATAATTTGATCACAATATTTAAGAAAAGAAAGACCATGTGTGACCAAAACACGAGTTTTTGTTTTCAATAAACCATTTTTAGATCCTTTAAAATTTAACAGAGAATCACAAATAATTAAATTATTTTACCTATTAATTTATCAAAAATATGCTTCCCAACATGAGAATCAACAGCAGATAATGGATCGTCTAAAAAATAAATATCACGATCCAAATAAGCAGCTCTTGCAAGACTAATTCTTTGCTTTTGACCGCCACTTAAATTAATTCCCTTAAAAATCAATTAAAAATTAAATATTTAATTAAAAACTTTTTCTCCAATTTCTATAGAATCACCCCCAGGAAGAGAATCCAAATCTTGCTGTAAAGAACATGCGTCAATAACAACATCATACGATTGCTTATTCAAAGTATTTCCAAAAAGAATATTTTCTCTGAGAGACATGTTTTGTATCCAAGCCTTAAAAGTTAATTTTTGAATTAATAAAAGATTTGCAATTAAATTAGTAAAAGTTCAAAATAAAGAAATTACTACAACTTTCTGTTTACTTTAGATTATGTCAAGTGTTCTAATATTTCCAAAAAATAATTATTTTACCTGTTGAGGAACATAAGCAATTTGTCCATCAATTTCAACAGTTCCAGATTTACAATACATTTCACCTTTAAAAACAAACTTTAAATTGTTTAAAATATTTTATTAAAAACCAAGAATTGCTGACAACAAACTACTTTTGCCTGATCCAATTCTTCCAACTACGGCAACCAAAGAACCTCGTTTAATTTCAATATTAAGATTTTTCAAAAACAATGGTTCTTCTTCACTCCAAGAAAAACTAGCATTTCGCAAAGAAATTGAAAGGGCTAAAAATTATTTTTAAATAAAATTCCTTAATATTCAAAAAAAATACAAGAATCTCCAAAAGAATTGTTTGAAGGTAAAGGTTCAAGTTCATCTTCAGCCAAAAACGTTTTCAATCGTTTATTGCTAACATTACATTGAACTGCTTGAGAACCAATCATTGGAAACATAGCAAGTGGAAAACGAAGAATGTTAAAATAAGATAAAGCAACAAAAGTAATTCTCGGAGTTAAAACATTATTGGCTGGATCTAACAGTAAATAAGCAAAAAATGTTGAAACAGCAACCAAAAATGGAGCACAAGACCAGGTTATCGAAGAAATTGCATTTACATAAGCAATACGACGAAGAAGTTGTAATTCTTTTTTACGGATTCCAAGAATCTAATTTAAAGTTTTTTTAATTTTTAAAAAAAAATTTTTTTACCCTATCCTCAATACTCTCTTCCCAAGCATAAAGTTTAAATACTTTAATTCCATTCAATATTTCATTCATTAATTTCAATCTTTCATCTTTTAATGTCATTTGTTTTTGCTAAAAATAAATTAAAAGTACTTCTTAAAAATTAAAAAAACTTGATATTTTCTCATAGCTAAAGACAATTTTGCATTTATTGGAATAAAAGTAATTAAACAAATAAGTCCAGCCAATACAGAAATACCCAAAAGTTGAAAGAGAAAATAAAGAGATAATAGAACTTGAAAGGGGGCTGACCACATAAAATTAATCCAAGAAGCCTTTAATTATAAAAAAAATTTTAAATAAATTTTTAAATTCACCATATCTTGAAATCTTTGAATGTCAACCGTCATTAAATTAACAATTTCGCCAATTGTTCGTTTTGTTCGTGCATTACTAGAAAGTAGAAGAGCCTTAAAATTTGGAAAAAAAAATAAAAAAAAATTTTAAATTTTTATAAAACCTTTTTATAAATTGCGGAAGTAAGTATTGACCGAACATTCATACCAATACGAAACATTATATGGAAATATTGATGAATAAACTGCAAAAATATTTTTATATTCTAAAATAATTTTTTTTCAAAAGAATTGTCAATAAAAAAAATATTAAAAGTATGTAGTTCCAAATTTTTATTTTTAATTAATAAAAATAAATTTTGTTTAGGCTTAAAAAACTTTAAATAACTACTCTTAATCTTAATTTTTAGAATCAAAAAATTTATTTATTTTAAAAAAATTCAAACCATCGATTGAATAAAATTTAACAAAAACATGCAAACAGCAATTCCAATTCCATTCCAAATATTAGCTTCGGGCGTTTCAATAAATTGTAAAAGTAAATCCAACAATTTTGGAGGTGCAAATTGCAATAAATCGTGAATTATTTTGTAAAATATTGCACCGAACAAAGAAAATTTAAAGGTTAGGAATAAAGCCCAAATTAACGATGGAGGTGAAGAGTTCTCTTTAAATTCATTTTTATTTGTAGAATATTCAGGTTTATAACCATTTGTCTTTAAATTAAAAATTTTTTTAAATTTTAATTAAAAAGAACCTCCAATAATTCAGTCTCTTCAATTCCATTTTGATTTTTCTTCAAAAGAGGAGTTTTTACTTTTTTGATTTTTTGTTGATTATATGCTTAAAAAGTATTTATTTTTTATTTCTTTTAATTAAAAAAAATACATTTAAATTGTTTTTCTCGAATCCTTTCAAATTTTTTGGTCAAATGTTTTGATTTATCCCGTTCAGGAAGATTCCATAAATCATCAATAACTAAAGCTCTCATATTTCCAAGCCGAGCAATACCATCAAACCAAATAAAAAGAATTCTATTTAAAAAAGAAACGGAAGGTTCTGGACAAGTTTTTGACTAAAAATTATTTTAAAAAATTTAAAAAAGAAAATTAAAAAATACATTAATTTCATCAGTTCTAGAATGGTCTGCAAAGCAAGAAATAAACAATATTTTTACAACAACAACATAATAAAGAATAAAAAGTAAAGCGGCAAAATAATCCTTAAAATAATTTAATTAAATTCCCACAAAAATTCCCCCAAACCTTATTATCCCTTCCATTCTCTCCAAACCATAATTCAACAGATTCACGAAATCGAGGAATTCCACAAACAGCTAATAAAAGCCAATAATTAAATAATACACCAGAAGTTGCTAGTCCAAAACGGCGACATCCCAACAACAAAATTAGAGCCAAAAATAAAGAAATATCCAACAAAAGAAGTGCTAGAAATTTAAAAATTGGCAATGCTCCATTTGAAGAAGGATTTAAGTTTTGATTCCAAGTAAATGTGGCAGAGAAATAAACAATTTGTATGAGAACATTAATAAGAAGAAATCCACACAAAAACTAAAAAAAAATTAATTTTTTTGTGACCTTCGCGTCATTTGACGTAAATAAATAAATTAAAAAAAATAATTTTAAAAGAAACAAACAATTCTCAAAGTTGTCGGTGTTCGTCTTAACAACGGCCCTTTTGTACTTTTTTTAAAATCATAAATAACAAGAGGTGAAAAAATTAGCAAGAAAAAAGCAGGAAGAGCATAAAGTGTAGTTTGTTGATAACATTCAGAAACTCTCGGTATTGTACTTGAATTTCCATTTTTAAGACTTTCGGTATCAAATAACTTTTGAAGAAAAAAAAATATTTTTTTTAATTTAATTAAATTAAACTTACAGGAGTATTTTTATTAACACAAAATGCTTCCATATTCAAAAAAAAAGAGTAAAATAAAATATTTTGTTGTTTAAATGCTAAAGTTTTTATAATTTAAAAGAAACTTTAAAAAACACTTCCTAAAAATAAAAATTATTCCGCCTAACTACAAACTACGAAGACTACAATAAATGTGTAAGAGAAACTAGCCTAAATTGAAAATCCGCCTACTACAAACTACGAAAAATAAGACTACAATAAATGTATAGAATAAGTAGACAATAAAAAATTGAAACAAAAAAAATTTAAGCGGCATAAAATTCAATATATTTGGATATGTATTTTCGATTAGAAGATTATTCAACGCGGCTCATCGAGCTGAATAAACTTTAAAACATATGAGCGAATAACTACAATCAACCTTGTACATACATACATAAGTAATATTTAAATAATTATTTGAGTTGGGAATGTTTCTAATATATTTCAAGCAAATAACGCGTCATAATGTGAATGTATACGTATAAATTTGTATACATATTCTTGAATTTAATCAAGACCAACTGCCACCTGTCCGAATCTAGCAAGGTAACTTTGATTAATCCTAACTTGAGCTACATAATCAGGTGTATCCTCAATTAAATAGTAGGGGGAGGGTGGTACAAGTATCAGGACCTTTTAATTCTTAAAATAAAGAATAGATACATAAGTATGTATATGGGCAACTTTTTAACATTGTGTGTAATTTAATGTTTTATTCGAATATACGTGTGTACAATATATAGAAGTGTCAGTTAATTGTCATGGGAACAATAAATAAAAGGGCAATAGACATCTTAAGTTGAACAAATTTACACCTGAAAATGTAATTATCAAGTAACATATACACCTCCTATTCGTTTTTTTAGTTTTGTAAAGTCTTAAAACATGAAGGGAGAATGAAGAAATCTAAACAAGAAAAGATCCGTAAGTAGGGAGGACTCAGCCCGTCGAGCCAAATCTAATGGTATCACTTTTCAGATCATCGAATCAATCTAATTTAGTGTTAAAAATACAAATGAAAATATAAAATAAATGAAAAAAGTATTTTCTTCTAAAAGACTCATATTTAGGACTGAGTCATTTTGATCAATTTAAAAGAGCAAATAAGTAAATATTTTAAGTAATGCATGTTTCCATTTGTTCAATTTTCAATCAATTGTGAATTCGATAAATCACAAAATAAAAAGAAAATGGATATTTTGTTAAATTTATAAATTTCTTAATCACAAATAAATATTTTTATTTTAATATTTAAAAAACAATTTATATTTTATAATTATTTAATTAAATAAATAAAATTAACTAGCTGTGGGTTTGACCACTAACGGCGGTAATTTACGTATGCAATTCCTATTAGGCTACTCTGGTGGTTGATTTGGACTTCTGCCCGTGGGAAAGCCTATCGGCTTTGGGGCGCGCTTCGCGCGCAGCTAGCGATTTTTTATGCCTGGAACAAAAGATTAGCCTTCAGTTGGATTAGCCTTCATTTTTTGCCCAATTTTATAAAGCAACCCGCACGCAAAAATCGCTATCCCTTCCAATGTTATGGCGAAAAAAATCCCCCTTTGGAAAAATTCAGGGGGTAAAAGTTTTTTTAAATTTTGACACAAAAAACGTGTTTTATAGTGTATTCGTACCCGCTGAGTACTAATCCGTTGTCGAAAAAATTCTAAAAATTTTTTCAACAAAGTTAGAGTAGACTATCATTCCACCCTCGCCCTTCATTTTAGATGGGTGTCAGCTCGGGCCTTCGGCCCTCGTCTTTCCCCCATTTGGACTCATCCTTCCACTTAGAGTCATTTCGGGCCTTCGGCCCTCATCTTTCCACCGTTGGGACTCATCCTTCCACTTAGAGTCACTTCGGGTCTTCGGCCCTCGCTTTCCCCCGTTGGGACTCATCCTTACACTTAGACTCATCCTTCCACCCTCGCCCTCTCTTTTAGATGGGTGTCAGCTCTGGCCTTCGGCCCTCGCCCTCCCTTTTAGACCTCGCACTTCCTTTTAGATGTGTGTCAGCTCGGGCCTTCGGCCCTCGCCCTCCCTTTTAGATGGGTGATAGCTCGGGCCTTCGGCCCTCGCCCTCTCTTTTAGATGGGTGTCAGATTAAAAATGGTCAACGTAAACCTATGGAGCGTAGGCGAGGCGCTTGTGCAAAACCCCGCGCTTCGCGCGGGGTTTTGCGGCACGCGCCTCGCGGGGCGTCAAAGGTCGCTGGGTTCTGGGCTCGTAACATGGTCCTATTCCTATAACGATTAGGATGGGACTCATCCTTCCAATCAGAATTCGAAACCTAAAGCAAAAACAAAGAAGCAGAAGCATGCTTCTGCTTCTGAAGCATGCTTCTGCTTCTCGGGCCTTCGGCCCTTGTTTCGTCATTTGAACCCATCCTTCCACTTAGAGTCACATTGGGCTCTGGCCTTCGGCCCTCGCCCTCCCTTTTAGACCTCGCACTTCCTTTTAGATGTGTGTCAGCTCGGGCCTTCGGCCCTCGCCCTCCCTTTTAGATGGGTGATAGCTCGGGCCTTCGGCCCTCGCCCTCTCTTTTAGATGGGTGTCGGATTAAAAATGGTCAACGTAAACCTATGGAGCGTAGGCGAGGCGCTTGTGCAAAACCCCGCGCTTCGCGCGGGGTTTTGCGGCACGCGTCTCGCGGGGCGTCAAAGGTCGCTGGGTTCTGGGCTCGTAACATGGTCCTATTCCTATAACGATTAGGATGGGACTCATCCTTCCAATCAGAATTCGAAACCTAAAACAAAAACAAAGAAGCAGAAGCCTTCGGCCCTCGCCCTTCTTTTAGATGGGTGTCTCGGACCTTCGGCCCTCGCCCTTCCTTTTAGATGGGTGTCAGCTCGGGCCCTCGCCCTTTTAGATGTGTGTCAGCTCGGGCCTTCGGCCCTCGCCCTCTCTTTTAGACGGGTGTCAGCTCGGGCCTTCGGCCCTCCCTATTAGATGGGTGTCAGCTCGGGCCTTCGGCCCTCGCGACTCCTTTTATATTAAAAATGGTCAACCTAAACCTATGGAGCGTAGGCGAGGCGCTTGTGCAAAACCCCGCGCTTCGCGCGGGGTTTTGCGGCACGCGCCTCGCGGGTCGTCAAAGGTCGCTGGGTTCTGGGCTCGTAACATGATCCTATTCCTATAACGATCAAGTTCTTATAACGACCCTATTCCTATAACGACCCAATTCCGAAAAATTCGAAGTTCGAAACTTCGAATTTCCACTTAGAGTCAATTCGGGCCTTCGGCCCTTGTCTTTCCTTTATTCGGACTCATCCTTCCACATAGACCCTTGTCTTTCCTTTATTCGGACTCATCCTTTTACTTAGAGTCAATTCGGACTCATCCTTCCACATAGAGCAAAAATGTGAAGCAGAAGCTTGCTTCTGCTTCGGATCCATAACAGGATCAAGCTTATATTCCGACAATATTTTCCCCAATATACAAAATTCACCCCTAAGTTCTTCTACGGTTTGCCCTGCATGGTCAGAGACGGAGAAAATTTTCGCCTCTCTTCCTTACATTTGACCTGTCAATCATTTTTCCTCTCTCCCTCCCATCATCTCCGGGTACGGTACTAAACCCAACAAATGTTCGAACCTCTGTATGTTCGTCAAAATGTACCGAAAAAATTCGAAAAAAATATTTTTAAAGCCAGCTCGATGAGAGCTTTCGAATGATATATCATTCGCCATATCTATCTTGATTTTTAAAATTAAAAATTTTTGGCCGGAAATTTCTGCCGGAAAAACTCACTAAAATATTCAAAAAATCATAACTTTTTCAAAATAGATCTTTTTTTAAATTTTAAAATCTTATCCGATGAAGAGAAATCTGCTTAATCCAGGAAAAATACACTCAGCCCGAACCATTGGCAAAAATCCCGAAAAATTTTCAAAAAACCGAAAAATTTTGGGTTTTTCGAAAATTGACCACTACGGGGTCAGTTTAGAATTTTTTCGAAATTTTCTTACCTCAAAAAATTTCTAATTTTTTGCCCAATTTTATAAAGGATGCAAAAAACCCTATCCGTTCCAAAGTTATGGCGATTTAAAAAATCCCGAAAACCCCCAAAAGGGGTACCCCCATTGAAAAATTCGAGGGGTCAAAAATTTTTAATTTTGACAAAAAAACGTGTTTTATAGTGTAATCTTACACGCTGAGTACGAATCCGTTGTAATTCTAAAAATTTTTTTAACAAAGTTAGAGTCTGAAAACCATTTCAGTCCCAGACCCAAAATCCCGGATCTCAACCCACAAACTTCGAAATTAGATATTTTGGCTAATCCCATTAGAATACCCTTCTGATATGCTTTCGAATGACTACTCATTCGACCATATCCCTTGAAATCTCAAATCCCGGAAATGTCGAATCTCGAACATCGACTTCTAAAAGTTCAAATTTTGAAATTTTTATTAATCCCAGTGAACTCCTCTCACTGCCCGCTCTCGAATGACTACTCATTCGACAATATTTGCAATACCGAAAATCCCGGATTTCGAAGTTCGACATCGAATTTCGACTTTAGACACTCTCATATATCCGACTGATCTCCCCTCATTATCCCCTCTTGAATGACTACTCACTTGCCCATAGTTCCCACTCCCCTAAATCCCGGATTTCGAAGTTCGACTTCGAACTTCAACATTCGATACTATCCTTTCTCTTTAGACTCCCCTGATCATCCCCTCTTGAATGACTACCCACTCATCCATATATCTCAATCCCGAAAATCCCGGATTTCGAAGTTCGAACTCCGAACTTCGACTTTCGACATTATCCCTTTTCCCATTTAACTTCCCTTACTCCCAGCTCTCAAACGACTACCTACTCACCCATACTTAGAAATCCCAAAAAACCCGGATCCCGAAGTTCGACCCCTCAAAACTTGCTTCAACCTCCCCTGCTTCAACTCGAAACTTGCTTCAGTTTCGACTTTACCTTGTTTCAACTCGAAATTTCACCCATCAATCACATTTTCTCTCTCACCTATAAGATATGCCCCCAGGATTTCGTCATTTCCGAAAAATCGGACATTTTACCGAAAAACCAATTTTGTGTCAGGCATATCGACCTTTAGACTTGACATTTCGACATCGGGTTTTTTGGTTTCATCATCTCCAAATCAAGCTTCAACGCCCTCCCGGCGGAACTTTTTCTCTATCTTTATCCATTCCGGAGATATCCTCGGTACCGACACGATTTAGGTACAAAGGAATAGAGGTACCCCCAAAGTCATAATTTTCCTGAATACTACATGAAATTTGACCCCGGACATGTAAAACTTTCAAGCCCGTATCTCAACTCTGTAAAGAGCTAGACTTTTTTCTAGCCAAGTAACTTTTTTTATAAATATATAGTAACCAGCGTTCGGCGCGAATTGCTGAGTAGTTTTAATAGCTTTTGGATATAAAGGCTGACTCCAGCGTTATTACACCTAATTTAAATTAATTTGGATCAATTTCCCAGGAATTGAAAACGTCAGACTCAAATGTTCATTCTCAGACTCAAGTGACACCTTTGAAAATATTTTCATTCAACTCCTCATTTAATTCCCCATCGAATGACACTTCAACCATCTTTCTACGTCTAATACTTCAAAAGTTATAAACTTTTGAATTTAAGTCATAAATAAACATGCGGGCCTTCGGCCCGCATGTTTTCTGCAGCGCGTTCCGAATTTTTAGAAAATAATTTTTAATTTCTGGCGGTTGCCTCCGGCAACGCGTTTTCTACAACGCGTTCCGAATCTAAAAAAAATATTTTTATTTTCTGGCGGTTGTATCCGGCAACGCGTTTTCTGCAACGCGTTCCGAATTTTTAAAAAGATTTTTTAATTCTGGCGGTTGCCTCCCGCAACGCGTTTTCTGCAACGCGTTCCGATTTCTTTAAAAAATAATTTTAAGTCTGGCGGTTGTATCCGGCAACGCGTTTTCTGCAACGCGTTCCGAACTCCTCAAAAAATAATTTTAAGTCTGGCGGTTGCCTCCGGCAACGCGTTTTCTGCAAATGCGTTCCGATTTCCTCAAAAAATAATTTTAATTTCTGGCGGTTGCCTCCGGCAACGCGTTATCTGCAACGCGTTCCGAATTTTTAAAAAATATTTCTTGATGCGGTTGCCTCCTCGGTTGCCTCCGGCAACGCGTTTTCTGCAGCGCGTTCCGTTTCTTAAAAAATATTTTTAATTTCTGGCGGTTGCCTCCGGCAACGCGGTTTCTGCAACCGTTCCGATTTCTTCAAAAAATAATTTTAAAGTCTGGCGGTTGCCTCCGGCAACGCGTTCAAGGATCGCGAATAACATTAAAATTATTTTTCAGAAAAGTATTGAAAATTAGAATTTTTACAAAATTTTCAGTCTCAGACTCAAATTTAAAAATGAGACTCAAGTGTCCTTTTCTTAAAAATTTATTTTTTAATATTCCCACTAATTTTGAGAATTTTTTATATTCATTTCCACTGATTTTAGCATTCAGACTCAAATATTCCGACGTCAGACTCAAGTGACCCCTTCAAAAATATTTTCAAAAATTCGCCTGATTTTTCCACGTCGAATGACACCTTAATCATATTTTTCCGATAACTACTTCAAAAGTTACAAAAAACAGCTCACCGTTGCTTAACTTTCCAGATCGGACGGTCTAGATCGTCAAAATTAAAAATTTTTTCCCAAAATTTTAATTTTTAAAAAAATTCATAACTCGGTGCAAAAAAGATTAATTAACATAAAACAAAGCTTATTCGATGCAGAATTTAATTCTCTATCTTTCATCTCCCATCACTTTTCTTCTAACTCCAAAACAAAATATAGTTAATGTCACTTTTATGCAACCTCCTAAAAATTTTAATTTTTACTCCATATCTTTTTTTCTGTTAATCCAATCAACTTGAAACAAACTTTTTTCTTAAGAAATCCACCACACTCTACAACTTTTCTCCCAACTACTTTTTGCTCAGACCCCTCTAAATACCCTAAATTCAAAGTTACCACTTTGACAAAAAAGTTGTCAACAGGCACATCTACCCTCCCCGATGTCAGAACGACTTCAACTCTTTTTCTATCATATTCTCCATGTTGTGGTGCTTCAACCTTGTAACTGACCCAACTTCCCCCGACTTCATCTTTATATTCAAATTTCACTTCAAAGTTTTGAAAAAACACGTTTTTTCACAATATCTAATTTTTTCGCTTCTTGACCCACAATTTTCGGATTTTTCCTGAAAACTACATTAAATTTCCCATCTATAACAAAAAACCCCACCCCTCTACGACCTCTCAAACTTCCGGAGGACTTTTTTTTAGCTGAGCGCCTTTTTACTATTATATATAGATAATTAATTAGAAAGAGCTTTCCAAAATAATTGATATAGTAAACGACGTCCTCCAAATGAAATAATTTTCGAATCGCTAATAAAATTGATCACATCGGAGAAAAGGCAACGATTTTCGAATATCTCTGGCTGTTCTTTGTAAATTCTTTAAAAAAATTTAATTTAAAAATTCTGAAAATAAAAATTACCGAAGAAGTTTAATAGTTATTTCTGTATTTGAAAATTGAGTAGCCAATTGATAAATTAATTGCCGTATTTCTTTTTCGGTTTTTTCTTTTTCCTCATTTTTTTCTTCTTCTTTTTCTTCAATATTTTTTAATTTTTTTGGAGATGAACAAAAAATACATAAAAATTTACAATGTTTTTTATTTATTGAAAATTTTAAATATTTATTTTCGAGACAAGAAGATTGTTCTTCGTTTTTACTTTCATTAAAAATATTCTAAATAAAATTAAAAAAATATTTTTTTAATTAAAATTTTACCCCAAAAATTGTTGAAATATTTTTTGGTAAAATTACATGTCCAAAATTATTAAAATTATTTATTTGTTTATAATATTCATTTTGTCTATCCAAATTATCAATTTTTGCTAAAAACTTTCTATAAACAATGAGATCATTATTCTTTAAAAATATTTTAAAAAATATTCTTCATTAAATATTAACTACCTCCTTTTCGGTAATTTTGTGATCTTCCTTATCTTCTAATATATTAGCAGCACCTTTTTCACAAAATTCTTTAGAATAATCTTGTTTTGTATAAAAATAATTTGATGTAGAATTATAATTATTAAAAAAGCTATCCAAAGAATTAGAACGACAAATATTTCTAATTAATTAAATTTTAAAATTAAAAAAAAATTAATTAAAATACATTAAATTCCCTCCATTAATTAATTCACTTTTTATTCTTTTTCTTCTTTCAATTATTCTTCTTTTTTGTTTTTTGTCATTATTTTGGAGATAATTGAAAATAAATTTATTTTTTGAAGAAAGAAAATTTTTATCAATTTTTAATTCAAAATTATCATTAAAAGATTCTCCAAATTCCCAACCAAATTCAAAAAGTGTGTTAATTACTAATAATTTAATTTAAAAAAGAATTTATTTAAAAAAATTTACCAAGCTGATTTTTTGAAGTTGCTGCAATATTTATTGCCCAAATTGCACATCCTCTAATAGATAGCCAAGGTAAATTATTAGAATTATTCCTTTGTTGTAAAAAACATTCCAATAATAATTGTGTGTATTTACTGAATGGGAAAATTACATAAGATGGCAAATTAGCAAGAATTTGGGCCAAAGCAAAAAGGGAACCTAAAAAATATTTTAATTGGTTAAAGAAGAGTTTTCCCACCTTTAACTTCATCAATCTTATCAACACAAATTCCTTTCAGTAGAAAATTGCAAATTATATCCTCTAATTTTCCAATAATATTTCGATTTTTCAAAAGATTTTGACCAACTTTTGAGCGTGCCAAATGCCCGTAGAGATGGGGTGGAGGGAAGACCCTTTGCTTTTTATGGGTTGGTACAGATGTAGGTCTTCGAATAAAAAAATCTTTAAAATATTTTTTGTTTAAAAACAATTGTCCCGAAGCACGCGCAAAATCGCCATTCTTTGAACGTTTAAAGCAGAAAAAATTAATTCCATCATTATTAATTAATGCTCTTCGAATTTGTTCAGCAATAATTTCATTGTAATGAATGTAAAAATACTAAAAGGAATATTTTAAATCATTTTTTTAAATTTTATTTGAATACATCATTCCATTTGTTTAAGGAATTAGATGCAATTTCTAATAATTTAGATTTATCAACTTCCATTGAGTCCAAATCTGCATCGAACAGAAATACTTCCAAAAGAGTTCCAGCATCACCAAGAATCTCTAACTTAGCCCGCAAAAGTTGTTCCCTCATTTCAATAAGAACATCAATCGGACACAACTACAAAATTTTTTTGAAGAAATTACAAAGTTAAAGATCTTAAAATTTTGGTCAGCTAAAAAATTTAGAAAAACCTACAGAAAGCCATCTCAACAAAATACGTGCTGTTAAGTTAACAATTTTAGGAGAAGTATCAGAAAGTTTAAGAAAAAGCAAATTTAAAGGCCATTTCCAAGAGAAGTTGGTTTGGAATGAAGCATAATGTTGATTAAGAGTAAAGAAGCTTCCCACAAATTTAGTACACCATTTTCGGATGGCCTTTTAGTTTGTTAAATTTTATTTAAAAAACAATTGTTACAATATTCTTAGAAGAAAGAACATTTTCAAGCAAAAAACGAGAAAAATATCCATCTTCCGCATCGAGTCGTGGCAATGAGGGGAAATAATCAAGAGAAACAACAATCAATTTAATCAGCTCTGGTGAAGTACATTCTTCAAGTAATTTGTCCAAAAATCTACAAAACATTTGAGAAAATATTTTTAATAATTTTTATAATTATTTCGCACTTATTATTTTATTTTTTTAAAACAAAAACAAATTTTCCCAATTTATTCAATAATTTTCCCTAAATTTCCTTTCGCATTTATTGAAAATGAAAGCTTTCAGTAAATTTAGCATTCTACAAATATCCCCAGGAATATTACATGTTTATTTCATCTTCATTTGCCTCGCGGCTAAAAATCTCGTATATACTCTACTCAACATTTAAGTGTTGAGCAGGCAGACTTGTCCGTTTAAAGCGCTCATGGTGAATTTAGTCGATTGAAAAATTCTCGTTTCCAGCAGTCGTTTTTAATCTAAAACAAAATTCTCTCGTCCAATCTGCTTGCCGACATTCTTTCAAAAAACTTTAAATTTCTTCTTCTCACAGAATCATTTAGTATTCGAATATTATAACAAAATTTGACATTTAACGAGAGAAACAATTAAGACTGGTCATATATGTAAGAAACAAGCCTAAATCAATTATTCTAAAAACAAAAATGGTAAAATTATAAATCCTTAAAGATTTACATAAAATTGACAGAAATCAAGAAGAAACAAAAACCGACTACCCGCTGACAGTTAATTTTTCCACCTAGCTGAAAACCCAATCCAATTCCCTTTCGTTGAATTAAAAGTGAATCCACCTAGCTAGCCCAATTCACTTTCGTTCCCTCTTCAAATGGACATCTCTTATGGTTATTGTTCTATACTACTTTAAGAATTTCCAGATTCATTCAAATCAGAAAGCTAATATGCGCAAGTCAAAGCAACTTAAGCCCACTAACAAAGAAACATTAGCCTCTCTCAAATTCCTTAATTCATTCATTTCTCTATTTTTTGGTAAGATGATGAGAAAAGTAGAAGCCCATTATGTTTGAAAGAATTTTTACGAAAAATAGGCGCGCAGTATGAAAAGTTTCCTAAAATGTCTAAAAGATCATAAATTATGTCCATCGAAATAATCTTAACGATAGTTTTCAAGAATGTTTTTAAAGTAATTTAAGCAATCTTTCAACTTAATTTTTAGTAAATGCAGCCAAAACTTATTATTTATTTAATTATTTTAATGACCATTGTTAGATCATCATTAAGTGATTTACCCAGCTGTAGCCGCGCAAAATGCGTACATTGTAAAGTATATTTTATTTTACAAATGTGCCCTATTGCCTGCAGTAATTGCCCAACAACAACAGAAGAACCGATAAGACAACAAAACAAACATTTCTTGACAGCGGTGAGATTTTTTCTGATAACCTTTAAAAATTTGAATAAAGCTTAAACCTGTAATAGACAACGAAGTAAACAGCAAAGCATTCTCTCAGCCTACAATAACAGTACCATATGCACAACAAATCCCGACAAACTTAAATAGAAACAAGCAACGCACAAATAATTTACAAAGACCGTCAAATTTATTCTCACAACAAAAACAATTTCAAGGAAATAGAGAACAGCAACATGGAACAATTTTAAGAAAAAACCCAATTTTTCAAGATTTGCAATACATACAAGAACAACCACAATATACTTTTGTCCAACCTTTTCAACAGCAACAAACACAAAATTATATTGGAGGAGGTGGTTTTTATGGAGGACCTATTCCTCAACAGCCGCAATATCCTATCCCTCCTCCTCCACCCCCAACAAATTTCCAACCATTAGAAATTCAAAAAGAGCAGCAACAACAATTCAGCAATCCGTTCCAACAACAAACTTACCAATCGGTTCCAATGCAACAATTCTCTCCTTCAATAACCCCACAACAAAATATCCAACAAACTTTTGAACAAAATTTCCAAGGTAGTCAAGTTCATTCTATTCAAACACCAAATAATCAACCAATACAAATTCCACAAGTTGTCCAAAATAAACCTCAACAAACACAGTTACCTTCCATATTTTCCCATCAGATTTACAATCAGCCAATGATGAGTATAGACGAAAGACCAGCTAATATTATGCATACAGTACCAAACGTAGCAGTACCACAACAAAATTTCCAAAAATTTTATAATATCCCACAACTACAGCCGATTGATGGAAAAGTAGGAAATGGATGGGCAGACGAAAAAAGTAGGTTGTCAATTAAGATGAATAAAACTTAAAAAATATAAGAAAAATAGCAGAAAGGTCTTATTAAGGTTTATCAACAATTAACAACAAAATTAGAGAACCTGGAGCAGATATAATAGGCAATAGCATATTATCTGGAGGAGAGAGCGAAGAAAAGGTAATTGGATAAATTGAATTTATCTGAAATTATATTTTAATAGTGTCCAAAGCAAAATTGGGAGCCTTGTGTACCAAAAGAATTAGCAAATAGACGATTTCAAAATTGTTGCTCACAGTTAGGAGAAGGCTGCTCTCAATTATGTAGTTATGACCAAAACCTTACTAATGTACGTTTTAATTTAAAAATATTAAAGGAATGATGGATATGTGACCAGGAATTAAATCAAAAAATTTAATTTTCAGATTCAACTTGCAGTGCTAACTGGTCGTTGTCCCATAAATAAAGTCGCTGACATGATGCTTTGTGGTAGAAAATCATTTCAAAAATATTATTTAAAAAATTCTTTTCATCGATAGCAAGCGGATATGAGGACGCAACTCCTTGTTGTCAAGAATTCAATGTTTTCGAGGCTGGCTTTGAACACTGCCGTCCCTATTGCAACCCAACTGGTGGACTTCCAAATGACGGAATGTTAGTAGAAAAATACAAATGTCTTCAGAAATTGCAGCAAATACAAAAATGTTTTTATCTAAGTCAACGTCCTTAAGTTTTTAAAATTGCTTTTTTCTCATTTGTAAAATATTTTAATTAATTAAATTATAATTTTGTTTGGGAATTTAATTTAAAAAATTGTACTCACATTTGCCCAAGTCCTGTTTGGTCAAATAATTTCTGTCCAAAAGGCTGAGATAAAAGTGCACGAAGTAAGGCAAAATAAACCGATGAGCCTCCAAACGATAAATTTTTTGAACTAAAAACAGCTTCAGATTTGTCCTATAACGAATAGAAGTCTTCAAAAACCATTTAAAAAAAAGTTAATTCTCACCAAACTAATTTGATTGCAAAAGTCGTTTATGAAGTTCGACAACTATGAAAAAAACATTAAAAATTAAGTAAATCATATTCTTAATAAGAGGATTTCTCAAATTTCTAAAAATTAAACTGACCATATTTAATGCCCATTGACTATTATCATTTCCAATAAATGTTGATGAATTGAATGCACAAAATAGGTGAATAAAATATTGGCCACATTTAATTAATTGAATTGATGGTTTGGTTTGTATAAAAAATTGATTTGAAGGTAAAAATAAATATAAAATCTTTTTAAATAAAAATTTAGCTAAAAATATATTAAAAATACCTGATTAAAAATTGGAATACATTTGTCAATTGTTGATTTAATAATTGTTGACTTGTTTTGAAAAGAGATTATTTTATCATCAATAAAAGATAAAATTCTCCAAAAAATATTCCAATCAATATTTTCTATTAAATATTCATTTGAATCTTCTAATAAATCATTTTTCTTGAATTTTTGTTGGGCAATTTCTGGAACATTAACGTTTTTATAAATTTTTGTTTTTTTAGTCAGTTGAGTAATAAATACATTTGAAATTAATTTATCAATATTTGAATCAAAATAATCTGAAAAAAAATATTTTAAATAATTTTTTAATAAACAAAAATTACCTGGAAGTTCTTCAGAAAAAGTTTCAATAACTCCAATAACATTATTATTACAATCATCAAAATTGGCTGTAGTTGATGAATGTCTACTATTATTTAATATTGAGAGAGATCGACTTCGTCTAAATTCTTCTAAATTTACAATTAAAAATGTATTAATTAAAGTTAAAAATTCTAATTTTGTTGGTTTATTTAAAAAATTATTGACTTCATTAAGACGATCAATTAAAAGAAAAGAATTCCTAAATACAAAAATTTATTAAAAATAAGGGGGTCTTTTTACCTTTTCTTTTCGTCTTTATTAGAAATATTTTCATTTAAATTAAATGATTCAACAACAGAATTAATTAAATTATTATTGTTTATTGCTTCAATTCTGACAGATTTTGGAAGTATTTTAGACATCTATTTAGAAATTTAAAATTAAATTTTTAAATAAAAATAAGTAAATAAATACATAAAGTATATCTGCAAGTAAAAATGTTGCTTTGATTGAAATAGAGCAGTCTGGATTTTGCAGAATTAAACGAATTAGAACCTTAAATTTAAAAAAAAGAATTTTAATTATTTAAATTAAAAAAACCTCAGGTAATTTTTCAGAAACAATTTTAAAAAGAACAACAGATCTGTATATTTCTAATAAATCTATAAAGGAATCGTCTTTCTGGTTATCCAAATAAGAAATTTCTGCAAGCAAAAAATCATCCCGAAGAGAAATACTAAACAAATCGGGAAGTCGAATTTGTTCTGATTTAAAAGTTTTGAGTATTATTTTTACAAAATTTACTATAAAAAAAGAAAGCCCTTTCCCAATTATTATCAACAAATTCATGTCTTGCATAGGGTACATTTAGCAAATCAGAAAATAGCTCTATTGTGCAACTTTTTATTTTATCAGAGTTCAAATTTTCAATTTGGCACCCAATATTAGCAAATAAACTAAAAAATTTTTAATAATTATTTTATAATTATGTATATAAAACCCAAACTGCCGATTAGAAGAATTATTTGAGAAAAAAGTAAATAAACCAGACCAAGTAATCAATAAATTAAAAAGAGAATTTTTGCATTTTTCTATTAATGTTGTTGAAGGTGAATAGCTAAATTTAATAATTTTTTAAAATTTTATCGAAAAAGAAAAAAATAATGTAGACTGTTTGTAGACTATTTCAATACTCAGAAAATTTTAATGACTTACTCAATTTTGGCAGAAGGATCTTGTATTGAATCAAAAGAAATAAACGGACAAAATAATTGCTAACCAAAATTTTAGTAGTTACAAAAATTTAAAAAAACCTCAACAACAAATTTTAATTTACATTTTTCTCTTATAATCGGAGAATCAAGCCATTTAGACAAAATATTTATTAAAACTGTTCCCAAAGCTGATTGATTAATTGTAGGTACAAACCAATTTAACCCAATATTCATTTCAAAAAGTAATTCAGGACGTTGTACAAGCAATTCAAGTAAAATTCCGATAGAAGAAATTTGAAGATTTTTAGGTAATCTTTAGTTAAAAAAAGCAATCTTGATGAGAATAATTAAAATTAATTTACCCCTTTGGCGCAGATAAAATTTGAATAACACAATCTTTAACCGAATCAGAATTATTTTGGGTTTTCTGTTCATTCGATAAAGAAAATGGGGAATTTTGTCCAAAAGCAATATCCATTAGACAATTTATTGAATTTTGAAGAAAAAATCGAAAACGCCACCAATTAATTAATAAAGGATCAAATAAATTTGTTTTAAGTAAAACAGAAAAGGAGACGGAGAGAAAGTGTAAAGCTTGCGTTTCTCCATTGTATTGTGATGGATTCAGAGTATAAATATATCTAAAATTTAAAATAAATATTTTTTGAAAAATTACAAAAATAGTATTAGAGAAAAAATGTTTTTTTTAATTTTGAAAAAAATAAAATTAATTTAATAAAAATTATACCTAAACAAAAAAATGTCAAAATTAGACTGTATTGCTTGTATAATTCTAACTGTAGTGTTACAAATTTTTGAAACAATTAAAAAAGAAATTTCACAAATTCTTGGATCAATGTGAGATTTAATTGAGTTGAAACACCTAAATAAAATTCAATAAATAAAAAAATTTAATTAAACCTTTTAAACAAAGCTTCATAAATTTGACTATTGGCAATAAATATATTTTGATTTTCTAATGTAGACAAAATCCGCAATAAAAAAATCAATGAATCATCTCCATCCGAAATATTCTCCCAATTATTAATAAATTCAAGAAAATTTTCCGCTGAGTTAAAACTTTCATAAATTTTTTCTCTGACATTTTCATGAGTGCCTAAATTAAATAAAATTAGGATAATTAAATCGTTTAAACTTACATTTTACTGCATTTCTCTTAATCTGTTTTAATTTTTGTAAATCTTCCTTCTCTAATCTGCCAGCCTTCATCTCCCATAATTTTGCAAAATAAATGTTTTGATGTTAATTAGGGCCCAGCAAAAAATAAGGGTGTCCAGATTTTTAGTTTAAGTGGGACGAAATGAGTATTTTTAAACTATTAGGCATTTTGAGCTGGGCCAAATTTGGTATATTTTTGGATTTGGCGTGTCCCATTTTGCTAAAATTTAGATTTTAAAAAATACAAGATCGAATAGTAAAATCGAATTTACAGAATTCAGAGACTGAGAATAACCGGAACTTACATTTGATTTGTTATGTTATACTTAATTCTTCATTCACATTTTAGCATTAAAAGTTTTTGTTGTTTTAATATTACAATTCTTTCAATAAAGTCTACAATGGAATTTCTTGAGGATGAAGATACGAAGGCATTTTTTGCGATTTTAGAAGGAAATTGTCCCGATGAGGTAAATTAATTTAAGAAAATATCAATTAAATAGTTTTTAGGAGGAAAGTAATTCCTGTAGTGATGATTTTATTAATGATACTGCCGAATTTTTTGATCAATTGGAATTGGTCCATCCTGACAACAAAAGTGTTTGCGAAAATGAATGTGAAGAAATTAACGAAGAAGTTAGTCAAGAAGTTGAAGGATATGTTAGTGAAGAAAAAGTTAATGAAGATGAATGTGAAGAAGTTGACGGGGATATTTGTGACGAAAAGTTTGATGGCTTTCTGCATACGGAGATCGATGTACTTTTAGATGAATTTATGTTAAAGTGGCGGAAGTTACAGGATAAAAAAAGGTTTGTCCTTATTTTTAATTTTTTTCAACTTATTCCATATTATTTTACGTTGATTCTATTAAGAATTTTAGGGAATTCTTTACAAATGAGGCCAAGAAAATGGAAGTGGACAATGCCTTATCTGGCCGAGTGAAAAAATTTGTTTACAACTGGAACGAATATGAAAATGGAACAACGTGCGAATTTCGTAATGCCTTGGAAGAATTAAGAATGTCATTAAAAACAAATTAGAAATATTAGCTTGTAAGTTTTTTTGTTGTCGCCTCCCCTTATTTCCTGTTCAAAAACAATTTACTTAAAATTCAACAAAATATAAAGTTAAGGTGGATAATGTATATATGTATTTCTAGTTTTCTTTCCAATATTATATAAAATATTTCCAAGTTGTTTACCTGGCCCAACTTCGATATAGGAAGGAAAAACCTCATCCTAGAGATTTATTAATTTAAAACAAAAATCTAAATAAAAACCTGTCTCTTTTGAAAAAGAAGTTGTGCAATCTGTTCCCATTTAATTGGATTTGTAATTTGTCTGACAACATCACGTTTTATTCTTTTTATTTGAAATAAGTGAGGTCTTCCCGTGTAGTTTGAGTAAACATTTATACAAGGAATATTTATTTCCTTAATCCCTTCCAAATATTCCCTAACATCATTTGCAGCTTCGTTCATCTACGTAAAAAATACTGATATTAAAATTAGATAGGAGATTTACTAGTGTCGTGTGAAAGGCACCATAAATTGGCAAACGTTTGAGTATCTAAAATAATAAAAAACATTAATGTTAAAATTAATAAATAAACCTGAAATTTAAAATGGCTAGCATGTTGATTAAGGAATTCTAGACTCTTCATTGTTCCAGCAATTATCTTCACGTGGCAAAATAAATAACCTGCCAATTCGCAAAGAGGAAGCTCTCCTTTTGATCTTTTAAAAATTTTTAAAAATTATTTTAAAAAATTATTCACTCCGAGTATTCTTTCGCTTCTGATAAGGCCCTCAATAGTTGAGACTCTGCACATGTCCGAATTGTTATCATACCAGAATATGATAATTTTGAACAACTTTCAGTAGCATCTGCATAAATCTTCATTATTTTTAAGGCTTAAAAAATATTTTATTAATTCCTTTTAAATAATTAAAAACCATCATCATAATTGATAACATTTGCAGCTACTAATGCACAGAATTCACCCTGTCCAAAACCAGCAACATCTTTAAAAAAATAAAATAATAAATTAAATCACAAATTACCAGTAAGACGCTCCATTATATCTGGCTGTTCTGTTTTCAATTTTTCAAAAGCTGCGAGGGAAGAAACAAAAATTGCCATTTGAGAATTAATTATTTGATCAAGTTTGGTTTTTGGACCATTTTGGCAAAGATCAAATAAATCAAATTTCAAAAATTCTGTAAAATTAAAAAATCTTTAGTGAAAAATATTTTTGAATACCGTTTGCCTGATCAAAAAGCCTTTTACTATTTGGATTGTCAATTACCTGAAAATCAATGGTAATATTATTTAGAATTTATTTTTTATTTACATTACGTCCCATAGTCAAATATTGAGTACCATAACCAGGAAACATAACTACAACTTGGTCCTAAAAAAGAAATTAAATTTCTCAATAATTTTATTTAAAACCTTTATAGGTATATGATCAAATTTTAATTTAAGTAAACGCTTTTCTGGCCTTCTTAATTGTATAGAACTCCTACCAGAGTCAATTTTAGCTACACTCCTCATTGTTCGGATATTAAATATTCTGTAAAAAATTTAAAAATTTCTAAATTAAAATTTTCAAACCTTTTATCAATAATTTTAAAATGTAATTGTTTTAAAACATTCATATTATTTTTAAGTTTTTATTTTAAATCTAAAAAAATTTATTGTTTCACATTTTATTTATTTGTGTTCAATAAAGGAAAAAAATATTAAAATTTATTTTTATTATTTTAAAAATAAAATATAAATAAAATAATAAAAATAGAACCATTTTATTTAGAAAAATTCAAAATAAAATTACATTTAAAGTCAAATACCTACGTAATTAATGAGCAAAAATATTTTAAAGTAAATTCTACCCGATTTAATCATAATTTCTTCAATTTAAATTTCTAATTTATTACCAATTTTTCCTCTCTAATTTAAAAAATTGTGAATAAAGAAGGGCAGAAGCAGCAATTGCATCATCTACTCCAACTTTAAAAATAAATTTTATAAAATTAACAAAATTTTAAATTTTATACCAGTATGTTGAGGAAATTTACAAACAAAAACTGGAGTGTAAATAAATACAAGGTCACCACGCATCCACGAGGCAAGTGGACTAAAATTTAAAAAAAATTAAAAAATAATTTTTAAAAACCTGTGCGGATTAAATTTAAATACTTTATTGACTTGTTTGTCTAATAAAACAGTTTGACTTGAACGAATTTCTAATTTATCAAAATCAGTTGCTCTACCAGAAGATAATGCCAAATTACAAGATTGACGGCCAGCTAATCGAGCACCTGCAGCTAAACCTGCCGCCAAATTCGACCAATCTGGGCCTTTACTAACCTTTTAAATTAAAAAATATTAAATTTTGAAAAATTCCATCAACCATAATGTGATAAGTGAGGGAATAAAAATGGATTCGTTGAAGACGTTGATTATAATTTTTACTTTCTGGATTATTTCTATCATGTCCATAATTTGAAAGTAACCAATAAAGCATTTCTACTGCCTAAATAAAAAATAATTTATTAAAAAATTATTAAACAAACTTTGTAAGCATGTAAGGTCCCAGCACTTATTGGATATTGTTCTTTAAAAGGTCCTCCACCAACTCTTGAAAGAAAAGTTAATTCTTGTTCATTAATACCAAGAGAATCAACATTTGGAATTATCTAAAAATTAATTTTTAAAAAATATTTTATTCAAACTCTTTTCAAAATATCATCGGCAATATTAGCATCAGGCATACTCCCCAATTGTAAATGTATTGGAATGAGAGGATTTATTTGAAGAAGTGAACGTTTAATAAGACGTAGTTTTTCCAGACGAGCTTCTTGATTCTTTAAATTTTTAAAAATTAAATTTAAAATTAAATTATTCAAAAAAACCTGTGCTTCCATACTGTGAATACCAGAAAATATAATTAAATCAGGTCTAAATTGCATTATTGCTTTAAAAAACATTTCAATTACCATAGCGCTTCCACTAAAAAATTTTAAAAAATTTAACAAAAAATTTAATTTATAACCTAAATTGGTCATGTGAAATAATAAATCTAGAACTTGCTGGGGCAACATATTCTCCAAGTATTTCTCCCTGTTTATACTCCAAAATAACGTGCATTTCATCTTGAACAATTCTTGTAAAATTATTACGAACAATTGAAGGATGGAGAAGTGCTTGACTACGAGGGCCTAAAAAATATTTTTTGAATTTTTTCTGAATAATTTATCAAAACTAACCTATAGGTCCAACTAAATAAGGCTATAAAAATGTAAAAAATTAAAAAAAAATATTTTTATTAAAATTACGGTTGCATGTGGAAAAGCTGAAGCAATTTTTTGAGCCATAAGTGCAGCATTTCCCCCAATATAATGCTACAAAATAATTAAAAATAATTTCTTAAATTAAACAACTTGTGCGTGTAATTGATTATCTTCTATAGCAGAAACAATTTTGTCAAAAGTTAAATCATTGGCCATAAAACGTTCAGCAGGGGCTCCACGTGTAAAAAAATGAACAAAAACTTCATAAAGGTCCTTTAAATAAAATTTTTCTAAATAAAAAACAAAATAAAACCTCAAATCCTCCAAGCATTTCTTTATCTCCAATGGGATTAGGTGAAGAAATATTTAAATTATTTATGACAGACACTCCAGAAACAATAACGTCAACATTACAATTTATACTTTAAAAAATAATTTGAAAATTAAAAATTTGTAGACTTACCCAACAATAACTTTACGAAATTTAATTGAAGGTTGGGAAATAAAATTCTCCCAGGCTTTCAACATTGCCTAAATTATTTTGATTAAATAAATTTTGAAAATAAAATCTTCCCAAACCTGTTCAACAGGCATTGTAGTCAATCTGTGTTGCTCATTAAAATAGCTATAAAGCCATGGAATAGCAAAACAAACAAATGCCCAATTTAATAAATAATTGTAAGGAGTATTGAAAGGAAACATCATCTTTAAAAAAGAATTAAAAAAATATTTTTGAAAGAAAAATCAGATATGTTTTAATAATTAATAAATTTTAAATTGAAAAGAAAAAAACAAAGCAAAATAAATTTATTTAAATTAAAGCCAAAAAAAATATTTAAGTGAAATTTGGAAAGAAAAATATAGGTAAGTAAGTGAATGTATAGTTGAAAAATAAAGGGAGGTATATAATTAAAAAAACAAACTCAAAAAAAAATTATTTTTTAATATAAGTAACTGCTTTCCAACACAATCCTTTCTCTTCAACAATTTCCCCATTTTCTTCTTCAATAAATTGATTCCAATTAATTTCAGGAAATTTAACGTCACAATCAAAATTTTTGTCAATTTTAGTTAAAACAATTTTATTTAAATTTTGATGGTCAATTCCTAAAGAATAAATTTGTTTTCCACCAATATTCCTTTAAAAAGAAGAGAATGTTTAAATTAAAAGGAAAAACAAACCAAATTGTTTCAATTAAATTTTCATAAGGTTTTGATTCCAAAATTAAATTTAAAGAATCTAAATTGTTTATAAAAATCAAATTTTCGCCAAACTAAAAAACAAAGAATTTTAGAAAAAAAATTAAAAAAAACTTACAAATTCATTTGTCACCCAAGTTTTAGTCATTACAATATTTAAACGATTCTTTAATGGCCGATATTTTTCAGGAATACTTTCCCAACATTTTCTGCCCATCAAAACGGCATTTATTTTATTTGGATTTTTAGTTGTTGTTGTTAAATTAATAAAATGTTTATATTCTTTGGGTAATCTCCACGGCAAAGAATTATTCTTTCCAATTCCAAAATTTTCGTCCACAGCAGCAATTATATTCATTGGAATTTTTGAAGACATTTTTAAAAAATATTTTTGGATTTTAATTAAAAATAAAAAATTGTTTTTTTTGGTTATTTATTTTTTTAAAATAAAATGAAATTGCTAGTAACATTGGCCCCGATAAAAAATGATTAAAAGTGGTTTTCGGTATTTTTGAGAGTTGCCAGTAGGTAATCAAGTTGATTTAAAAATTTAATTTTAAAAAACAAATTTCTCGATTTTATATTTTATTTTACATTCTATACATTTGAATATAATCAACAGAAACATATTTGTGAATATTAGACACGATTTAACAAATGAACTTTCAAGACAAAAATGGGTAAAAGAATTAGATTATTATGGTACATATGCAGATAAATTAAGTCAGGTGAAAGAACATTGTGGGAATACAATAACCCTATTTATAGAAGATTATGAGAATTTTTATTTCTCTTCCTATTGTTTGTTCGTTTCTTTATCATCTTCCTCATCGGTGTTGACACCTCCAGTACCGTGCTCGAAGAGACAACGAGTTCGATCGAAGCGCTCAGATTGTGAAGGAAATTGCATTTTGAGAGCCAGTTGCTGCGTCGAGACGAAATTGTCACCATCGTTGGTCTTAGTCATCTGCTCACAAGGTTGCAGTGCCACAGTTTCATGCTGTATATCCTCATTAGCATTTTTGCCGTTCTCATCCTTGATGGAAACCTCCTCAGCTGTTGTTGTTTCCTTCACTCCGTGTTGGCCAACAATGCGCATTTGATCAAGCGCCAATTGAACAATGTGTTCCTATAGAAAAATTACATTAGATAATTTTTTTCTAACTAATTATCACCTTTCTGCGTTCCTCAATTCCCTCTGTGTCCCTCACATCATTCCGGTCGTTGCAACCAATTTTAGGAATATCGTCTTGTTTCAATTCAGAAGTTTCATCTTCTTCCACTGGATCTTCATTCTCTGGTGCCTCGAAGATAGTGTTCAGGTCTGAGAAGGTGACACGACGTCGCAATGAACCAGAGCTTATGACGGCAGTTTCAGGTATGTAGTCTTCTTGCTGTTGCTCTTTGTTCTCTGAAGGGAAGTTCAACAACAGCGCCTTTTCAAGCGGAAAAGCGATTTTCTCCTCATTCTCATCATGATCGGCATCTTCCTTGTTTTCAACAGAATGTGGTTGCATCTCTTGTTCTTTAGCGGTGTCATCCGAACGATAAGCTTAAAAAATAAAATGATTAAACTTTATTTAACGATATCAACTCACCAAAGGAATCATCAGGATCAAGAAGTTGGAATATTCCATCGTCGGACTTAGGCGCACGCACAGAAGGAACTGGAGCAATATCGCCAACATTTCCATCGAAGGTGACAGTCTGAAATACATATAATTCATAAACATGTTCAGAAAGGAATACTTGCCTGATCCTCAAACACAGAATCTGTCTGAGTGCTGTTTTCGAAGAGAATTGGAGTAGTGGGTCGATAATGAACAGTCGGTGAACAATGATGAGATTCGTAAGAAGCCTCAGCCCTGCCACGTACAGCTTCAAGTATCGCGCGTCCCCAATCTAAGACTAGCGACTCTGGAAGACGGATTTTTACCGAGCCAAAGTTCCATTTCACACGAACATTGCAGATTCTTTGCGTTGTTGTTGATAGAAACACCTGTTAATTAAAGGAAATCTTACTTTTAAGTGTATTTACTTTTCTTATTTTTACCTTCTGAGTTTTGCATTTGAATTCCGCTCTTGCAGCCTTGCTCAGATTAACGGTGAAGCCCTCGTGCTTCCAATTGTCCGTATAGATGACCAGATGACCTTGCTTGCTCAGAACACATGTATGTATACCATAGGACACCGCACGTTCAATCCCGAACAGCCCACGACGCTTGATGGTCACATCCAACGAGGCAAACCGGAATGAGCCACGATCCAAGACACGTTTCCACACATCCAATGGAGGCAAAACAGCTTTCTGTAAAAATATTTTATCAATCGAATTATTTAGTCTAAAAAAGTATAGTAAACTTACTTTGGTGAACTCATGTTGAACCCGAATGACGAACAGTTCAACTTCGCATTGACGAGTTTCTGAAGCCTGAGCAGGACTACCGCTTACCATCTTTAGGGGCGAAGGAACCAGTTGACGTTCGCAGGTATATTGCCTATCCAACAAGGATACTCCAGCCATGTGAGAGTGCAGCTCGCCAGCCATGTGAGATTGCTGTGCCAATGATGTCGTTTTAGGCGCTAATGACAAATTGAAGTTTAGATTTGTTCACTCTCTCTTGCTTTTATATGAAAAAATATTACTTCGCTGCGAAACAACTAAGCAATTCTCCTCCAAATGCTCTCCGTCGTCTGCAACAGGAGCTTGTTGATGTGACTGATAATCCAATCGAGGGTATCAAAGTTCATTCTGCTGCCGAAGATATCTTCATATGGAAGGTTGCCATATTTGGTGCGCCTGGAACGTTCTATCAGGTCCTTTTACATTACTCGTTTTTGAAAGTATATTGAAATTTTTAATTTTACAGGGAGGCTACTTCAAGGCGGTTGGTTACCTTTGTCGCTTCTACATAATTCAATAACATTTATTTTTGCAGACGCTCAAGTTCCCGCCCAGATATCCATTCGAGCCTCCTTCCATGCGCTTCGATAATCCACTCTTTCATCCTAATGTGTATAAGGACGGAAGAGTATGCATAAGCATCTTGCACCCGCCTGGACAGGATAAGCTGAGTGGAGAAGTAATATAACATGAATTTTACTAAAATCTCGTTTGTTTTTTTAGTCGGCCGCCGAACGTTGGAACCCTGCTCATGGCGTCCGCAGTATTCTACTCTCCGTGATATCGATGCTGAATGAGCCTAACATTTCTTCACCGGCAAATGTGGATGCTTCTGTGAGCTACCGCAAGCATAAGGGTAATAAAAACATTAAAAATTTCCTCCAACAATAAATAATTTTTTCAGAGAATGGCAACAAAGAGTTCCCAGATATAATAAAGTATGAAAATAGTGTGAAAACGATTAGTATGTGATATTTTTGTTTCAGGAAGATGGTTGAAAAGTCGAAGGCGGAGGCAGCTAAGGACGGGGTGAAGGTACCTGAAACTGAGGAGGAGTACGTAATCAGAGCTAGAGTAAGGCGTCAGTAAGCGGAGAACGAAGGCGGCACTGATAATGGCGATGTTGGCCTAGAGGGTAATCATTAATAACTGGAATACTTTTAAAAAGTTCGCATATTTAGAAGAGTTCTATGATGCTTGATTCTGTTGATGCACTAGCCTGACGTGTAGGAATTGATGTATGTACTATAATTAATAAATGAAAAATAGATGATTAGCATGTATAACAAACTATTGTATATAAGTCCCTATTCTTATCCCTATCTTTAAATGTGATTAGGTAATTATGTATTTATACATATTAGAATGTATATTCCTTTATTGTATGTATTGTTAAACTTATCTCGAGTATAAAATTGGTAGAGTACGTGGATTAAGAATTTAAAGATAAAGCATAAAACAAAATTTTGAACCGAAACACATGTAAGAAATTAAAGGCTGCCAGAAAGTAAATGCACACTCGTAAATTTATCAGAACTTTTTTTAAGTTTACATTTTTAAATATATTTATACTCATTTTGTAGCCCATTCAATTCTCATTTATTTAGTATTTAACATTCTTACAAAAGATTTAGCGTTTGCAAAATTTCACCTCTTTCATATGTTTCCATATGTAGTTCAAAAAATTAACTATCCTTCGTAGTAACACAAAAATAAGTTTGAACAGTGAAAATTCAGTTGCTCATAACTTTGTTCAAAATTATCAGATCAGTCTGATTTTCAATTTGACACAATTTTACCAAGAGTTTTACACTTTTACATACATGTATCATCTTACTTCTTAAAATTAAAAAAAAACATCTATTCATTGACGAAAAGTCCGTTGACGAAAATTCGTGCCACCCTAAATATAATGAATTAATAGTTTAAGATTACAGATTAATACATTTAGGGAAATATATATTTTGATGTAATTTAAATATATTTATTTCTACTAATTGTATTTTAAAAAATTCGAAGCTAATTATTTAATCTTAAAATATGTCAATCAAATTAATTGTTTTGTTTAGTGAAAGAATTCAATTTATTTTTTTTAAGAGAACATTTTTTCTTTTTTTTTCTTTTAACTTTTTTCCGTTTAAAAATTTTTAAAAAAAATTTAAAATGATTAATAATACTAATAAATTAATTAAAATAATTAATTTAATAATTTATTTAATTTTATCAAAATCTATTAAAGTATTTTGTGTATCTTTAGACTTGTCAACAATTGGTTGTGATGGAAATTGTATTCAAGAAATGGGAAAAGTTTTAAATAAAATTTAGAAAAAATTATTTTTATTTTTATTAAAAGTTAATTGAAGTAACCCCAACTTCTTCAATATTATATAGTAATGAACAAGCATTTATGAGCAAATTCTTTAAAAATGTTTGCAAGTAAATAAATTAATTTAGAAAATTATTTAAAATTAAAAAAACTTTCTCAGTTCATATCGTGAGGTAGATGAATGTTTATTACGTTGTGAGTCTAAAAGTAAACAAGTTGCTGATCTTAAAACAGCTTATGCAGGGTTACAATTTGTTTGTAAACAAAGAAAAGAAGGTAAAAAAATAAAGAAATAAAATTTTAATTATTTTTAATTATTTTTGAAAGAATTTTTTGGTTCATTGCCTTGCCTTTTTGAGTAAATTTAAATAAATAAATTAATTATTTATTTTAAAAGAAATGAAATAAAAGGGGTTAGACATTGTTCTATTCAAATTAATCGTTCACAAGAAACAACAATTTTATTTACAAATGCAATTATTTCTCGTGAATTTCATTCGATGCAAATGCGTTTTAGTGCTCTTTGCAGGTAAATAATTGAAAAAGAAAATTAATTCGAAAAAATATTTTTAAAGGGATCTTTCTTCTGTCATTCGTTGCATGTAAATAATTAAAAATATTTTAAATTAATCAGGAAAATGTTAAAAATTAAAAAAAATTAACCAAAAAAAATTTTTTGAAATTAATTTTGTGTAAATATTATTAAAAAAGAAAATTTTTTAAAGGTTGCCAATAATTAATTCGAGTTGTGGAGACAGACCAGCCTCTTTATTACTAAATTTTATTGGACTTGAATTTTCAAGTTTTGATACTTTATATCAACAATTAGGCTTTGATTCTCCTTTACCAATTTCTTGTAGATCTTTAATTAAATATTCATTAAATAATTTAAACAAAAAAGATGAATTATTTAATAAAAATAAATTAATTTTGAAAACATCAGCAGAAAAATCTTCAAAATTTTTAATTAATTCTGGAATTTGTAGAAGAAAAAAACAAAATATTTTTATTATTTTATTTTTATTTATTTTAAAATATTTCTTTTTTAAATAAATTTAAAATTATTTTTTTATTGAACCAAAAAATTATTTAAGAAATATTTATTTCCTTTTAAATTATACAAAAATTATTTAATTAAACATGAATTTAATTTATATACATACATTATTTATTAAAAATAATTATGCTAAAAAAGGGAAAGAATGAGTCGAGATTAACAGTTAATATGAATATATGTATATCACTTATTAATCAAGGTCTATAAACATTTATTTATTTATTGCCCCTCATCTCCTCCTTCTACCTCTTCCACTTCTCCTCCTTCTCCCTCTGCTCCTTCTTCTCCCTGTACTGCTCCACCTCCTTCTTCTTGTTCATTACGGTGAGAAGCCAACTTCTTGTCCAATAATTCCAATGTTGCATTCATCGAACGGTGTAGACGAACATAATGTTCACGTAATCCTTGGGCAAATAAATTAGCACCACGAGCGAATTCTTTCTGTCGATCAGGAAAACTCCGAACATATTGATCCATCTTGAAAATTAATTAAAAAAGTAATTTCCCTTCCTTAGTAAATACCTTCACTAATGCAAAGCTAAAATTACTTTCAGCTTTGGAAAGATATTCTTTGTTAATCGGAGTTGGCTTTAATTCAACAACTTCAATTGCTCGACCTAAAGCAAGGGCTGCCTCGTTTGTTGATTTAATATTCCTTTCAATTCCTGGCACTTCATTAACTAAATAGCCTTTGAAGATTTTCTCAATAACAGTTTTGTAGAGCTTTAAATAAAAATAATTTCTTCATTCTCTCCCTTCCCCTTCCCTTCCCCCCTACCTTAACCAAATGTTCTCTCTCCAAAGTTGCCAAATCAGAATAAGCTACTTGTGTTGCAATTAATACTTCATTTACTTCATCAATATCGTCAGTGAATGGCAACTTTTGTATTTTTCCTAATTGTTCAGCACATTTATGTGGATATGTCAGTCTTGCATCTAACGAAGGAGCAGCACTTGCTGGACGAATTTTCACATCCCATTTCTCAAGTACTTGCTCCATTGATTTACAAATCTAAATTTAAATAGAAAAAAAAATTTTTTTTTTTAATTTTAAATTTACCTGTTCGAGTTTAATTTTATTTTTATGAAATTCTTCAATGAAATCGTGAGTCTCCTTTGGTATACTTCAAGAAAAACAAATTAAAAAATAAAATTATTTTCTCTTAAAAACTCACATAATGTCCATATCCAATGGAGAAGGAGAAGGCTCGTCCAACAGCATTGCCTGAATGATCCTCTCTGCAATCTCGTTATTGAGGCTAACCATGACAAGTGTTCGACAGAATAGAGGCGGCAAAACTCTAACAAGTTGGATGTTAATTGTTGAGAAGAATAGGGATTAATTTAATTGTTGTCAACCTTTTTATATTAAAAGAAATTTTTAAATAATTGAAGAAATAATGATTAAAAATTATCAACCTTTTCGATTTTATTAATATTTGAATGAGAATTTATAAAATAAAAACAAATTTTTAGCTTACTTTACTAATAAATATTTAAATTAAAACTAAATTAGTCTTTTTATTTCTAATTTTTATTTAATTTTGCTTTATTTGCAATAAACACATCATTATTTAATTACTGCTAGAATTCATATTCTAAACTTATGCTTAATTTTATCAGCTTTTTCTTTCTTTCTTCACGTGAGTATTTTTAATGGCCTGACGTTTATAATTATTTATTTTAATGATAACAAAAACATATGTAACTAAATATATTTATTTATTGTATAGCAGGTATTTGTTGTAATTATTTATTTATAAGTTCACTCACATAAATACAAACAAAACATCCCAATTAAAAGTTTTTCTTTTATAAAAATAAATTATCAACCAAAATTTCGATATTTTTCTCTAACAATGATAAGGAAAATCACACAACATTTTTTACCCGCCAATCAACTAAAAATCATCCAAGAAGCACGCCATCCATGCCATAATGATATGAGGAAGGAGGACTATTTAAAATAAATGGAAAGATGGCCATAACTATCATTATTTTAGAAAATCATTCCATACACATTTTTATTTTAATTAATTTCGAAATAAATAGTATAAGGGAAATTTATTTAACTCAAGCAACACTCTAAGCGTTAATAAAAAAATATTATCAAGCCTTTAGTCTTTTCTTAATCCGATAACAATTTTATAAAAGAATATTCACTCCTTTATAACTTTTTAATTTTAGACTGTCTCAAATAACTTGGCAAAATATTTCTAAAAAAGTAATTTAAAAATGTTGGAAACTATAACAGCAGCACAACAACCAAAAGTTTTTTCTTTTGAAAAAATAGTAATTATTGGGACTGGACTAATGGGAACCGGAATTGCCCAAGTAAAAGTAAAAATTTAAATTTTAAAAATCCCCAATTAAAGGTAGCATTAGAATCGGGTATTCAACAGGTTACTGTTGTTGGCCGAAGTTTAGATAAATGTGAAGAGGCTAAGAAAAAAGTTTTATTGGGAATACAAAAATCAACAAAAAGAAGAATGTCCAATGAAAGTTTAGAGCAACAACAAAAATATATTGAAGCTGTTATTAAAAATTTAAAATTTGTTTGTGATTTAGAGGAGGCTAATTTAGTAAATGCTGATATGGTTATTGAAGCTGTTGTTGAAAATTTAAAGGTACATATTTTTAAAGGAATATGATTGTTATTGTTGATTGTTTGTTTTTGAATATTTAAAAAATATTTTTTAATAAAAATTCTTTTTTTTTAATTTACTAAAAATAATTTTATTTATTTAAAGGTAAAACAAAAATTGTTTGTTGATCTAGAATCCCGTGTATCAGAAAATTGTTTATTAGTTACAAATACTTCTTCGTTCCTTTTGGAAGATGTTTCTTGTAAAATGAATGAAGATCGTCTTAAAAACTTTGGAGGACTTCATTTCTTTAATCCTGTAAATATGTTTAGTAAATGTCCAGCTCGTGTCTAACTACACGAGGAAAATTAAGGAAGTGAAGGGGATAAAGAGACACGAGCTGGACATTTACCAATATTTTTTAAATATTAAAACAAAACTTTAATTTATTTAAAAGGTTCCAGCAATGAAATTAGTCGAAGTTGTTAAAGGAAATAAAACTTGTGATGAAGTAAATGAAGCACTTTTTCGTTTTTGTCAAAAAATAGGGAAAAGTCCAGTTAAATGTTCGGATTCCCCTGGATTTATTGTTAATAGACTTTTAATTCCTTATTTGGCTGATTCTATGCGTTTAGCAGAAAGTGGAAATGCCTCACATAGAGACATTGATGCGGCTATGAGATTGGGAACTGGTAAATTAATTAAATAAAAAAATATATGTGATAATTTATAAAAGTTAAGTTGGGGAAAGAAAAATAAAATCTAAATGGGGAAATTAATTTTTAAAAATAAATTTATTTGAAGGTCATCCAATGGGTCCATTTGAATTAATGGATTATATTGGTTTGGATACAATGAAATTTATAATGGATGGTTGGCATCAACGTTGCCCGGATGATCATCGTTATACTCCTTGTGAAAGTCTTGAACGTTTAGTTACTTCGGGGAAAGTTGGAAGAAAATGTGGGGAAGGATTTTATCGTTACACAGCAGCAAATAAACAATAAAAAGAAATTAAAGGAGAAAATAAAATAAAAATTATTTTAAAAGAATTAAAATATTAAATTTATATTTATGTAATTTAAAAAATAACAATAAATTTGTAATATATAATTATTGTAATAAATTTAAATTTTCTTCTTTTCTTCCTCAAAACCCTCCTCCTCCACCCGTATAACGTCTAGGTTTTGGCAAAGGACTTTGACCAAAACTAGTTGGAAATCCACACATTTCAACCGGAAATGAAGGTGTTCTGAAGGATTTTAACATTTTAATTTTTTTATTTAAAAAATAATATTCAACAAATAAAGCAATTAAAAGTAGGGGAATTAAGGCTGAAAATTAAAGAAATTTAAATTAAAAAAAATATTTTACAAAGAATTGTCCACATCCAAAAAGGAATTTCTGCAAACAAAAAAGGACATTGGCTCTAAAAAATTATTAAATTTAAATATCATCTAAAAAGTATTTATTTACTTGTTTTTCTTTTTCTTCATTTATTGGAAGGGAACTTTGCTTTAATTGAACAAGTAATCTATTACGTTCTTCTAAATTAGGCCCTTCATCTCTGGCAAATATAACTAATCCATCAGCAACAACATCTATTGTTATTAAATTTTTTTGTTTATTTTCTAATGAATTGGTTGAAGTATTATTTAAATCTGAAAAATAATAAAAAAAATTTCATTGAAAATTTTTAACTGTTAAATTAGTATAAATTCAATTATGAATTTATACTTAAAATCAGGGCGGCCCTTTTACCCTATTTCTGGAGGATTTTCCCTATTTTTGACCTTTTCGCCCTATTTTTTCCCTATTTTCTCATTTGCCATATTTTTGCCCTATTTTTACCATCTTGTAAAATTTTAAAAATTCTTCGGATTTTGTAAGAAAAATGGTAAAAATTAAGGATTTCTGACTTTCTGGCCTTCCAAAATCCCCAAAATTTTTGCCTGCGGCACAAAAAATTGAAGAAATCTGGCCTCTAGCCTCCTAAAATCATCAAAATTTTCGCCTGCGGCGCTGAAAATTGAAGAAATTTGGCTTCCTGGCTTTCCAAAAAACTCAAAATTTTCGCCTTATTTGAAATTTTAATTATGTTTAAGCTTTTAAAACTATACCCTAATTTTTGCCCTATTTATGGCCGATTTCTCCCTATTTTTGCCCATTTTTGAGTGGCTGCGCCCTATTTTAGTGTTTTGGAAGGGGCCACCCTGCTTAAAATCTAATTTTAAAGCAGCGGCCCACAAAATATTTTGAGTCCCTTAGCTTTTGATGTTTTAGTTATCCTTAATATTCTTGTTTTATCCCCTCAAAACCAACCAATTTTCTGTTTATTATTTTCGCTTTTATTTTCAGTTTCTAAATTTCTTTTATTCCTTTCTTTCCTTCCATTTCCAATATTAATTAAAGGAATCCATAACCCATTTTCTTCATTTAATTTACAACATTTAATTAATGGTAATATTTTGTTATTTTCTCTATTTTGTTGATTTTTATATTTAATTAAAATATTTTGGTTTTGTTGAGTATCACGAGAAGATTGAATAATTGGAAGAGGAGGGCCTCCATTTGAAGGTAAAGGAATAAATTGACAAGAAGGAGGCTTTAAAATAAAATTTAAGAAAATTATTATTATTTAAAAAAACAGTAATTCCTTCACATCCATTTTGCCTTTTATCACACAAAGTTATTTGGCAACGAAAGAATATAGACATTTGATCAGCAAATTTAAAAGCATTAATTAAAGTAAAAGAAGAATTTAATTGAGAAGAATAAATTAATGGGGGCATTAATGAATTATCTGTTACACAACCACGTTGGTCTATTAATTGAAAACTATGTCCATTTCCGTCTCTAACAGTACAGGAATGGACTAACATACCTAATTCTTCTAAATTTAAATGAATATTTTTTAATATTTTCTTTAATTCTTTACCACTTTCACAACTCCATTTATGTGTTAATTGTTCTCCAATATTTGCAAACCGAACAGATTCTTCTTTATTTAAAGATTCATTACTTCCATTTAATAATCTAAGTACTTCATATTGACATAAAGGGGCGTCTGCTTGAGAAGAAATTTTTGAAGAGGAAATATCACTTTAAATTAATTAAGAGGGATTTTAAAGGAAAAAGATATTAGGTACTTTATATCTAATTTCCTTTCAAGTTCTCTAAATAAATCTCTATAAAAACAAGTAACACTATATGCTCTGTCTCGATTAGTTACAAAAAGATGGTGATGTTGAACAATTACCTTTAAAATAATTTTTAATCCAAAGAATATTTTTAAAAAATTCACTAACAACAGTACTATAAGTAATTCCAGAATTATTTTCTACTTCTTCTCTCTCTCGAGTATTATTTAATAATAATTTTCTTTCTCTTTTAATTTGGCAATCACTTTTATATGGAATATGTAAATAGAAAGGTTGATTAATTGGTTGTTTACTATAATCAACATGGCAATGACTTGAAAAGAAAAATCCTCTTAAATAAACATGTCCACTAAAAGGTAATGAAGAAGAAGATTCTCCTTCCCCTCCTTCTGGAATAAAATGAAGTCTCATTCCATTTACCAAACATTCCTTTAATTTTTAATTAAAATTATTAAGATTTTAAAAATATTTCCAACCAATTCTGGAGGAGTATTTATATCTGATGAAACAAAAAACAAAAATTGAATAATTAAATAATTAATAAATAAATATATTTTATTTAATTTTAATAACAACATTTTTAATTTTTAATTTAAATATAAACAAGTTTTGGTTATATATTAGTTAAAGTTTCAAAAATAAAAACACTTTTTTTACTAGAAATATAATAATAGGCTTAGCGCTTATTTTTAAAAATAAGTAGATTATTTAATTTTTAATTTATTTATTTAAAATTATAATTTTATTTATTTTTTAAAAATTACGAAAATAAAAATATTTATTTACAAAAAATATTAAAATATCAATTTTTGTTATGTAAATTCAGCAGGTGGATTATATATAGTTTTTTCTTTATAATAAACTTCTTCATGTTCTTTGTCACAAATTAATAAAAGTAAAGCACCAAAAATAAATCTTTTTTTTAAATTAAAATATATTTATTTATTTAATTAATTAATTTACAATAAGGCCCCCCAAGCAACACCATAAGACCAATCAAATTCCCAATTTCTAAGTCCATAAGAATTTATTGACAAATAAAAACATATTGGAAAACCAACAAGTGTTGCCAATTCAGAGAAAACTTTTTTTAAAAATTAAATTTATTAATTTATTTAAAATTATTTAATTGTTTTTTTTTTAAATAAAATGAAACTTGATACAATATAAATAGAGTTAATATTTTTTAAAAAAATTTTGAATTTAAATACTTTTTGTAGCAATCAAATGTTTAAATTTAATTTTAAAATTACTAATTACCAGCAATAAATGAGAGCCAAGTTGCTGATTTATAAAAAATATATTTTCTGTGTAAATCATTACTTCTCAATGCTGCTGTATTTACAAAAATTGCAAATAAATTACAAGCAGCAGAAATAATTAACAAAACTGAAGCTATTCGAACAAATACTTAAAATTAATTTTAAAAACAATTAATCTTATTTATTCAATTAATTATTACCCTTCCCCTCAGATAACTAATGCCCTCCCCCTAATTTATTTATTTTACTCCCTACAAGTTATTTATGAATCTAATTATTTAAGGTAAAAAATTAAATTTAAAAATTTGTTTTTAATTTAATCAGCCCTCTATAAAAGTTAAATCAATTCCAATTTCTACTTTAAATTTTTTTACATTTCTTATCGTGGGATTAAGTGAATAAGAGGAGATATTGGGGGAATTGAAGGAGATATCTGCTCTTATTTGTAATTTTAAAATTATTTTTATTTTTTGCCTGTATTTCTTGCCGGTGATTGGCATTGCCCTTCTGGCGGGGCATTAGGTACTGGATTTGTAGGTGTAGATGCTGTCCTTTCTGTACATTCTTGAAATAGTCCAGTATGGAAAGAATATGTTTTTAGCCAATAATTACTTAACAAAGAAACACACAATAAAAATAAAGAAAGGCACAAACAAACAAGGGAAATTACCTTTTTTTGTTAAATTGAAATTAAATTTAAATTAATTTACTTTTAAAGGCCTAACAACAGTAACTGTTTCAACTGTTGTTGTTTGAGCTGGCATTTGAATTTAAATAATTAAATAATTAGATAATTATCTCTTTAATATTTTTAATAAAATTTAAAAGAAATTTATTTTAATTTTTAAAACTAAAAATATTTATTAAAGTCAAAATATAATAAATAAATAAAATTTATTTATTTATAAACCCTTTCCTTCCTTCAAAATCGATTTGTCAAAACACGGGAAAGATTTGTATTTAGTATAAGAAAATATTTGGTGAAAAGAAGGAAAATACACGCGCGCAAATCCCCGGAAAGATGAAGGAGGGATTGAATAAATAGAAGTTTTGGAAATGGTGTTGGCATAAATTGAGTTTAATAAAAGAAAATTAATTTTTAATTAAATTTATTTAATTATTTTAAAAAATATTTTTTAGTTAAAGTAATGGGGGTATTTTAAATAATTTATTTTTTAAAAAAGAACACAAATTAGTTAAAGTAATTTAAAATAATAAGAATTTAAATAATTACTTATATAAATGGAAAACATTATTTTAAAATAACAACAAAAACTTAGTGAAATTTAAAGAAAGTTAAAGGAATTATGAAAAAAATGTTTTTAAATTAATCCAGACATTATAACTTTTAAATGTTATTATTTTAATTTATGTTATAAAAAATAATGTAATTTTAAAAAATATAAAAAAATAACTTAGTCTTTAAAAAAATTCAAATCAAAATTTATTTTGTATTTTGCGGAATGTAAACATACATACATGCCAAAAAAATGATTTTTTAAATAATTTAAGATGTACATATGTACTTACTTTTATTGTAGTAAATCAAAAACCTAAGTAAATCAAAAAAAAATTACAAAAGGAAGGTAACAATACGGGAAGGGTAAAAAAATTTAAAAAAAGATAAAAAAATAATAATTTATTTTTAAGTGTCAAAAACATTTTTTACAATGAATTTATTTAAAAAAAGGTTTAATTTACAATATTTAGTAATTTTTTGATTAGAAAGCTCCTTTTAAAATTCACTTTATTTCCTATAAAGGTTGATTTCTCCTCGAGAATTTATTTACAAGAGAGACATTTTTATTGATTTAAAATTGGTTTTTGCCAAAAAAGGTGTGAAAAGACTAAAAATAAATATAGCCAACCAATACTTATACAAATAAATAAAATAAGAGAATTGCAAATACCTTCACAAACACTTCAAAATAAGTAAAAGATGGGAAAAATAGAATTTTTTAAAGTAAAAATATTTAAAATTTTTAGAGAAATACATAAATACTGTTAAGAAATGGATACTTATTTTAAATTAATTTTTAAAAATAATTTAAAAAAAAAAGTATGACTTAAACTGACGTTAAAATATATTTATTTGTTACACTTTTCAATTCATCAACAACTGATGAAAAAGGGGGTATATATTTGTAGGTATATGTACTATTTGTTGTTTGCTTTTAAATGATGGATGAATCAATTTTTGGGTGAAAGAAAGGAAATAAAATACACTAAATTGAAATTAAAAATATTTTAGTAAAATAAATTAAAAATTAAATAAATTTATAAAAATTTGAAAAAATAATTAAATAAAATAATTTTTTACATTTTTCAAAAATAAAATAAAAAATCCATTTGACAAATAAAAAGTAAAGTAAAAGAATTTTTTTGAGGGATTTAAAAGTAAATTGTGCCAGCCGTGAAAAAAATAAACAAAACAAAAATATATAAACAATATTCACAAGTAGTTGGTCTCTCGAGAGAAAATGGCGGCTTTTTTTTCTTTTTTAATGGCTAAAATAAAGAAATAATGAAGAGAATTAAAATTATTTTTGATAGAGAAATTGTATGTATAAATAAAATAATTTTAATTTAAAAATATTTATTGTTTTTTTTAATTTGAAAATTTTACTCAATTTTTCATTTAAAAATACTTTTGTTGCTCCAAAGTTGTCACTCCTTAACTGAATATTAATTTATTATTTATTCTTTTAAAAGAAAATAAAAATTTGCATTTTAGTGACATGAAAAGCATTTTTAAAATAAATGACAAGAAAATATTATTACAAATTTTTTACTATTTTTTAGAGAAAAAAATATTTATTTGTACACACAAAATATATTTATTTTAAAGATTATGACAAAGCAAAAATCGTAAAATAGCGGCAATCAAAAAAGACGGTATTTTTCTTTTACGGAAAGTTTAAATAAAAATATTTATTTTTATTTTAAGTCAATCCTTAGTACAATTTTTAATGTATAAATGTTGCTTTCTAATTGTTGAGACGATCTTTTAAGGATTAAAAAAGGAAATAAATGATTAGAAAAAAATATATATATAAAAAAACAGGATTTTTAAAAGTAAAGAATTTTGTTGTTTGTTATAATAATGTGTGTATATTCTTTTAATTGTTTTCAAAAATTTTGATTTTTAAAATTTAAAGTTTTTAATTTTCTAAATCAATTTATATTTAAATTTAAATAAACATATTTTGCAAAGAATTTTAATTATAATCTAAATAAATGTCAGACACATTATTTTTGTTTTATCCATTTCAAGCATCTGCCGGCTTTGGAACTTGTGGTTCTGGTTTTGTTCTAAAAAATTAATTTAATTTATTTTTGATATTAAATTGGTTAAAATTATTTTTCGATTAAAAAATGAAAGTAAATAAAAAGAAAAATTAAAAGAAGAAAGGAGGAGAATAAATAGAGCGGTTTAATTAACAATTATTAAATTAAAATATATTTTTTAAATTATTTACCGAATTCCAGTCAACATTGATTTAATTTCTCCAATAGCCTTTGCAGGATTTAAATGCTAAAAAATATATTCTTTTATTTTATTTTAAAAAACCTTTGGACATGTTTTTGTGCAATTAAGAATTGTATGACATTTAAAAGCAGAAAATGGATCAGTTAAACGAGAAAGTCTTTCCTTTGCTTTATCATCACGAGAATCAATTATCCATCGAAAAAAAAAGAATTTTTTAAAATAATTATTCTTTCTTTACCTATATGATTGAAGAAGCGCTGCAGGCCCCAAATATTTATCGGGATTCCACCAATAAGAAGGACATGAAGTACTGCAACAGGCACACAAAATACATTCATAAAGACCATCCTAAACAAAATTTTAAATTAAAAAATAATTTTTAAAAAATATTTACAAGACTAGCTCTCTCATCAATTGTTTGATACATTTCCTTTTCTCCCAAATTTAACGGTTTGTTCTTTTGTAGCCAAGGCTGTACTGAACCATATTGTTGATAGAAAAGTGTCATATCCGGAACTAAATCCTTAACAACATACCTAAAAAACAAATTAATTATTAAAAAAATATTTTATATAAAATTTGCTGAGAATTTTAGTAAAAAAGTACTAAATTAAAGAACTCAATTTTGAGGTTAAAATTTTGTGTCATTTAAAAATTAAGAAGACATACATATGCGGAAGTGGATAAATCTTTGTAGATTTATTTGAATTTTTATCAATATGACAAATACAGGCAAGTGTATTTTCTCCATTTATATTCATAGAGCAAGAACCACAAATCCCTTTAAATAAAAATTGTTAACATAATTTTAAAAATAAAAAAAACCTTCACGGCATGAACGACGAAATGTCAAAGTTGGATCTATTTCATTTTTAATTTTAATCAAAACATCCAAAACCATTGGTCCACATTTATTCAAATCAATATCATATTTCTTAAAAAAAACTTTTGATAAAAATTAAATTTGCGTTTCCCCTCTTTTTACTTTTCCGTAATTCCTCTCCATTCTTGGTAGAGGGGAAACAATTAAAAATGAATTGAATTTTGTATAAAAAATGTGAAAAATGATGGCAAACGTTTTTTTCAAAAATAGGAAAACTAGAAATTTAGAACTTTCATTTAAAAGAGAAGCTCCGTTTAATTTTTGTTTTTTTGCTTCTGAAAATATTTAATCGATAAGATTCGACGGACAAATAAAAATTTTAAAACAAAAACTCAACTTTTTTAAATAAAATTTCAAAAAACCTGTAAATGAGGTTTAACTTCTGGAGTTTCTGGATTATAACGATAAACTTCAAATGCCTTAATATTTGGACTTTGAACAGAAGCAGCAGAAACAGCAGTTCTAAAACTAAATAACGAGGGGTAATGACGAGAATTGATTAACAAAATATTACGCATTTTTATCAAAGCTTTTATCTAAAATTTTTTAAATAAAAAAGAATCTAAAAGGAAGTAGAAAAATTTATTGAAAAATGAATTTATTAAATTTTAATCGTTCTTTTTCCTTGACAATAAAATTTTAACGTTCTGTGCAAAATGTTTTTGAGGCATTTTGTCGCAAGGACTTTCTGATTTTTTGATAAAATATTTAAAAGCTTGTTTATACATTTTGCCAGTACTATATTTTGTCGGCTCCATGACGCGCGCTCCGAAAATGTCCTACCACGAAAATGTCCTAATGAATAAAAACCCCCGAAAATGTCCTACAGAACAAAAACCCCGAAAATGTACCATACTAAAAATGTCCCACTGAACAAAAACTTGGGCAATCCCGGAGAGAAAGGTTTCTTCGAAAAAAAATTTAAAAATAAGAAAAAGGAATTTTCTAGGTCTGCTCCCAATTTTTAAATTAGAAAAAGGAAAAAAATATTCGTCTTAATCAAAAACAAATTACAAATATTATATTTATGGATGGGCAAATACATACAATTAATACGTACAAAAAATCAGAGAAAAGAAGATCCAATATACACACAAGATTTTTATCTTGACATCGTTCTGCTATGATGAGTGTTCTTCTTTTGCCAATCATAAGGCTCCCTCAAATTGCAATTCCGTCGTTTCGCCACACGCTTGACCATTTCGCGAATCCAATGGTAGTCTATCTTGTCCACATAGTGCAGTCCATTCAAGTATGTGATCACCTCACAGAACTCGCTCTCCTGTAAAAATTAAACAAGAGATTATATTGCCTTAAAAGAAGTCCATTAGGGGTGCGCCGAAACAGATTTTAAAAGCGAAAAACGAAAGCCAAAAGGCGAAACGGCACACCCCTGTTTCCCAACAACTACCTCGGAGCTCTTGAACAATGTTCGTGGCTCAGCAATCGCCTTCCTCTTCATTCGCTCAACTTCGTCCACGTCGGTAACCATGTGCCACGGAAGTCGATTTTCATTGACCATGTCCACAACCATATAGATCCAACTCTCGCAGTCGTCTTTACGTCCAAGCTCCTCCATCTTGTGCATGGTCACTGGGGCGAAGCGGACGGTGCCTTTGAACTTTATCTGAAAATTTTGAAAAAGATAACCAACTTCGTTATGATTTTATCTTTCTTTACCTTTCTTCGTGGTGTCAGCATACTCCCCTTCGCGTCAAGAATCTTCCGTGCAATCCCGTAATCGACAACGTAAACAGTGTTTGCGTCTTTGGTCCCTGGCGCTCCGATCACGAAATTTGCCGGTTTGATGTCGCGGTGAAGAAAGCCAAGATCGTGCATTTCTTTGATCGCATCAATCGACTGGATGGCACAATAGTAGGCAGTGTTAGGGCTAAAAATATTAAAAAGAAGAAATTAAAAAATAGACCTCTTCCGGTAACAAACCTGAAGATCCTCTTTCTGTACGCTCGCTTTATGTCTCCCAGCGACTTGCCCAAAAGCGTCATGACAATGAACATACTCTTGGTTGAACTGTGCGGTTCACTATGGTCAATGAGCGTGGGCAAGTGTTGTCTCTCTTCCGGCTTTGCCAAGGCAGCTGCCTGCAACACCCGCACCTCCATCTGCAGCTTGTAGTGGTCACGCTTTGGAGCACGCTTCTCAAGTTTTAGAGCAAAGACGCCTCCTTTAGAGCCTCGAACTTTGTGGACAGCGCCGTATCCGCCAGAAGCGATGTCGGAAACTACAATGAACTCCTGTGTGGCGCTAAAAAAGGAGAAAAGATGAGAACGGATTTATAAAATTGTGAAATGAAAACTGACCCTTGGTACGTTTTTACGCTGGCCTCCGAACTTATTGACGCAGTGTGCATGGTAGTTGACGTTGGACGATTAGTGGTCGAGAAAGGAGGAAGAGAAGCAGTGGAGTAGTTATGGGTGGTAAGGAACAAAGATTTTGAGGCTTTTATAATGCTTATCATCGAAGTATAATCAAAGTCGATTTACTCAAAAAACTTCAAATATAAAAACCGTCAGTTAAGAAGCGCCAATTAAATCCAGTTACTCATTTCTAGTTTCTAGCTAGCCGGTTTCGTCAATTCACCCCTTCCAGCCGCACTTGTGCGCTATGGCCAACATGGACATCGACAGATTACTGACGTATCTTATTGATAAGCAAGGCCCTGACCTCGCCGCAGCTGTGAGTTTGCTTATATTTTGTTTAATAATTCCTTCTGTAATTCTATTTTAAGGTTGACGCGTCTGTGCTTTTTGAAGTTTGCCGTCAGGCCCAACAAGTTTTCGAGTCGCAACCCGTCCTTCTGGAGCTCAACCCGCCTGTGGTCGTTTGCGGTGACATTCATGGACAATATGTGGACCTATTGCGGATTTTTCATCAGCTAGGCTACCCACCAACGGCAAACTACCTTTTCCTAGGAGGTTTGGATAGCTGTGTTTCCCTTTAAAGAAATAAAATTTAACTTTTCATAGATTACGTCGACCGTGGAACCAAAAACCTGGAGACGATCGCTCTGCTCTTCTGCTACAAAATCAAGTACCCGCGCAACTTCTTTTTGCTTCGAGGAAACCATGAAACGGCTGCAGTTAATGCTGTGTACGGCTTCCGGCAAGAGATTCAAAGGAGATTTGGTCGGAATGAGCATGGACCGTTGTGGCGTATGTTCAACGAGGCATTTTCGCAAATGCCTGTCACGGCAATTATTGGGGGTGAGGAAATAAATTTTCAGACGTGTCAGCGAAAATTCTCTTTTTTTAGGACGTATCCTTTGTATGCACGGAGGCCTTTCGCCACACTTAGAGACCAGAAAGCAGCTACGCAAAATACCTCGAGGATGGCATGACCCTGGAGAAAACCGACTAGCATTGGACCTGCTGTGGTATTGAGACTGGGTTTGAGTCAAATGACATTTTTTCTCTTTTAATGTAGGTCCGATCCCGACCCAACCATAAGAGGCTGGAGACCAAGTCCCCGCGGATGCAGCTACTTATTTGGTAATGACGTTCTGCTAGATTCTTGCCGTCAACTCGACATTGATCTGATTGTGCGCGCGCACCAAGTGGTCCAGGATGGATATGAAATCAACCCAACTCAACGACTCATTACAGTGTTTTCAGCACCGAATTACTGTGGAGAAGTGAGTTAGGAAGAGAGACTCGTCTATACTTTAAAAATTTCCTCCGTTTTTCAGTTCGACAACGCCGGCGCAGTGATGTACGTCGACCAGAGGCTTGGATGCTCTTTCGTTCAATTTCGACCCAAAGTGTGAAAATGGAAACAGAACGGTCAGAACTAAATCATAAATATTGATTGTATTGTTTACCCTAGTTTTTTGTTTAACCCTTACTGTTCATTTTCGTTGTTAGCTGTGATATTTTTGTTTTGTATGTGCTATTGTATATTCAATCTATTAGCATTAATAAAAAATTAGCGTGTATTCAGGGTTATATTTCTTAATTTTTAAGCCAAACTTTCGGGGTCGTCATTTCGGATGCGACAATTGTCAAATGGTGTCGTACACATATGTCGTCCGAATCGTCTTCCAGATTTGTCGCATTCACAATTGTCGTAAACCCCTCTCCTGTCTTAATGACAGATTGACATTTGGACGCGAGCCACTTGTACGCAAGGCAACTTTCTTAAGCGCAGTCTTAAAATTTTTAGATAACGTCAAAATTCGTATTTTTCGCCTAAAATTTTTTTATCGTTTTTGTTCATTTTGTTGTTTCTACTTTAATTCTCCAACTAATTTTTCTTATTAGATAATTGAGTACTCAAACAAGAATATAATTACTAGAAACATAAATGGATTAACAATACTTCAACTTTAATTTAATCAAAAATATTGTTTAAACCTTTTTTATCAGGTGAATCATTTATTCTCCCAAATATTTATAATAAAACTTTTTCTGGCCAAAAATATTTTTATTATTCATTAAAATATTATCCTCAAAACTAGTTTTATATTCCCCCTTTTTCTCTGTTGTTTGGTCGTGCGCGTACGCCACACTTCTCTTTAAGAGCTGTGCTAGCAATGCGAATTTCACATATGATTTTTGGGAAGAGGACCGGCTTAGTAAGTTTTCCTCGGCTACATCCCACCTTTCATTTATTCTTTCCTCTATATATTTTCATTAACTTTATTTTAAATTAATTTATTTTATTGATTTTTTAAAATTAATTTTTATTTAGAAATGACTACTGAAGAACCTTCACCTCATTCCCACGATCATATCGAGCATAATCATTCCAAGGAAAATCCAAATAAAATAACTAGTATGCTTCATTCTATGGCCATGTATTTCCATTTTGGTTCAAAGGAATCTATCCTTTTTAGTTTTTGGAATACGGAATCTGCCTTAGGTTAAAATAATTTTTAAATATTTTTTTTATTCTTTTCATTCTTTCAGGTATTTTTGGCTCTTGTCTAATTATTTTTATTTTTTGTCTCTGTTTGGAATTTACTCGTTTATTTCGCATTTATCGAAAAAAGAAATTATTTAATAGACAAGATGGAAATTTATCGACAACTGACTCAACTATTGGTTTTACTACTATAAGAAGGTTTTTAATTTTTAGAGATTCAAAATTCGGTAATCTTCTAGTTTACTGGTCCCGAGAAAAAAATTAGGAGCAAGTGATGTTTCGATATTTTTGAAGGTCACCAGTAGGTAATCGAGTGTGCTGCAAGGGAACATATGTTACTGTGAGTACGAATTTGATAAATTTTTTGGTACCATGCGAAAGAGGACCCTCGATTTACTATTGTAGTTTGCGGGTTTTCTTGCAAAATTAGTTTGGGCCGAGTTATGGCCGTTCAAAGTTAGACCGCTAGAGTCAGGAGTTATAGGGTAAGAAAACAATTTCTCTCTTATTTTTCATACTCAAAAAACGGACACACCCATCTTCTCTTTATTTAGTGTCTAACATTTTTCCTCCCTTTTTTTTCCTTCGCGCCTCTTGCGTTCTCTCTCATTGTTGTAAATCAATATAAAGAAAGCAGAGAGAGTGAAAAAAGGACATAGTTCGCTCATTTTCTCTCTTCTCTCTTATTTTTCATCCTCAAAGAACAAGCCACGCCCCTTCTCTTTGATTATTGTGTCTGACATTTTCTCCCTTCTTTTTTCCTCGCGACTCTTGCATTCTTTTTTCCTCTTTATAAAATAATGTGAAGAACGCAGAGAAGTGAAAAAAAAGTTATAGCGCGCTTATTTTCCCTCTTGCTTATACTCAATCAATCCCAAGGACTGAAACTTTGAACGGCCATAACTCGGCCCAAACTAATTTTGCAAGAAAACCCGCAAACTACAATAGTAAATCGAGGGTCCTCTATCGAATGGTACCAGAAAATTTATCAAATTCGTACTCACAGTAACATATGTTCCCTTTGAGTCCGAATCTGAGCAAAGAATTGATTATTTTCGAACCCCGGACCCAGACGAACCCCGGACCAGACCTAGATTCGACCATGTCGAATTAGGGGTAAACACTTCGAAATTAAAAATTTAGAACTAATCTGACACGACTATTCGAGCTGAGTCGAATGGTATCAAAATTATGATGCTTCGACAATCCTAGACGAAGTTATGATCAATTAAATAACGCTTGGTGAGACTTCCGTATACAAATCAGACACCATAACTTCGTCCAAAGTTCTCGAAATATCATGATTTTGATACCGTTCAACCCCGAACGAGGAGAGGAGTAATAATAGCCCTAAATTTTTAATTTCGAATTTTTACCCAGAATCCGACTTTGTCGAATTCGGATCCGGGGTTCGAAAATAATCAATTCTAAGCTCAGCTTCGAACTCAGCACACTCGATTACCTACTGGTAACTCTAAAAAATATCTAAACAGCATTTGCTCCTAATTTTTTTCGGGACCAGTAAACTAGAAGATTACCCAAAATTCTTTTTTAAGGCCAAATTTGGGCAATTTAATTGATATGTGTCTTCATGCAATTCAATTAACTCTTAGTTATATGCTTATGTTGATTTTTATGACATTCAATATTTGGCTATGTGTTTCGGTTGTTTTGGGCGAAGTTTTGGCGAGAATGATTTTAAGTTTATTTTTTCCAACGATGGATTTATTTGTAACTTTCTTTGGTGCTTCGGTTGAACCATGTTGTGGATAAATGTGTGGAGATTAAAATTAAATACCAATTTTCTTTCATTTTCTGCCTTCTCTACCAATTTTTCTTCTAAATTAAATTTTGGTTGTCATAATTCCTGTGCCCTTTTTCTGTAGCTTTTAAAAAATTATTTAAGAACAAAAAAATCTTTTCAAAATTTTTCAAGCTTTTTATAATCTTTTAAAACATTTAAACTATATTTTGATTTATGTGAAATGTTTTTTTTTAATTTTCGATAAATTTTTTAATTTATATTAATTGTGATTATTTATTTTTAAAATTAATTTTATTTACTTAATTTAGACTATTTAAGCTTAAAAATAATTTTCAGATTATTGGAATATTTCTAATTTAATATTAAATAATATAATGTTATTTTTGTTTTATTAATTTAATCCTCTAAAATTTCCTTTTAAAATCTGTCATTTTTCTAATGAATCCACTTAATTTGGTAAATTTAGATTCTTTTATTTTAATAAAATTACATTTTAGGGGGTTAACTTTTCTCCGTCTTTCTCTGTTAAATTTTGTAATATTGATGAAAATATTGGGGAAATTTCTGGCTCGAAGCTTTGTACTGCTACATTTATAGAGCAAGGGAAAATTCTTGTTTTAAAAGGTTTGAAATTTTTATTTAAATTTTTTAAAACAAATTTTAGGCGGTGTGAATTTACAAAAACATTTACATTTTTATCAATGGTTTCATTTTGCCAAACAATTTTTATCATTCCGGCCAATTAGCAAGCAAGTTCTTGTTTGTGGATTAATGGTTTTAGAACCTTTTCTTTTACGTTTTGAGTCAAATAAAGGTTTTTATTTATTTTTTTACATATTCCTCTCTTTAGATCTTCAAAATTTTTTTTCTTTGTTACCTCCGTCGGAGTCAATAGATGATGAGGAATTATCAAGTTCTACACAAAATTCTTCAAGAAAAAGAAAATGTTTATCAAATAATGAAATGAATTCTGAATTTAATTCTAGAACGGAGGAAGGTTTGATTTTGGATATAAATTGTTTTTTATAATTATTTTTGTTTTATTTTTAATTTTTTTATTGGGATTACTTTTAAAAACTTTTATTCAAAAAAATTAATTTTAGTGTCAGCCACCCAATATTTTCAATTTTATGGATCTCTTTTTCAACAGCAAAATATGATGCAAGATTATACAAGAACAGCAACATACCAACGTGCAATACATGAAAATTATTTAGATTTTCGTGATAAAGTATAATTAAATAAAAATATTTTTTTTATTAAATTTAGGTTATTCTCGATGTTGGCGCTGGTAGTGGAATTCTTTCATTTTTCGCTGCTCAGGTTGGTGCAAAGAGGGTTTATGCTGTTGAGGCTTCATCTATGGCTGATAGTTGCAAAGTAGAAAAATTTTTAAATTTATCTATAAATAATTTACAAAAAAGTCTCTTGTCTCTGCGAATGGTTTAAATGATGTAATTAAAGTTATAACTGGAAAAATTGAGGAAATTGAATTGCCTGAATCAGTTGATGTTATTATTTCTGAGCCTATGGGTTATATGTTGGTAAATGAGAGAATGTTGGAAAGCTATTTATTTGCTAGGAAATTTCTTAAAGAAGGAGGTTTGAATTTATTTGTAATATTGTTTTTTTAACATTTATTCGTGTAAAATAAACGAATTGTTAAATTATGATTCGAATTTGTGGTAATAAAAGCGTTTGGAGTAGTGGCTTTGCGTTATTCCAAATATGCTAAAATACTTGTGTTATATTTTTAATTCAAAGTTGTTCAAATCTCATATTTTTAGGGAGAATGTTTCCAACACAAGCAAATCTTCAGATTGCATTATTTAGTGATGAACAAGTTTATTTAGAACAAACAGCTCGTTCCTCTTTTTGGACCCAAGAATCCTTTCACGGTTATTTTTAGTTAAAATAATATTTTCACTTTTTCATTTAAGGTATAAATTTAAGTTCTCTTAAAAATGCAGCCTTACAAGAAGTTTTCCGACAACCAATTGTGGTAAACATTTAAATAAATTTAAAATAAAATTTAAATAAAAAAGGATACTTGGCATATTGGGATTTTAATGTCGACATGTATTTCTTGGAATTTTAATTTTGAAAATGATGAGGCTAAAGCACTTCAAAGGATTGAAATTCCTTTCGAATTTAATGCTTTAAGAACTGGTTATATACATGGATTGGCTACTTGGTTTGATGTTGGATTTATGGGACAAACGTTTTTTTTGATTATTTTTAAATTATAATTTTAAAATTTTTAAAGGAAAACAGTTTATCTTTCAACAGCTCCAACAGAACCTTTAACTCATTGGTATCAAGTTAGATTATTAATTAAGAATCCTTTATTTGTTACTATTGGACAATTGGTTAGTGGGAAGTTGTTAATGTTGGCTAATGACAAGTAAATTTTTTTATTTTAAATTATTTTTTTTCTCTAAAGACAAAGCTATGATTTGGATTTGGAAATTGAAGTAGGAGATAAGCGGCAACAAAACAAACTTGATCTAAAAATGCCTCATTTTCGATATAATGGCCAGCCAGTTTCACAACCACCACCCGGAAATTCAACAGAAAATCCTTTAGAGCAATTAAATCAACATTTGGCAATTGCAGTAGCAACAGCACAACAACAACAATTAAATAATAATATTGGGAATAATAATCTAACTTTTTCGCCTGCATATTCTACATGTTTATATACAAATTCTTTGACTAATTCAGGAGGAAAAGGTTAATACAAAATTATTTATTCTTTTTAAATTATTCATTTAAAGATTATTCAGCTACAACAACTTCTGCAGACATTTTAGTACAAAATGGTACTTTAAATGAATAATTCTGAACAAGAATTTTATTTTTGTGTAATTCTAAAAAATAAAAATTGACCACAACCTAATTTTTTTGAAAAGCTAAAATTGTTGCCAAAATGAATATATAATATATGGATTTCTTTTTATATAAAAAAATATATTTCATTAATTATTTATACCTTTAATTTTTTTTATATTTTATTGCCATTTTATCTTTGTTATTTTTTTTCTTTTTTAATATTATAACGATTTCTCATATTTTTTTATTTAAACATTTTTTCTTTTACAATTTTGATTTTTAAAGTCAACTAGCTCAGGGTGAGTAGCTGGGTGGGTATTAAGATACTCTGGCGGTAAAATACATCGGGGGGAGCCTTTGATACCATACTTTCAGGTTTTGGAATACCTGACGGCTTTGGGGCGCACTTCGCGCGCTGTTAGAACATGGAGCGCGTCCAGGGACGCGCGTGGAAAGCCTGCGGCTTTAAAAGGACGCTAGATTTTCTTTTTTGCTTGGCGATGTACGTTAAATATGTTTGGATTCAATGGCTTTCATTTTGGGGGCCTTCGGTCCCAAACCCAACGTTTAGAAGGATACTTTGTTTTTTGGCAGCTGTGGAGGGTTTACTCGGGGCGTTTGGGGGGCCTTCGGCCCCCCAAACCCGACGTTTAGACGGATACTATGCCTTTTGGCAGCTTTGGTGGGTTGTTTCGTGGCGTTTGGGGGGGCCTTCGGCCCCCAAAACGCACCGTTTAGAAGGATACTTTGCCTATAAGCAGCTGTGGTGGGTTGACTCGAAGCGTTTGGGGGGCCTTCGGCCCCCCAAAACCCAAAGTTTAGGAGGATACTTTGCCTTTTGGCAGCGTTATGGTTGTTTCGGGGCGTTTGGGGGGCCTTAGGCCCCCCAAACGCGGCGTTAGATCCCCCTCGGCCTCGATTTGGGGGGCCTTCGGCCCCAAAAACCCCCAAAACAGAAAACTGCCCGCAATAATTTGTTCAGACTCAAGTGACCACCCAAACAGAGTATATATTTTTCGATGCATTTATGAATGCTCTACAATATAACGTAAGTCTTTTTAATTTATTGCACCTCCTTTGGAACCCCCATGGGTACGGTACGCCCACACCCAAAATTTCGACCTTTTGTAACTTTGTACAAAATGGTCAGAAAAATTTGCAAAAAATATTTTTAAGCTCAGCTCGATGAGAGCTTTCGATTGATATAACATTTGCCCCATTTCTACCCATTTTGAAAAAAATATTTTTTTGGTCGAAAATTTTGGCCGAAAAAATCGACCAAATTTTCAAAAAATCATAACTTCACCAAATTAGACCTTTTTTATAAATTTTAAAAGCTTGTCCGGTGCAGAAAATTCTGCTCTATCCAGGAAAAATACTTTCGGCGCTAACCGCCGGCAAAAATCTCGAAATTTTTTCGAAAAACCGAAAATTTTTCGAATTTTAGAAATTCGACCCCTACACCCCCAATTTCGAATTTTTTCGAAATTTTCTTCGGTCGAAAAATACCTAATTTTTTGCTTGATTTTTTAAAGCAAACCACATCCCAATCCGATAATCTCAAAAAAAGTTAAGGTCCCCCAAAAAATCCCGAAATTTCCCCAAAAGGGGTACCCCTTTGGTTCTAAGGGCGGGGACAAAATTTTCGAATTTTGACCCTAAAGTCGACTTATATGGTACTCTGACATGCGCTGAGTACGAATCCGGCGTCAGAAAAATTTTAAAAAATTTCCCCGGGACGTTAGAGTCTCATAAAGTTGTACGACATTTTGCCACATTGGCTATAACTTTTTGAGACTCAAGTGGACACCCAACATATTATACCTTTTTCTGACCGCCAGGGGACGCTCTTTCGAACTGGCTATCGAAGAGACCTGAAACGACCTTTTAAAAAAAGTCAATTTTTCGGCCCCGACTCTTTGGACCATAACACCCCCAAAAGTTCACCCGAGACTCTAGTGTCCAACACCAAATATTTTCCCAACATCCAGCCCTACAATACCACTCCCAGGCCCAAGAACCCCCCTCTTCTCTAAAAATTACTATAACACTTTGAAACATGCATCCGGCCATTTCGGTGCCACACTCAAGTGCGGCACCAAAATGGCCTATCCCAAAAAATTCCCCGTAGACACTTACCTAATACCCCCCAGGTCCCATCTAAATTCCCCCAGCCGTTCCCGAGATATACCTCATAAACCGAGGCAGTCCGACAAAATCGGACAATTCACCGTCAGTCGGTGAATTTTTGCGCACCCATAACTACCCTCCAAGTTCGGATTTTGGTTCCGGGTTTTTTCCTACATATATCTACCTACTCCAACTTAGGTTCCTACCAGCAGAAGTTTTCCGCTCCAGGTTCTGGTTCACGAGATAGCAAAACTCGTGCGGTCGTTTCGGCGCAAAGGGAAAGTCGTGGCGCCAAATCGATATTTTTCCCAGATGCGCCATAAAAAGTACCCCCCGGGATCCACAACTTTCAGGAGGCTCCCGGCCTTCGGCCGGGAGGACTCTGACACGTATTTTTTCTATTTTTCCTATGGTAGTAATTTGTTGAAAGAGAGAATTCATGTTGGGGTCGGTATATTTTAAAATATCTCTAAAACTCCAAAAATCTTTTTAGGTGCCTGGAGCCGATTTTATTTCAGTTGGAGTATTGAACAACTTCGATCTGTTCTTTTTTGACGATTCTAAACGATGGAAGGGAGCACTTGCTTCGATTGAACCGAAAGATGGAAGTCAAGTTTTTGGATGTATCTGGCGCGTGCCTTATTCTCTTTTGAATGCTTTAGACAGGTTAAAATTTGGAAAAAAATAAATTGTTTTCAAAATTTCAGGCAAGAGATTGGCTATCACCGTTTAGAAAGTAGAAAAAATTGAAAAAATTTAAAATTTTTTAAAATATTTCAGTTCATGTTTTATCGCACTCCTCCTTGGATCGCGGCTTCAATTGCCTCACATATCAATATTCAAACACTAATAAGGTTTTGGCCGCGCCCTCACCTCATTACAAAGAAGTAATTGTTGCTGGGGCTGTTGAGCACGAATTGCCTACAGAATATATTGAAAGACTGCGTGCGATTCCAACAAATGGATTTAACGGGACTGTCGACCTTGACTTGAAGGCAATAAAACATTTAAATGGAAAATGAAAAAATTAAAAACCCAAAATTTTAATTGTATACGTCGCAAAAGGCAACCTACACCAAATCAATTTCAACTACACTTTTAATTAGGTAGATGACCATAATAAGTTGTTTAATGTGATTATTAAATATTTAATTTAAATATACATATCAAAAATAAACACTCAATGAGTGAAAATTAAATAAATTATTATTGGCACTTTTTATTTAAATAATTTGTCCTAATATCTTATATATTCTTGTGATCCAGGAAATCACAGATGGGGCCGCTCCTTAATAGCACACAATTCCTTCTGGATCATTTTCCCAAGTTCTTCGTTCACTAAATTTTTTAAAGAATATTTACTTAAATATTCAATTAATTAATTACCTTTACTAAATTCCTGAATTACACGCTCCTGGGTTTTAAGCGATGTCTGACCCAACGAGCCAGCAATATTACGTGTCAAGCGTTTACGATGTTCTTCATCCAAAACCTTTATTTAAATAATTCAGAGAAAATAATTTTGCATTTTTACCTTTTCCCAAAAAGAAGCAGGCTGGTCATAATTCGAATCATCCTTTGTATTATAACGATTTACTTCTCCCGTCGTCGACCAAATACTTTCCTGTGCAGTTACTAATTCGGTTGGTCCATTGAATGAGGTTGGGTGATATACAGGTGCGCCATCTGCGAAAAGAAAAATGAATAGATTTAGTGTTAGTAATAAAAATACTTTGGTTCTCATCAGAGCAATGCCATCCGTCGACCTGAGTATTTCGAACACGCGTTCTGAACGGGCAATTAATAGGTAGTTTCATAAAATTTGGTCCGAGACGGTGAAATTGAGTATCCGGATAGGAGAAGAGACGACCTTTAAATTCAGTTCCACGAAAATTTTTAATTTCAAAGGGAACCTTGAAGCATTTTATCTGGGGAAAACTCAATTCCAGGCACAATGCGTGAAGGTGCAAAAGCCGCCTGTTCTACTTCAGCAAAATAATTCTTCGGATTTCTAAAAATTTTATAGTATTTAAATAATTGAGTGAATACCTATTAAGCACAATACGACCAACAGGTATAAGAGGAAATTCTTTATGGGGCCAAATTTTTGTCAAATCAAAAGGATTCCATTTAAAATTTTCAGCCTCTTCGAATGTCATTATTTGAACAAAGAAATCCCATTGAGGAAATTGTCCATTTTCAATACTATTGTAAAGATCACGCAATCCATAATCCTAAAAATTATCAATAAGTAACTTTTGTTTTAACATTAAAAAACTCACAGGATCCTCAGAAGCCAATTGTTGAGCCTTCTCGACCGAAAGATTTTTAATACCTTGAGAAGTCTATAAAAAATCAAAAGAAAATATTTGGTAAAATTTCGGTATACGACACAGACGCCGATTAAGTCGAATGATATGTCATTCGAAAGAGCTCGTCGAGTTGAGTCGAATGGTGAAAAAATTTTCGTGCGGACTCATAGAGGGGCTGAGATATAAGCCCCCGAAAATCGAAAAACCATAGGGGGGACCAAGCACTTTTTTGGGGTGAAAAATTCGAAAATGCAAATTATACCTCATTCGAAAGAGCTCGTCGAGCTGAGTCGAATGACACCAAAATCAACGAAATCCGACTTGATTGGACAAAGTTATGATCTTTTATTTTAGCTCCTTACCTATGGCATCTGAGGAGATTTTTGCTGCTACGGAGGCCCCAAATACGTCCAGAACAAGGGAGATAGGAATAGGTTTATGTTACGAGCCCAGACCCAACGCCCGTAGACTCCCCACGAGGCGCGTGCCGCAAAACCCCGCGCGAAGCGCGGGGTTTTGCACAAGCGCCTCGCCTATGCCCCATAGGTTTAGGTTTTAGTTTTTCTATCGTAACTTTGTCCAAACTTGTAAAATCACGATGATTTTGGTGTCATTCGACTTAGCTCGAGGAGCTCTTTCGAATGAGCTACTATTTGCATATTCGAATTTTTTACCCCAAAAAAGTGCTTGGTCCCCCCTATGGTTTTTCGATTTTCGGGGGCCTATATCTCAGCCCCTGTATGAGTCCGCACGAAAATTTTTTCACCATTCGACTCAACTCGACGAGCTCTTTCGAATGACATATCACTCAACCTAATCGGCGTCTGTGTCGTATACCGAAATTTTTCCAAATATTTTTAATAGATATTGGAACCTTTGCATGAAATTTGCAATAAACAGCTTTCCCTTCCTTGTTGACCAATTTAAAAGTGTGCGAACCATAACCTTTAAAAAACTTCTTTTATAAATTAAAGTAGTTGAAATATTTTTAAATTAATCATGATATAAAAATTAAAAATAAAAACCGTTCATATGTCGAAACCCATCAGGAATACCTCGATCAGAAAAGAGAAACATAACCTGATGAAGAGATTCAGGACGAAGTGACCAAAAGTCCCATACCTATAAAATAATTTTTTGTATTTATTCGAATAAACTACACGACTAATTACCATTTCAGGATCCTTCAAGTGAGTAACTGGATTCCTTTTTTGTGTATGAATAAAATTCGGGAAGAGAAACGGATCTCGAATGAAGAATATCTTTTAAAAAAACTTTTAATTATTCAATTATAATTTAATATATACCGGGGTATTATTTCCAACTAAATCCCAATTCCCTTCTTCAGTGTAAAATTTAATTGCAAATCCTCTCGGATCTCGAACAGTGTCAGCACTTCCTCTTTCCCCGCCTTAATATAATTTTATATTTAAAGATATTAAAAATAAAATAAATTACCGACGCTTGAGAATCTAATAAAAAGAGGTGTTCGCTTTCCAATTTGATTAAAAATAGCGGCCTTACAATATTTACTAATATCATGAGTTGTTTCAAAATATCCATGAGCACCAGCCCCCTTTGCATGAACCACTCGTTCGGGAATACGTTCTCGGTCAAAATGAGCCTAAAATAATTTCAAAATATTTTCTTATTAAATAAAAACCATTTCATCCATATAAACAACATCCTGCATTAATAATGGGCCTCTCTGTCCGACAGTCAAAACAGCATTTTTGTTGAAGATCGGAGCACCATTAGACATGGTCAGAATATTGTTTTCATCTTTCACCTGTTTGCTGTAGTCAACGAGTTGACTTGAAGCACGATCCGTTAAGGACATATTTACGTTAACTACTAATTATTTAAACAAAATCTAAAAAAATATTTGTAAAAACTGAGAATCATTAAAAGTAGTAGATTGGACCCGTTGCTGATAAAAAAAAGCTTTAAAAATGATTTCATTGATAAACAATTATAAAAAATATTTACATTTCGCCGTCTTGACTTTTTAAAATTTTATACATTATGTAATAAATATAGCTCAAGAATATCAAAATCCCAAAAAATTTAAACGCCAAAAAATGAATGCGCCTAGATGGCTCAGCTGGGCTTGTGCTTTTTTCTTTTATTTTAACACGTGAAATTCAGATTTTCAGCAAAATTTCTATTTAATTTTTACTATGTATCATTATCAATACCGAATTATTGTTGTTGGGGATTCTACAGTTGGAAAAAGCTCTCTTCTTCGCTACTTCACAGAAGGAAAAAATGCCGAAAGTAATGAACCAACCGTAGGAGTAGATTTCAACTTCCGTCTGGTAGAAATCAAACCAAATTATCGAATAAAGCTTCAACTATGGTAAATTAATTTTTTAAAAATCTAATTAATTTAACTACTTTAAGGGATACTGCTGGGCAGGAAAAATTTCGATCTATTACAAGGTAAGTATTTATAAAAAAATTACTTTTCTTATAATTTTATTCATTTCTTCAAAGATCGTATTATCGAAATACTGTGGGGATTATCATCGTTTATGACATCACAAAGCGTCACACATTTGACAGTTTACCCGATTGGATTGCTGAAGCAGAAGCGCATCTAGGAGGCCCAGATCCTTCAAAAACTGTCTTTTTGCTCGTTGGACACAAGGCTGATTTAGAAGAACAAAGGGAAGTTCTTTTTGAGGAAGGTGAATATTTTGCTAAACATAAGGGAATGAAGTTCATTGAGACATCTGCAATCACTGGAGCTAATGTGAATGTAAGTTGTTGTTGTTGTACTTTTAGTTAAGTTCTCATTCATTTTTAATTTTATATAGGATGCATTTGCACTTATTGCACGTGAAATAAATACTCGATTTGAGACAGGAGCAATTCGTATAATTGAAGGATGGGATGGAATTAAGTGTGGGTTAATGCGAAGTCAATCATTTACGCTCTCCGATATACAAGAAGAGCCAAATTCTCAATGTGCTTGTTAAAAGAGTAATTTACAAAAATAATTAAACGGTTCATAAAATTCAAGTCAAATCTCTTCAAGATAATTATTCAATTAAATTTAGTCTACCCTTTTTATTATCCATAGAGGTTTTTATTTGGATTTAAAAATTAAAAATGTTTTTGATTTGTATCGAGAAACAATAAAAACCTCTATCGCCGCCTCAAGCCTTTTACTCCTCTTACTTTACCGCTGCCTTTAATTTATGATGGAATTTTTTAATTTAAAAATTAAAAAGAATTTTAAAAGCAGCCTGTCTTTAAAGTTCCATCACCTTAAAAAAGTCGCATTTTTATATTGGCTCGAATCGATTCCCATTTATTTTTTAAAAGAGAATTTATCTAGAATTGATTCGGGCCTTAATATTTCCCTCACAACATATTCCAGCCACATTTTTTCTTAAAATCCATCCACAAACAATTTTTGGTAAAACAATTAGCAGAATGTAAATATATGTTTTAATATAAATAAATTTAACCATATTGTTTTATTAAATATTTTTGATGGTAATCGTGAAGAATTGGGGATACACTTTTAAAAACCCTAAAACTTATTATTTTTTTCTGAAAATCATTTTATATAGGTAATCGACTATGCTGAACACGAATCCGATAAGATTTTGTCAAATATGACATTTTATCTATGATTTCTTATCATGTACTTACTTGATTTCCAGCTAAGATTCTGTTGGTCATAACTTTGTTCAGAATCATTCAATCGAGCTCATTTTGATGCCATTCGACTCATCTCGACGAGCTCTTTCGAATGATGGGTCATTTGTATAATCGAATTTTTTGACTCAAAAAATTTTCAAATTTCGGGGGTCTGTAACTCGGCCGAATGAGGTCGAATTTCGTTGATTTCGGTGTCGTTCGACTCAGCTTGAGGAGCTCTTTCGAATGAGCTATAATTTGTATAATCGGATAATTTACCCCTAAATCGACCTTACTTCCCCCTATGGGTTTTCGATTTTCGGGAGCCTATATCTCTGCGAGTTTTCGTCCCCAGCAAAAAATTCTTGCATATTTGAACTCAGCATAGTCGATTACCTACATAAAATGATTTTCAGAAAAAAATAATAAGTTTTAAGGTTTTTAAAAGTGTATCCCCAATTCTTCACGATTACCTTTTTGATAAACTCAAAAAAATATTTGTGGCTATTTTTATTGCTTAAAATATAAATAATTTCTTTAAAATATTTTTTAATTAAATATATATTAAAATCACATTTTTCTTTCTTTAATTAGAGAGCATATTACTTACATCCCAAATCATTATAACTCGGTCAAATCCAGCAGAGACTAATTTCTTTTGTTGCTCATCTAAAGTCATTTGAGCAATCCCTTGTCGCAAATCATTTGTCACGGCCAACGGTGTTAAGCTTTAAAAAAATTTTTTTAAATGTTTAAACAATAAAAATATACTCAAATTGATCCGGATAAGTCTGCATTTTTCCATTACAAGTTTTGCATATTCTTGCAGGTTTCTCAAATCCCATAGCAGGGAATATAGTTGTGTTGTTACAACAATCTATTAAAATATATGTTTAATTTATTTTTGGGAAATAAAAAAATACTTGAACAAACAGATTGCCCACAAGTTCTACAATGATGTCGACGTACTCCTACTATCTTAATTATAAAAAATGTTTTTTAAATAATCTGTTTAAATACCTTTCTGTCCCACATAACTTTTAAATTCCAGAAAAAGGGAGAGTCACAAATCTCACAATGGTCAGTATCTCGCCATGCGGGTGCCATAATACGTTTTGCTCGCATATCCCAACAGATTAGACGGCCACTTTCATCAGCAGAAAATAGACGACGAGATTTAGTTCCTAGCGCCAAAGAGGTCAATTTTGTATTGTGGCCACTTAAAAAAAAATTAAAAAATTTCCAAAAATTATTTAAATATTTTTAACAAACTCTTCAAACCTTAATTCATAACAATTTCCACGTTTACCACCAATATCCCAAACAATTACAAGTGAGTCAGCACTAGCAGAATAAAGTAACTGATTGATTGAGTCCCTCAAATTTATATTTTTAAATTAAAAAGCAATGACTTTTACGGTGAAAAAACTTTTTTTCAATTTAAAAAAATTACATACCAAGCCAATGCAGTAATTGCTCCTTTAAAAGTCAAAAATAATTTAAAAACTAAAAGAAAATTAATTTAACCTGTATGAGCACTTAATTTGCTAATTAATTGTGCTATTGGACTTCCTTCACTTAAACGCAAAATATAAACATTACTGGAATAATCGCCAACAAAGACAAAGGAAGAATCCTCATCAAATTCCATGGTAGTACATGGAGATTGAGCACAATAGCTACCTTTTAAATTAAATGGATAATTTTAAATTTAGGAATAATTTAAAAATGTTTGAATGTCTTCTGTCATAAACTAAATGGAAATATAAAAATATTAAAATGAGGATTATTTTTATAAAATAAATCCTAAAATAATTAAATTTAAATACTAAACCAATTTTATTTGTAGAAGTAGTTGAATGCCAAACAACAGTCTTATCTCTGGAACAACTTACAATGAAGGCAAGTTTATTGGAAAGAGCAATTCCAGTCACTGAGCTTGTATGTGAAGGCCAAACACGTTTAAATGAAATACTTTAAATTTATCTAAAAAAATAATCTAACGGAAAAAAACCTGTTAAAATCATTTTCAACAGAATATTCATGTACAAGTCCATTAACCAATCCAACAAAAATACTAAAAATTTAAAAATAAAAAAAATTCAAATAAAATTTCAAACAGATTTTTTGCTTCAACGAAATATAATTTTGTAGGAATGTGTGGAAGGTCTTGAATAATTGATGGCCAATATTGTCCAGAATCACGTTTAAGCAAAACTCGAAGTGTACGGTCTTCATTTGTTGTCAAAATAGCATCATCCTTTGTACATAAATTAATTCCAGTTATACGGCCTCCAAGTTGGCCTTCAACTTTTTGTAATAATTCTTTAAAAAAAATAAATCTTTTAATATAGAATATTTTATACAAAAAAATACCCAATCTTGCATTTTCTCCAAGACTGCTTGTTGTAACAGAAGGATGTTGATTTATTACCGCTGCCATTTTTAAAAAATTTTCTTATTAAAAATGAAATAATAATCTGTCAAAAAAATATGTATTAGTAAATTTACTAACAAATAAAAAATTTTTTTGTTAAAATTCTTGGTCACTATTTCAACAGGGTGTTGTGGTGGCTACATAAAAGCCTCACATAATTGTCAGTCCGGTCTCCTAATTGTCTTCTAATTATTATCCCAACGTTATTCTATTACTTCAACCTTATTGTATTTTCTTTGTGTGATAAACACATTATTGTATTGTTTATTTATTGTTGTGCAAGACACAACACAGGGACACGCCCAAAACATCGCGACAGAAACGTTGTTCTGATTGTTTGCGCCGTTTTGGCCTGCGACGTTTCGGTCGCGACGTTTTGGCTCGTGCCGTTTTGGGCTGTACCCATTTCAACAAAAAAATAATTTGGCATAATATTTAAGCGCGTTTTTAATGATTAAATTTTTAAAGTAATTAATTAGACAAAGCTAATTAAATTTAAAAATAATTTAAATTAAATTATTAATTTTACAGAAATAATAAATGGATCTACCAGAAAATATTAAAGAAGATAACTGTACTAGCAATGATTATGATATGTTAAATAATTCAACAAATTGTAATGAATCTGTGGAATTTAGAGTAAATAAATATTTTAATAATTAAAAATGCTTCTTTTTAGGGAGATATGGATGCCTCTTTTAATTCTGATAATTTTTCAATTTCGTTTCAAGAGATTTCAATGGTATTGCGTGCTAGGCCGGACATTAATGTTTTTTATAGAACACCTTGTTCTGGCTCTAATCGATTTACAAGGCGTAGTTCTTCTGTCAGAATGGCTGTTGGTTTGGAATTTTTAATTTAATTTTTATTTTTAAAAAATTTTATTTAAAGATTATTTTAGCAAATTGCCTGACTTTTTGCTTTTACAAATTTTTAAACATTTAAATAAACATGATTTGGTTAGAATTATGAGAACATGTCGAGTTTTTAGTCAATTGGGGTAAATTTAAAAAAATTTTTTTTATTTTTTAAAATTTTTTTCAGTAAAAATCCTCATTTTTGGAAATTTATGAATTTAAGTAAAAGGCTAATTGATGAATTATCTTTACATTCTTTACTTGATCGAAAAATGGAAATTTTACGTTTAACAGAGGCTGAGGTTTTTTTTAAATAATTTTTTAAATTAATTTTTCTTTTAAAGTTGACAGAATCTCCACAATTTATTTCTTCCTACGAAATTAACATTCAAAATATTGAATTAACAAAACTTACACATTTGGATCTTAGCCATGCAACTTATGAAAATTCTGAAATTTTACTACGAATTTTTGAACGTTGTCGGAATTTAGAAGCTTTGAGTTTGGAAAGTTGTCAAATTTTGAATGATGCTATTTGTAATGAAATTGGGAAAAATTTGGATCTTCGATTTTTGGATTTGGTTTATGTTAATGGTTTAAGTGAAAATGGAATTTACAATATTTTATCAAATTGTCGAAGGTTTTTAATTTAAAAAAAAATAATTTTTTTAATTATTTTTTAGTTTGGAAGAAGTTAATTTTGGTTGGGCAAATGTCGGAAATGGAGCAATAACATTAATTTGTAAATTGGCACCTCCTTCGATGATTAGACTTAATTTATCTGGTTTTAGGTCAAATGAAGAATTAAATGATGGAAGTAATACCTTTTTAATCATTTTAATTTTTTTGTAAAAAAAGGGACAGAAACCCCAAAAATTAGGCGGGGAACTTTTCTTCTAAAAACTGTTTCTTTATCCAGAAAAATAAGAATAGTTTTGGGAAATAAACATTTTAAAATAATTTTACAGATGTAAAACTTCTTTGTTTATCTTGCCCACTTTTGGAAGAATTGGATTTAAGCGATAATGAATTAATAACTGAACGGGCGTTAGAAGCTATTTCTTCTGGACTTCGAAATTTGAAACGATTAACTTTATCTCGTTGTTATGCAATTGAACCAATGGCTTTTGTGTCTTTACAAAATTTGGAGGTTTTTTTATTTTAATTTTTTTTTAAATTTATTTATTTTTAAAAAAGATATTAAATATATTTGGATGTATAACAAATGAAGGAGTTGAACTTTTGAGAGAACGTTTACATCCAACATTAATTGATCATTCTCCAATTTGTACAATAGCTAAACCAACTGTTGGGCTTTCTGTTGCAAGTATTTGGGGAAAACGAACGCGTGACCGTTATTAAATTAAAATTAAAAAAGAAAATTTTGTGGCCTTAAGAATTTTTTTTGGAATATTTAAGAATTTTTGGTTATCTCTAATAATTTTAATTTTTAACAAAAAAAAAAAGATTGAGGCAATTTTAATATCTAAATTTTGCATTTTCTGTTGTGTTTTTTCAATTTTATTCCATCCATATTTTTAAATTTATATTTAGCTTTATTCATGGTAAAATCAATCACTTTCTCTCTAAAAATCTTTCAAAAAACATTAATTTTAACTTTTTTTTTCTGTTATTTAAAGTTTTGTTGATAAACAAAAATAAAATGCATTTAACTAAAAAAACAATTTTTTTATTATCAAACAAAAAATGATAAATGGAATTTTAAATAATAAAAAGTCAATTTAACAAAAAAATACTATTTTTTTAAACAATTCCCTCCCTCTCTTTTGCTATTTTTTTCATTAATTTTGTCTTTCTTTCTCTAATTGGTAGAAGGGGGGAAGTGCCAGATGGGAATACCAGACAGCTGGAATCAATTTAGACCCAAAATAAATAAAAAGAAATAAAAAAAGAAAATAGTTAAGAGAAATGAAAAGAAAGAAAAATAAAAATAATTTTTAACATTTTTGTGAAGAAAAATTGGTAAAGTTAGGAATATCAAGTTCTTATGTAAATAATCCTTTTTTAATTAAGAAAAAATTGAAATGAATTTTCTTTTATTTAAACTTCTTCTTTTAAATTTTAGGTATTAAATTTAATAATAATTAATTGATTTAAGTAATTCTTTTCTGTACATAAATCATTAAAATGAACTTTGGATATTTAAACAAACAGAAATAAAACGAGCACGCGGTTGGACTCTTTCTTTATTTTATCTTTTTCGTTTAATTATTTTTAAATATTCCCAAAATAAATTTGTTTATTGAAATGACGATTATATATGTATATTTTTTATGAAAATATTTTTGCAAGACTATAAATATTTAAAAACTACAAATATATTCCAAAAAAATATTTGGAATATTTTTAAATATTTTGTAATAAATATTTTCAAATAAAGTTGTTTTTCTAACCCTAAAATAATGGATATACATATTTAATTTATAATTATGTATGTAACTCTGAGAATCATAGGAATAAATGTTGAAAAAAGTAAAAAGAGGAGGAGGAAACCCCTCAAATATATAAATTTTAGTTAAGTATCTAAATATACTTTTGAATAAATTTTTATTGTGAAAATAAATTATTTAAAATATTTTTTAGTTAAATTATGTAATTTAAATTAATTATTTTACAACAAAATGACATTAATAAATGAAGAAAATAATTACAATGAAAATATTCAAAAAAATAAAATTATGGGAAGCCGAAAGGATGGACTTTCGTTAGTTTAAAAAAAATAAAATTAATTTAAAAATTATTTTTATTTTTTTCAAGTTCTCATTTAACTTTAATTAATTTTATGAAAGGAATGATTGGCTCTGGTATTTTAACTTTGCCTATAGTTTTTAAACAGGCAGGGCTTTGGACTGGATTTTTTTTAGTTTTTATTTTTGGATTTTTAAATACATTAACGATGACATTATTAGTTAAAAGTGCACATTATTTGTCAAAAAGAAAAAATGAAAAACAAAAAGAAGAAAATTTAAATGTTGAAATTGAAAATGGGGAAAAAATTTTAAAAAATAAAAGGGAAAAATATTTAAATGAAAATAATGAACCAATGAATTATGGAGAAGTAATGGAAGCGGCTTTAATGGAAAGTGGATTTGAATGGAGTAAAAAATGGGCAAAACCAGCAAAGTTTGAAAGAAAAAATTAAAAATTTCTAAAAATTATTTTTAAAGATTTTTTGTTAATGGGACAATAATTCTTTTATTAATGGGTATTGGGTGTATTAAATATGATTTTATTGTTGTACATTTACGTGAGGTGTTTTCTTGAAAGGATGTTTTTTGTTTTTAAATTATTTTATTTAGTTATTCGGGCAATTTACAAATTTCCATGCATCTGCACTTGCTTGGGCTTTGATAATATTTCCTCCAATGGTTTTAATTAATTTTACACGAACATTACAAAGAATTGCAATTTTAAATACAGTTGGGAATGTTTTTATGTTTGGAGCTTATGGAATTATATTTTATGTTAGTTTTTTGGGGGTTTTGGAAATTCTCTGAAGGAGGATGGTTTGATGGAGCAATAAATTTTGAGAGGAGGGAAATGAAATTTTTCTTCAACTAAGGGTTAGATATGGATATTGTGACAAAATTTGCTCCACTACATATAGTTCCTCCACTATAGTCCCGTCATTCTAACCATTTTTTAGCCAGAACCATTTTCTTTTTTAGCATTTACTTCAATCTCCACACAAAACATCTCAACTTCCTTGGATCGGTTCTCCATCAGGTGTATTCACAGCTTGTGGCTCCATTCTTTACTGTTTTGAGGGACAAGCATTAGTATTACCCATGGAAAATAAAATGAAACATCCTTCAGAAATGTTGGGGCCTTTTGGTGTTTTGTCTACAGGAATGGCTTTAACAGAAATTTTTGATTCGGCTGTCGGATTTCTTGGTTATTCTAAATTTGGTGATGAAATCCAAGGATCTGTCACATTAAATCTCCCTCCAACATCTTTACTTACTTTTGTAAAAATTGTTTTTACAATAATTTCTTTTCTCGATTTTTTACTTCAACAATATGTTACAATCCAAATGTTATGGCCACCATTAAATAAATATTTATCTAATTTATTTCCTTCCTCAAAAATGTTGAGGGTTGGAGAATATACATTCCGTGCAAGTCTTGTAGCTTTAACTAGTAATTAAATAATTTTTTGTATTATTTTTAATTAATTTTAGTGTTAATTTCAATTTTTATACCTCATCTTGAACATATCATGGTAAGGAATAAAATAAAAGTTTTGAGTAAAGTTATCTCTTAAATTTCAGCCGCTTGTTGGTTTTAGTGGAGGTGTTTTCCTTGCTTTTATTTTTCCTCCCATTATCGACACATTTACTTTTCTTTCAATTGGATTAACTGAATATTATGAGGAAAATAATAAAAGGAATTTAATTCAAATCTTTAAACGATTTGCTTTAAATTTTTTATTTGTCTCGATTGGCTTGTTTGGAAGTATTGTTGGATTAAAATCTTCATTGGAAGCAATTTTTGAATTAAATGGAAATTAAGTTTTGGATTTTTTTATTTATTTATGGCATAATATTAGAATTGGAGACCGAAATGGGAGTGTCATACAAAAGTCGAGGTCTACAAGAATTCTTTTGTTCAAGATCTCGTCTCGGTCTCTAATTTAGAATTAATATGTATATTGTTGGCTTTTTCAATTCATTTATTTTTTTATTTCACTTCTTCAAAAATTATCAAACATTTGTAATTTAATGAATAGTTTTTCGTTGTTTATACTTAATTCCTAATTATTATTTCTTTTACTTTCAAGTTTAGCCTGCCTCGTTTTTTTTTCACTTTTATTTTTTAAATTTATTTAAATGTACATAAATATTTACAAATAAATTTTGAGCAATTTTGTCATAATTAAAATTTTATTCATTTGAAATCAATCTTTCTCCTTCCCCATCGAGTAGGCGAGTGCACAATTCAGAGAAGTCTTCTGGAAAACGATAGTGCTAAAAATAAAAATTTTTTAGTTGACAAAAAATATAAAAACTTACCAAAGTATTACTGGGCCATCCACGCGGAATATGTTCTGGTCCTGTTCCCCTCATCAAAAGTACTCGAAAACGTTTATTCTCTCCTCTATTATAGAGAACCTAAAAATTAAAAAAAATAAATTTTAAAATTAAAAAACTTCTTGAAAAGTCATTTGATGCAAAGAACGTTTTAATTGTATTTTTTGATCCAATTCTTGTATTTGTTCATTATCTGAACAAATTATTTCAAAATAATCACTTGATAATGCCAAAAGAATTTGTGAAGCATTTTCAAAATATTTTTGAATTGAACCAAATAAATCCTCCCCAGAAAAGCAATTATCGACATCCAAAACCTTTAAAAATTTATAATTATCCTTTATACCAATTCATCGACTATAATTAAAATATAAGCTAAAATATACACGACTTATGTGCCGAATCGGGAAAAGTTGGCAAATAATAAAGGATAAGAAATAAATACCAAAGGACTTATAAAAATTTTTTTAAAGAATTCCAAATTTTAAAAATTTCCAAATTTTAATATTTAAAATTTAAACAAAAAAAACCTTTTTTCCTCGTTCTGCAGCACATCTTTCCAAATTTTTAATAAACATTTTCTGTAAACGTCTCAAATCTTTATTATTTTTATTTTCGTGATGCAAAATAAAAATAAATGGGCTTTGTAAAATTAAAGAAGAATTTTGCCTTTGTATATCTGATGAAAAAGTTAAGAGACAAGAATCCCTCAAATTAATAGGGGGATTTATTTGTTGTTGTTTTTGGGTAATATTTTTATTTAATTTTCTAAAAAAAAATTTAAAGAAAAAAGAAAATAATAAGAAAAACCTTTCGTTTGAAATTTTTCCAATAAATGGTTCTAAAGCAAGTAAAACATCAACACGGCCAGATTGCCCAATAAGCTCTAATAATTTAAGAAAATACTCATCAGAAAATTTTTGAAGTAAAATATTTATTGGGTCTGAAAAAGAAAATAATTTAGAAAAAAATAATGAACATTTTATTCTTCGAATTTAATATACATATTTCAAAATTAAATTAAAAAATATATGTATATATTTTAAAAAATCCTTTAAAAAATTTTTTTACTTTCATTTTTCCTCATTCCAACAATTTCATCAATACTTAACCCCATACAAGCAGCTAAAAATTCCCAATTTCGCATAGAACCACAAGAAGAAGTACTTAACCGAATTTCCAAAATATTTTTTAAATCAAAAGAAATATCTTTAATTAAAATAGAAGAAAATAAAGAATTTTTTTGTTTAAAATTTGAAATTAATTCTGAGGGGGAAATTGGTAAAGGAATTGAAAGAAAATTTAAAAATTCATCATCAACCTTAAATTTTAATTTTAAAAATTATATTTAAATTTAAAAAGAAACCTCAATATTATCAACAAAAGTTTCATTCCGTGTATTTTTAATATTTTCAGATTCTGGCAAATCTAAAGCAATTGTAACAGTTACACTTTCCCCTCCTCCATCTTCAAAATTTTCTTCAGCATTTGCCATCAAGAGATCATTTCCTTGAAAACTTTTTTTGAAAAATTAAAAATTATAAAAAATAAAAAAAAGAAATATCACATAAAATTGAGATAGTGACAGAGAAAAAAATAGAAAAATAAATGACATTTTATTTTTTATTTAAACATTTAGCCAATTTTAGCTTTATTTCAACGTGCACGATTAAGCATTACCGTAATCTAATTTTAGCTTAAAGAATTTTTTTAAACTTTGGATCTAAAAGATGGAATTTAATTAACCTCGATATCAATTTATTTTTTAATTATAATTTGGACAAACAAAAGATTAAACTTTAACTTTTATTTTAATTTCTTTAATGTTAGATGTTTTTTGTGATAGTAACAGAGAAAAATTGGTCTTATGCATAAAAATTAATAAAAAATCAGACAGATTAAAATAAAAAAATGAAAGCAATTCAGACAAAAATCAGAAATGAAGCTATTCAGAAATAATTATTTGTTTTGTCCTTGAAAAAAAATAAATTACAAATATATTAAATTGTTCAAACTTTTCAAATCCTCGGGCCCTGTTCCGGGGTTTTATAACCTAACCAAGATAGGGCTTTCAGGGCTAAAATTCTGAAAACCACGAAAAATATGTATTGCCAAAAATACTAGGTACTTGGCCTTAAAATACCCTCATTTGGGCTCTGCTATTTACTTATGCCCGGTTATTTATTTTTGTTTTACATTTTTTTCTGACAAATTATTTTCCATTATTTATAATTAATTAATTGAATTAATTCCTGCTTTGTTAACAAAATTTAATGTTAAGTAAAACTTACAAAAATAATAATAATAAACAAAGGCAACAAAATAAACAATAAAAATTGTTTAAATAAATTATATTTATTTTTTTTGGAAAAGTGGAACAATTATTATATAATTAATACATATAAATAAATGAGAGAAATTATAATATACCTATTTAATTTGTTTTTAAAATTAAAATAATGTATTTAATATTTTCAATTTTTTATTTAATTATTTTATTTAATAATAATTTATTATTTGCAAAAGAAGAGGATTTATTTAAAGAAGAATCATTAGAAGAAAAAATAGATGAAGAAAAATCAGTTTTTAGTTCTTCTCGTTGTTGGAGTAATTCTAATGGACAAAATGAACGTTGGATAAATGAAGGGGAAATTGTGGATAGAGGTACTTTTGGACAGAAGACATGAAAATAGGGGCAATCTCGATAACTGAGGATTTTTTAAAAAGAAATTTCGTTTCCATTCCTATCTAAATTTAAAATAAAAACTAAAATTATTTAAATATTTTTTGAGGAAAATATTGGTATTTATGTTCTGGTGGAAAGCTTGTCCCAGCTGGATGTATTGATGAAAAAGAGTTTTTAAACAAAAATAAATTCTTTTAAATTTAAATAATAATTTAAAGAAAAAGAATTCCTTTAAACAAAACATTTATTAACGGCAATTTTCTTGTTGAATGTATTTTGTGGGCTAATTTAATTAAAATAAAAACTGTTGGATGTTTAGATAATGAAAATAATAAAACTTTTTTTGTTGGAGAAAATTGGATAAATGGAGAGGTAAATGAGGAAAGGAATTTAATTTTTTAAATTTTTAAAAGTTTTTGTGGGAATGTGCTTGGGAGGGTATTTATTTAAAAAAGAGACAAAAAAGTTGTGTTTTTAATGAAACAAAAATAATAAATGTTGGTGAACAAAAAATTGAAGGAAAAACTGTTTATGAATGTCAACAAAGTGAATATGGATTATTAAATTTAGTAGCTATTGAGTGTATTTCTGGTGATGGAAAAAAATATAAAATTGGGAAACAATGGACGGTTAGTTGAAAAAAAGAAAGAAAATATTTTATTTAAATTATTGTGAAAATAATTCACCTAGAGCATCTAAAACGCTTAGATGGGGGTTAAACGATCTAAAAGGATAAAGCATTAGTTGAAGTCCCGGTAGCTCAGTTGTAGAGCATCTTCATTTGAGAGCAAGGCCGAGCGATCACTGTCAGGCGTTGTTGCAGGTTCGGTTCCCTGTTTGGTGGCTAAACTTTTGTTAAACTCTTTCTTTATTTTTGAAGAAAAAAAAATAAATTTTACTTTTAAGGAAGGAGATTTTATTTTTTATTGTAAAAAAAGAATTGATTCTTCAAATTGTGAAAAAACATGTATTGGGTAATTTTTAATTAATTAATTTAAATAATTAAATAAAAATAGTTGTTTTCATAAAAATCAAAATTTATTTGATGGAGATCGTTTTCAATTAAATGAAACTGTTTTTCAATGTGAAATACGTCCAAAAAGGCATTTATTAAAGCCTGTTGGTTGTGTTTCTGAAGGAAGAATAGAAAGGGTTGTTAATTGTAAATGGTAGGGTGTTTGTTGGGTTGTTTTGTTTGTATATTTAAATTAAAAGGGAAGATAATCAACAACACCCCCATCCCCAACAATCAACAGAATTAACAACAACAAATTATAGAGTACAACGTCAATGTATTATTAGAAAAGGTCGGGCAATTATAGAAAATCTTGGATGTGTTTATGTAAATAATGGAATTAAACGGTTATTTAGGAGGAGATTTAAAAAATAAAGTTTTTAATTTTAAAGTTTATTTCTTCGTCCAGAAACATACACAATTTGGATAGAAGAAGAAAAAGAAAAACAAAAAAATACTAAAATAGCAATTGCTTGTATTACAGAAAATAATCAACAAATTTTATATAAATTTAATTTGGAAGAAATTGAAAAGAAAATTAAATTATTTAAATTAAAATTTGATGAAAGAACCTGGTAAAATGTAAAATTAAAAAAAAATATTTTTTAATTAGCTATTTTGTAATTACCTAATTGTTTTTTCTAAATATTTAACAAATTATTTCCAATATTTTTTTGTAAAAAAATATTTTTACGTTTGACCTTGTTTTTTTTTTCTTTATTTTTCCGAATCTTTTATTATTTCAATATTCTTTTATTTTTGTTTATTGTATATACATACTAAATATTTTTTCTTTTAAAATCGAATAAAAATTATTAAAATATATTTTCAAATACTTACAGACTACAAAAATCCCGAGAAGGGGGTAAAATTAATTGAGTAAATACTGTATATTTTTTTTAATAATTTTTAATAATTTTTACACATTTTCTCTTTTATTTTTCTTATTAAAAATCAAGTTTTTAATAAATAAATAAATTTATTTATTTATTTAATTATTAACAACAACGGAGCACGTCATTCCTGTTTTTAATTTCTTCCTAAACAAATCAAATATTTTTTCCCTTTTTTATAATTAAAAAAGTAGTCTCATTTAAACAAACAAAACATAAATAAATAAATTTTTGTTTTTGATGACCATTTAAAAATTGTTGACCATTTAAATATTAGTAAATAAATCTTGTTAAAATTCAAATTAAAAATATATACAAATTTAATTTGTTTTTAAAGTATTTTTTAAATTATCTTCCTTATAGTTTTTGTAATATTTAGTTAAATAGGTAAGTATCTGTAAATAATTAAATCCTTCCCCTTCCAATCATTTATGAGTTAGAAAAAAGTGAGGGAATTTATGTGTAAATTACTAGAAGAATTGAAACGAGGAAAGGTTTTGAAAGATTTAAGGGAAAATAATTTTTGTTAATTTCTTTAATTTTCGGCAAAAGTTAAAGTATTTATTTTAAAATTTTCAATATTAAATTAATTGAAGTATTTTAAATTTAAATAATTTTTTTTTAAAAATCTTCCCTTTAATTACAAAAAAATTATTTACATAAATACTAAATATTTATTTATTTAAATTAAAAATAGTAGACACAAATAACTGACCTAAATCCACTTGAAATTCGCGAAAACACGCGCAAATATAATCGATTTAGACATTCTCTACTACAAAATTAGCTAAGAAAGTAAAAATCCAATAAAAACTTTCTAAAGATTTAGTTATTCTTCAAATATTTTCAATTTTGCATGCAAAAATTTGGGTAAACTTAGGGTTCCCCTTTTTTTCTCACCCAAGTTGTTTCCTTTTTTCTTAACTTCTCTCGATTTCCCTATAAGCATATTCAACGACATTAATAAAGAAAAGATTAAGTTGAGGAAGGAAGAAGTTTGACGATTTGGTAAAAAATAAGATTTGGGAAGGAAAAAGGAGAACCTTAAACTTTACCCTAAAAATCTTTATTTATTTTACCCCAAATATTTAAATATAATTTTAAATATCAAAATGTAGCAAAATAGACAATTTATCCATTTTCAATATTTACTGTATTTTTTAAATTTAATAAATAATTTTTTAAACAATTTTATTTTTGATGATTGAATCATACTCTTTTGTTTACTAAAAAACTTTTTTTAATTTCTTATTTTAAAATTAGTTTTTAAATATTTCTTGTTTTTTTTCTTTCTTTTGTAACATTTTTTTAATTTTTTAAAAATTTTATTTTAAGCAACAAAAAGATTAAATTATTTCGAGATTTTTTTGTTTTTAATTCATTATAGTAGGGATTGTTTATAAAATATTTTTGGGAATAAAACGGGAAAATTATAATAATTACTCTTTAAAAACTTGTTTATATATAAAGTACATTTTTAAATATATAAAATGACTAAACATATATGTGAATATTCAGTAACATTTTTTTACTTTTATAAAATCAAAAGTATTTAAAAAAAATTTTTTTTTAATTTTACTTAAAATTAAAAATCAAATTACTAGATTATTAAATTAATCTACCCATTTTTTTATAATAAATAAAATTTATTTTAAAATATTTTTTTAAATAAAGCAAGTTTACAGCTATGAATTTTAAATATCCTTATTTTTGGGGGGAGGGCGGATTTAAATGATATTTTTTAACGAGAAATTGTTCATTCCTTAATTATTTATTTTTTTCTATTTAAATATACCTGTTTTTAATTAAAAAATATTTTTTTTAATTTTTTTTAAAGTTTTTTGATCAAAAAATGTTTAAATTATTTAATTATTTTCTACTACTTTATTTAATTAATTCAATTTCTTCTACAAATTTAACTCACTTTAGTGAAACTCAAATTTGGGGATTTCTTCGTTCCGTGCCTCGACATAAACTTCAAACAAAATGTGCTTTAAGTTTAGACAGAGTAGAACGGTTTTTAACAGATTTGAGAACTTTGGAAGAACAAAGATTGTTTTTTTCTGAATCTTTTAGCATTGGGGTAAGTTAAGGTGGAATTTTGTTTTTAAAATTATTTTATTTTAGGATTATCAACAATTTATAAGTAGAGATCAAGACAGATGGCTTTACAATGCTTTTATGGTCATTATTTAATTTTTGTAAATTTAGAGGGATTTATTTGTAAATATATTTTTGCACACTTTAATGCTTATTTTGAGGTTTTTATGGGAAATTTTTGAAAAATGTCTGAAATTAGGTCAATTTTGGTTTTTGGCCCCCCAAAAATTAAAGGATCAAAAAATAATGAGGAAAGCCATCCAAATTCCTGAACTAGAATTTCATAGAAATCCAGTCTCTTGTTATTTTAAAAATTTATAATTTTTTAGTGTATAAAAGCAGCCGGAGAAAGTAGTTATAGTGCTTCTGAATATCCTTTACATTATTGTAAGTATTTTTAAAATGAAATAAAATTTGTTATTTTCTTCAAAAAAAGGTTATGGAAATGATATACCTTTTGATAAAAATTTACGTAAAACTTCCTATGGAATGTGTATTCCAAGTACTTGTAGTGATGAAAATGACCGAATGGAGGTAAAAAGAAATTAATTATTTTCTCTAAAAGTTTTTTTAAAAAGTTATTAATTGAATGGCAAAAGATTGCTAATCCTTATAAAGAAATAAATAACAATTCTTTTGTGGAATTTGGGGATTGTACAAAATCTAGACACGAAAAACAATGGTGGGAACAGTCTATACCTTTGGTAGGTATTTTTTGAAATTTATAAGAATATTTTAAACAAAAGGTTCATTTTGGTTCTGATATATTTCTAGTAGCAATTGTTGGGATAGCTACAGCAATACATTGCCGTAGAGGAGATGTTAATCAACAAAGAAAACAAATGGACGAAAATGAAGTTGGAAATAAAAAACAGAAGGTATTTAAATATATTTTTGGGTATTTTCTTTTTAAATTTAATTGGAAGGAAAATCTTTTGACTATTTTTAATTTATAAAATGTCAAAAATCAACATCTTCAGTCAGAAAAAATTAAAAATTAATTTTTTTAAATTATTTTTAGTTGGCATTAGAATTACTTTTATGTTTTTCTGCTAAAAAGAATTTTCAAAAACTTGTTCAAATGCCAAAAGAAAGAATGAGTACAATAACTTGTTTTTTTGGTTTACGTTTTGGGGCAATGTGTTGGACACTTGTTGGGCATTCTTTTATTTTTGTACAGGCATTCTTAAGTAATGTTGATGAATTGAAGAATGAATTGGTTTTTATTTAAATTTTTTTAAATAATTTTTTTTCTTGTGTAGGTTGATCATTTTTGGAATCAATGGATAACTAATTTTACTCTTTCTGTGGTAAATTTATTTTTAAAAAAGATTTTATTTATTTAATAATTTAAGGATGTATTTCTTGTACTTTCTGGTACTTTAACTGCTTATAGTTGGTTTAAACGTTGGCAAAAAGGAGGAGGAGGTATTTAAATTTGTTTTTGTTTTTAAATGTTCTTTTAAAAAGAAGTCACAGAAATTCCAAGTTGGACTTCTTGGGGTTATTGGCTTCGTTTTTATCGTCACAGAGTTGTGCGTCTATGGCCAGCTTATATATTTACTTTAATTGCTGTAACTGTTCGTGTTAGTGTAAGGAAGTTTTTCTTTTTAATTAAAAAACAATTTAAATATTTAAAGATCACTCATTACCATCCAATGTGGCCACCAACAGATCCAGCAGTTCAATGCCCTAAACACTGGATAGAAAATGTTCTTTTTATTAATTCTTTAACTGATAATCGTTGTATGCCTTGGACTTGGTTATTTTTTTTTTTGAAAATACTAAAAAAACATTTTCTTTGAAGGTATATTGGAACAGAATTTCTTTTTTATTTACTTTCTCCAATATTTTTGCTTTCACTTTTACAATGTCCGAAAGCAGGGATTTTACTTTGTTTTGCAATTTCTTGTCTTTCTTCAATACTTAATGTTGTCACAATGATTAGATATAATTTTCCTCCAACACAAATGCTATGGAAACAGCCAAATATTTTCTCTCCAGATTTTATTTTGGTTTTTTTATTTTTGAAAAATATTTAATTTTTAAATATTTTTAAGCATCATTTAGTTATTTATATCAAACCTTGGTATAGAATTGGGCCTTATCTTGTTGGAATTGTTTTGGGTTATATTTTGGTTAGTTTTTTTGTTAATTAATTATTTTTGGGGAGTTTTTAAGTAAATATTCAAAATTGAGGGGAAAATTAATTTGGAGAGTATTCAAATAAACTAAAAAAGTGAGAGAATTGTAAATAATATTCATTTAAACCAGCTCAGGGATAAATAGCTGAATGGGTTTTATAGCTTTAAAATTTAGTTACGTCGGGGAAGCGTTTGTTATAATTTGAGGCGCGTCCATGAACGCGCATGAAAGCCTGCGGCTTTAAAACTGTGCTAGGTTTATTATTTGCTTGGAGATTTACGTATCATTTGAAGTCTTTTGAAATTAGAAGGCCACCATTCTTTTTAGATGAGCGTCGATTCGGTCCCGTCGATTCGGAATTTACCATTATTCCACTAGGTCACTTCGGGCCTTCGGCCCTCGTCCCTCCCCACCGTTAGGACCCATTCTTCCACTTTAGGTCACTTCGGGCCTTCGTCCCTTCCACTTTGACTTACCTCGGACCTTCGGCCCTCGCCCACCCTTTTAGATGGGCGTCGCATTTTTTCCTCCTTTTAGATGGGCGCGCGTCGGGCCTTCGGCCCTCGCCCATCCTTTTAGATGGGCGTCGCATTGGTCTCTTCCTTTTAGATGGGCGCGCGTCGGGCCTTCGGCCCTCGCCCATCCTTTTAGATGGGCGTCACATTGGTCCCTTCCTTTTGGATGGGCACGCGTCGGGCCTTCGGCCCTCGCCCGCCCTTTTAGATGGGCGTCGCATTGGTTCCTCCTTTTAGATGGGCGCGCGTCGGGCCTTCGGCCCTCGCCCATACTTTTAGATGGGCGTCGCATTGGTCTCTTCCTTTTAGATGGGCGCGCGTCGGGCCTTCGGCCCTCGCCCATCCTTTTAGATGGGCGTCACATTGGTCCCTTCCTTTTGGATGGGCACGCGTCGGGCCTTCGGCCCTCGCCCGCCCTTTTAGATGGGCGTCGCATTGGTTCCTCCTTTTAGATGGGCGCGCGTCGGGCCTTCGGCCCTCGCCCATCCTTTTAGATGGGCGTCGCATTGGTCTCTTCCTTTTAGATGGGCGCGCGTCGGGCCTTCGGCCCTCGCCCGCCCTTTTAGATGGGCGTCGCATTGGTTCCTCCTTTTAGATGGGCGCCGTCGGGCCTTCGGCCCTCGCCCATCCTTTTAGATGGGCGTCGCATTGGTCTCTTCCTTTTAGGTGGGCGCGCGTCGGGCCTTCGGCCCTCGCCCACCCTTTTAGATGGGCGTCGCATGGTCCCTTCCTTTTAGATGGGCGCGCGTCGGGCCTTCGGCCCTCGCCCACACTTTTAGATGGGCGTCGCATTGGTCCCTTCCTTTTAGATGGGCGCGCGTCGGGCCTTCGGCCCTCGCCCACCCTTTTAGATGGGCGTCGCATTGGTTCCTCCTTTTAGATGGGCGCGCGTCGGGCCTTCGGCCCTCGCCCACCCTTTTCTTCCAGTTTGGGTCACTTCGTGCCTTTATCCCTCGTCTCCCCCCTCCCCACCGTTGGGACCCATTTTGGTCACTTTGCTCTCTCCCCATCGTTGGGACCCATTTTGGGTCACTTTGCTCTCTCCCCATCGTTGGGACCCATTTTGGCTCACTTCGGGCCTTCGGCCCTCGTTTTCCCCCTCCCCACCGTTGGGACACATTTTGGGTCACTTCGGGCCTTCGGCTCTCGATTCTCCCCCTCCCCACCGTTGGGACCCATTTTGGGTCACTTTGCTCTCTCCCCATCGTTGGGACCCATTTTGGGCCACTTAACTCTCTCCCCATCGTTGGGACCCATTTTGGCTCACTTCAGGCCTTCGGCCCTCGTTTTCCCCCTCCCCATCGTTGGACCCATTTTGGGTCACTTCGCTCTCTCACCACCGTTGGGACATTTTGGGTCACTTCGGGCCTTCGGCCCTCGTCTTTCCCCTTCCCCATCGTTGGGACACTTTTTGGGTCACTTCGGGCTTTCGGCCCTCGATTCTCCCCCTCCCCACCGTTGGGACCCATTTTGGGTCACTTCGGGCCTTCGGCCCTCGTCTCTCCCCGTCCCATCTTTGGGACCCATTTTGGGTCAATTCGGGCCTTCGGCCCTCGTTTCCCCCCTTCACACCGTTGGGACCCATTTTGGGTCACTTCGGGCCTTCGGCCCTTGTCTCCCCCTCCCTCCCTACTGTTGTGACCCATTTTGGGTTACTTCGGGCCTTCGGCCCTTGTCCCCCCACTGTTGGGACCCATTAAGCCACTTTAGATCACTCCGGGCCTTCGGCCTTCGTCCCCCCACCGTTTGGACCCATTAGGCCACTATCCGGTCGTTTCAGTGCCACACTCGAGTGTGGCACCGAAATGACCATGCCCGTTGAAATCCCCGTGGTCGGTTACCTACTATCCCGCATGCTTAATTTCAATCCCAAAAACCGTTCCATGAACCGGCTGTTTCAGTGCCACATTTGAGTGTGGCACCAAAATGGCCATGCTCATTAGAATCCCCGGGGTCGATTACCTACTATCCCGCCTGTTTTATTTCAGTCCCATTTGTCGTTTTCTTGTTATAGAAATACGACAAAATATCACACTCCCTTACGCGACAAAATGCCACCATTTAAAAAGGGTTAGACAAGCATATCGTATCTTAGAGTTCGAATTTTTTCGAAATTTTTTTTTTATTCGACATCTACTAAATGCGGGCCAGGGCCCTCTAAGCGGAAGTTTTCCGCTATCTCTTCCGGTTCACGAGATAGCCAGGTCCCAGGGGTCGTTTCGGCGCAAAGGCGCCGGCGTAGGGAAAAATAAACAATTTTCCCAGATGCGCCTGATAAAGTAGCTGAAGCAATGTGCAACTTTCAGGGTGATCAGATCAACTCCCGGGGAGCCTTAATTTTTTTCATGAGTTTAAAAACTATTATATATACCGTATTTCCTGAAATAGTACTCCCCCCTAAATTAGCACTCCCCCCTTAAATAGTACTCCCCTTTGGAGGAGGGTTGAAAAATAGTACTCCCCCCTGAATTAGTACTCCCCCTAAAATAGTACTCCCCCCAAAAATATTTTTCCTCTATACATATTTAAAAAAATAATACGAGACATTGAATTATTTTATTTATTCTAAGTATCGTTGTCGGTTTCACTTGATTCTTTGATAAACAAAACCTGAGAGCTTTCGGTTAACCGAAAACGAATCGAAATTTTAAACTAAAATTTTTCGAGGATTAAAGAGATATAATCCGATTAATTGGTGGAGTAAAAGTGGATTTTGGGTATATAAAGGGATTGATATCGGGTGTAAAATGGGTTCTGTATTAATCAAGTGGCATTTAAAAGACATCATTGGATTAAGGTTTGATATAGGAATTTGAGGGAATAATGAAGGGGGAGTAATATTAGGCGATTTTGGTTGATTAAGAGCGATTAAGCGATAAGTTGAATCATAAATCCTTCTTAATCAACTAATATCGGAAGTACAAAAGGGATGTGGAGGATATCGGTGTTTAATATGATAAATAACTAGACAGAGATTAGGTAATCCCTAGACACATGGGTTTAGTTGACCCTGATAAATCTTAGACCCGAAAATCCCCTTATATCCCTCGATATCACTCCAAATTCACTTATATCCTTTTTGATTTCCCTCAATAACCCGTATTTTAAGTCACTTGTGTTTAATTGTCTCGCAATTTGCTCAATTTTATACTAATTCGGATATTTTCTACAACTTTTATTAAAGAAATTTTTTGAAAATCAGGGTCCGGATCCGGCATTTTTCAAATAGCGAACTCTAATCGAATTTATTTTGAGATAAATTGAAATAAATTAAAATATTTTTTTTAATTTTGAAATAAATTTTCCTATGAAAAATCATGGAGGATGGTTGAAAAATAATACTCCCCCCTGAATTAGCACTCCCCCCTTAAATAGTACTCCCCTTTGGAGGAGGGTTGAAAAATAGTACTCCCGGGAGTACTATTTTAGGAAATACGGTATATATATTAGGCCCAACATTCCCTTTCTTCACATAAAAGATCTCCAACTTCAACAACATTCTGTTCTCCCCATTCTCGTAGTTTTAAAATTACTGGTTGGTTATTAGCAATAATTTTTGGGTTTTGGTCAGTTTTCGGACTTTATCCAGCACTTCAAGGATGGAATTGGTTTTTATTTTTAAACAAACATTTTTTTATAAAAATTTAAAAAGGCCATTTTATCATTTATTTTATGGAGCTGTTTCTCGTACAGTTTTTGCTATATCTCTTGGATGGATTATTTATGCTTGCCATACAGGAATTGGAGGGCCGTTAAATTATGTAAAATTCCAAAAAAATTATTTTAATATTTTTTCCAATTAAAAGTTGCTTAGTTCAAGTCCATTTGTTCCCCTTTCAAATCTCTCTTACAGTGCTTATTTATTTCATATGATTCCCGTTGTTTTTACTTATGTTGTTTCTCCATTTCCAATGCATTTTGATTCAAAAGCAGAAATATTTGGACATTGTTTTGTACAATTAGTTATTGCATATGCTTATGGTAATTTTAAAAAAATTTTGAGAGTAATTTTATTTTAATTATTTCAGGTGTTCTTTGCAATTTATTAGCCGAACTTCCTGCATTGAATATTGAACGAATATTTTTGGGTACTTCTTCTACAGGTGTAAATAAAACAAGCAAAACAACAAACCTACAAAAATCAATAAAAAACGGAAATAACACAATAAATAATGGCCTAAAAGGTAATATTCAGTGCTGTACGGATATAGAAGAAAAACGCTCAATTTCAACGACAACAACGACTGCTGCTCCATCCCCTATTGTTTCGGCTATTGTGAAAGCAGAAGAAAGTACAGCAACAATAAAAGTACCAACAGAAACAGTGTCAACAACTTTGGCACAAGAAAAAGAAGACGAAAGTAATAGCAGTATAAGAAATGAAGAATAAAAGGAGAGCGAGAGAGAGAGAAAAGTAGAGAGAAATATTATAGAAAAATGAGAGAAAATAAAAATTTTATATAACAAAAAATATGGCAAAAAAATATGAGAAAAATAGGGCCTTTAAACAAAATATAAATGTGAGATAAGAAATATCAAAAACGAGAATAGGGGGACATAAACCACATTTTTAACCGTCTTACCATAAACTGCCACGCGCGTGCTCATTTATTTTATATATGTACATATATTCCTTCATTTTTTCGAGAAAATAAAAATTCTTAACAACTCAATGTTCGCCTATTCTCGTTAATCCTTTACTCTGTTCGCGTAAATTTCTTTATGTATTTACATCTTTTCATAATTCATTTCTAAATACATACTTTGATCTCCTCACAAAATTATTAATTTTCTGTAAATCTGTCGCATTTTAATTATTTTTGGATAAATGTTTAATTAAAAAGTATTTCTTACAAGAGGTTAAGATGCTTCTACTAATTTGTTTTACATATTATTAAATGCATGACCGTCGTAACAAACTAACATAGACAAAGCCACAGATAAATTCAATTTTGTTTTTAACTATACTTTTAATTTGTAGTTAAACTTGTGGTCCTGGTCCCTAGAACAACAAAAGAAGTAAAAAGTAAAAAAAAAACAAAAAATTTCCGAAAATTTCGATTTTAAGGGTAATTTATTCTACGTACTCTGAAACGTCCCCCTTTAGCGGTACTCTGAACCCGCTACTCTGAAACGGGCTTTACTTCAGGATTCGGGTCCGCAAAGTTCGGGTCCACAAATTTTAATCCGCAAAGTTAGGCGTGCCGTTGAGCAAAATTTTATTGAATTTGTTTCAAAAAAATTGACTAACATTTGAGTATTTATTCAATGCCTAAATTTTCTTTTTGGTTTTGGGTGTTTATAACTTTTGAGTTTATATAAATTAGAGCTTTGTTTCTATTTTGTTTTTCATAGCTGGTCACCTGTTTATCACTTTTCTTATACTTTCTTGTGTGAAATTTTTACTCTATTCGTAAATTCATCAATTTTTATGTTTTCGATTATTTAACAATAAATATTTTCTCAATAGGCAATCGCGTCCACGTGATTTTATTCAAAAATACATAATTCAGATTTTTAAATTTATTAAATTAATTTTTAGTTAGATTAATGCATTAATTATATTTCCGATAGAAAATGGATAAACAACATAGTAGTTATTGTCCTCCTAGTACAACATTTGGAAGTCTTATTGCTAATGGTAGTAGTGAATTTTCAGAAGCAAACACTTTCCACCAACGACATTTGGATCAACAACCATTATCAGGTTTTTATTTTGTTTTTCGGTGCATTATCATTTGTGGATAAATTATAATTGGAAGGGCTTGTCGACTTGATTCGTAAAAATAGGTAACGAGCTCAACTATAGGTCGTTAGATTAACTCATTAATATATTTCGATATAAGATGCATTTTAGATCTGGATAATTTACCTATATGTCAATCGAAATAACGCAATTCTATTCCTTTTTTACCGTTTTTCGGTCTTGAAATACTGACCTACCCGAAAATGGCTAATCCCCTCCCTCTCCTACAGTTTTTGCCATTTCGAGCCCTATATCTCGGCCCTAAGTTTTCGCAGACTGCTTTGTTTGTCATTCAACTCATAATCAGTCCGATTCGCTCTGTCGATTGACATATAAATTGTCCAACTCTAAAATTGGCCCATAAAATCTTTAGCCGAAACAAATAAAGCGTAAAACATATTTTACACTCAAACAATAAAAAAGTATTTATTTATAGGTCGATTTTAACTAGAAAATTCAAAAATTTACTTTTGTGTCTAAAATTTGTGTTTGGATTTTTGGACATAATTTACAAAAATTTTCCCGTCGCGTACTACGTTAGGAAGATCCTGCATCAAATATGAAACTCGCTTTTAAACCTTTTTTTCTTTAATTTTCAGGCAGCTTTGTTAATTACAATCCGCAAAATTCTATGGGATTAATGGCTGAAACATCGTCTAATCCTATTTCTCAACAAAATGGACATTTCCAAGAAGGATGTGTTCGAGGGGCCAATACCTCATTGCCACCTCCTCAGCCATACCAAAATCCTTCGACAATAGTAATGATTTTTAATTAATTTTTGTGTAGAATTGATTAAATTATGCTTTTTAAAATTAAACCACTTAATTTTGAAAAGCACTAATTAACTTTAAATTAATTTAATTTTTAATTAATTTAAAAAATTTTATTTAACGAAATTTTGTATTTATTTAAAATTTTAAATATTTTTTTGTTTTTACATTTATATAAATTTTCAGAAACCAAATCTTCCACCTTCATATAGTTCTGCGACAACCGGTTTTCCTTCGCTTCCACCGCAAAATGCAAAACCATACAATCCATTTGGATACGTCAAGGATGTATGTTTATTTTTTAAAATTTTTATTTCTGACTTTCTACATTTAATTTAAAACTTTTCATGGACATAAACCCCCAAAAATTTTACAAATTAAATTAAAATTTAAAATAATATCTTTTATCATTCTTGCTATTGGCAAACATTCCTTTTTATTAATTAAAAATATTTAAATCATAAAATAAAAAAAACTATTTTAATAAATATTTTTTTCTTTTATTATTTACACTCTCTCATTTCTCAAATCTATATGGAGTCGCATGACTTTTTTATTTATATAAACATTAAATTCGAGAAAGTCGATTCGATTGCTTGTCCTTTTTTTCTATCCTCTCTCTTTCTCTCTTTATTTACATTTTCCCTCAAAAAAATTAAATTTAAATTTTTTAAATTAAATAGGTATTTTATTAGCCAATAGAATTAATAATTCATTTTATTAATTTACTCCATTTTTAAATTTTTATTTAAATTTTTTTAATTTATCCGAGTTAATTAAAAATTAAAATTCTTGTTAAGCGTCCTTATAACATTCATCAACAACATAATAATCAAAATTTTGTTTCTGGTTGCAATAGACAACCACCAACAGCTAACTTTATTTTAAACGATCAACAAATATCGTCACCTTTTAATCGTCAATCGGGTGCATTTATAGGTGGAAGTATTAGCGGAGCTTTTTCTACTTCTCCTCTCTCTTCACCAAACACCAACGCGACGATTAATAGCGGAGCAATTGCCGGAACTATTGTTAATTCAGGAGGTCGCCCGTCGCCACAACTCACTCATCCATCCCATTCACAACAACAGTCATCTTTTTTATCAATGGCTAGTGGCCCTCCTCAAATCCATCAATTAACCCAACAACAGCAAGCCCCTTTCCATCAAATTGTAAACAATAATAGTAGTGGAGTTAATTATCAGCCTAAGCAGTATGGCTCAGCTGTTGGTGTATGTAAATAATCATTGCAAAAATATATAAAAAATATAATATACAAAAATTTTTACCCTCCAAAAATCAAAAATGTAATTTTAATTAATTATTTATTTTAATAATAGACCACAAACGCTTTTGACATGTCTCCACTTCTTTATGAGACTGGTATTGACAATAACACTCGACATACAGGCCCGTCAATGAATGGAGCAATGAATGAAGATTTTCTTGGTGACTTTGTACCTACTGAATTGCAGCAAGCTGTATCGGATCGTTATGTTCTTTCTAATGAATTGAAAGAGCGAATTGATGGTTCTTCTAAAAAACAGGTGAACACAAATATTGTTTTTATCTGAAAAATTCTCTCATTATTTTCAGGCTCTTTTCGAGATTATAATCGGCCTTGAGGAAGTTGCTTTTGGTCTACCAACATATTTTAATACTTGGGCAACCGAAATACGAGACCGAATGGTTGGTAGAGATCCGCTTCCTGAACCGGATTTGCGTATTGCTTCAGAAATTCTTATTGAAATGGTTTGGATTTTATATTTTAATTCTTTAACAGCCATGTTTTTTAAGGCTGTTGTTTTAGACGAAAGTCAATATAATTATTCTTGTTTGTGTCAATTCCTCGACAAAAACATTGAAAACTTTAGCCAAAATATATTGCTTTCGCAATTAGCTTTGTTCATTAACGATACACAATCTTCACTTTCCTTACAACATTGTTGCAATTTGGTTACCTTTTTGGCTGAACTTTACGATAAAATTGAGGTAAAGTTTATTTCTAAATAATCTTTAAATTTTGTACATTAAGGTCAATGGAGTGAAATCTTCACAATTAGCTGCCCATCTTTTTGACCAATTACATGGGTTGTTGAAACTACCATCTGACAATCAGGGAATTGGTGTTATCGTTAAAATACTTAAAGTTTGGAGTTTTTATAATATTATAATAAAACTATTTTCATTTAGCTGACTGGCCGTTTTTTGGAGAATGACCGTGGATCTGAAGCTATGAATGCATTCATGATAGATTTGAACGAATGTGCTGCGTCGTGTAATGAGTTGGGTTTATTTAGATTTTGTTTTTTGATTTTTTTAAATTTAGCCTTACAAAATTGAAAGTTCGAAATCTTCTCGAGTTACGCGCCAAACATTGGGGGATTGTTTCCGAGGTTTTTATACTTTCGATTTTTCCATTCCAATTTGATCGTTTTAGACTGCTCGAGCAGGTGATATTAGCAATGATGCTTATCCAGCTGTAGGACTTTTGGGTCCAGATGGGGAACATTTAATTCCTGATGACGATTGTGCCTTTTTGGACGAAAATTTCGACACTTTTGGAAATTCTCCTTCTGGTTCACGTTTGTTTATATTTCTTTTTTTATTGTTTTTTCTTGGTAACTTTTTTTGTTTTTAAGTGTACAACAATCCAATCGAGGAAGACAATGTTGAAGATGAATATGATAAATTTCTGCAAGCCACTGCAGAACGTACAGCGGAGAGGGCTCTTGTTTCTTTTGATGAAGATGATGAAAGTATTGTCTCTTCGGTAAAAATTTTAATTATTCGCTAATCAGACATTTTTTTATTAGCCTGCGTTTATGTCGAAGCAGGGCAATGAGAAAATGTCTTAAAATGATGAAAAGGAAAGTTAAGAATGATGGAAGACCAGCATAATTTAAACGACTTTATTTTAGGGCATTAAATTGTGACTATAAAATATGGCTTTTTAGTATACTTTAAAGCCAAAGCCCTTTAAAGTAAGGTTCTTCTTTCTTTTCTTTTGTATCAACTCGGTTATATAAAATTGAAAATCATTTTTAAATGTAAGAGAAAGATTTTGATTTTGGCAGAGAATTATTCTAATCTAAAATTTGCATATTTTCGTATTATAATGCTGAGTTGTTTTTCCGCCACCTTTTCATCATTCAGCTTTTTTAAATGTGGATACAAGTTTTAAATAAAACCTCGCTCCATTTCCCATGTAATTTTAGACAGGTCTACATCGTTTTAAAGATAATTACAAGATGAAACATGGATTTCATTACATATTTGTTTCACATATATGCACAGCTTTCCTTTATTTCTTATTGATTAAATCTATATAAAGATATTTTTTGTTTATTTTTGCGTATACATTAATGTAATGTAGATAATTACTAAATATAGAATTTATTCATTCTATTATTTTGGACTAGTAACAATAATTTAAATTTAGCCATTAAATGTGAATAATCAACGTCATGTACTACAACGATAATAGTCATTCTGCCGTTGATCTCTCTGACGGGTTAGTTCTTTTTGCCCTAATATTTTTATTTTATTTTAGATTGTTCATTAACTTCAATGAAAGGTTGGGTCAACTGTCTCCAGAGTTGAGGGATGTTGGGGTTCGACTACGACGACATTTACAGGTTTTTATCTGAATATGCGCAAATACGTTACTCTTACAGTTCTTTTTTATGAATCCTCTCGACAAGTATAGGATTCGGAGACAATTTCCCTTCAAACTAGTCCTTCAAATACTTAAAGCTATATTTGTAACTACACAGGTTATTTTATATTTTTGTATTTCTAAAAACTCATTTTAAGTTGGTGCTTTTCGCTGAGCTCAGAATTTCCCATGTCGATTTTCTAGATGAAACGGTGACGGTGATGAGACACAAATTTCTCAAAGATTGGGGTCCAGAACGGGATACAATTGCATATCCACCTGCTGCTGGAAAATATTCCGTTTTTACAAGTGACCAAATTGTTGAACATTTTGCACATATTATTAAAGCCGTAATTTTCAGCATTTATTGTTTAATAATATTGATTTAATTTTAAGTATTATTCGATTCAAAACGACTCATTTGCCGCATTTAGCTATGACACAATTACACCTCAAATTGAACATTGGCAGCATTTACATGATGATGATGAAAATAATACAAATTCAACTAATCTTCAAAAGAGAATAGTTTTTTCTGCTATACCTCCACTACAATTATGTATTCAAAGAATTGCTGATGTAATAATTGAAAATTCTACCTATATTTTTGACATTTCTGAAGTTAATGGTTAGTTTAAATATTTCCTTGATTTATAAATTTGTTGTCGCCTACGCAAAACTGAATTTAAATAGAACTAACAGGATGGTGTAGATAGTGACTAACTTTAAATTCTTTTAATCAATTTTTTAAATAAAATTCTATTTTTAAGAATGTTTTACACTCAATTTTACACACAATGAAGTCAGAGATATAAAAAATAATCCGTATACTGTTCGCAATCTGTTAGCAAAGCGGAATATAACATTTACTGGGGAAGATGCTCTTATCATTTCTCAAGCTATTGTTAAATTTAATTTGCGTACTATACACTTTAGTCCTTTACAAAATGATCAAAAGCCTGAATGTTACAAAATTGATGTAATTTTTCTAAAATTATTTTATTTAAAAATATTTTTAGATAAAAATAATATTTGACAATTCTCGACATACTGGTCAAATAAAGATTAAATTAAATGCAAATATCAGGTTTTTTTTAATTTCCTTTTTTCAAACATTTTTAGTTATGTAAATCTATGCAATGGACGTGTTTTGCATGTTAATTCTATTGGATTTGATACTGCTTTTATCGCAATAATTGATTTGTTGGTGCTAATTATGTGTGTTGCTTCTGTTATTCTTTGTCTTAGAGCATTAGTTAGAGCACATTTGTTGAAAAATGTAAAAAATAATTTAAAATAAAATTCCATTTCATTTTTCTAGACGACAAGTGAATTCTTTGAAAAGGCATTTAAAAGACGTTTACCAATTTCGGATCAATGGGAATTCTTTAATTTATGGTATGGAATGATTGTTGTGGTTTGTTTTTAATTTTTTAATTTTAAAATTAAAAAAAATATTTAGAATGATATTTTGATAATTATTGGAACAATAAGTAAGGCAACAATTGAATTTCGTGATTTTGATTCCGATTTGTTTACATTAACGGGTACTTAATTTTTATTTCGATTAATTTCTTTTAATTTTTAGGTGTTGTTTTAGGTATTGGAGCACTTTTAGTTTATATTGGATTACTTCGATATTTTGGATTCTTTAGTCAATATAATGTTTATAATTTATTTAATTTTTAAATTAATTTAACTTTATTAGATTTTGGTGCTTACTTTGAAGAAGTCACTTCCATCAATCCTTCGCTTCATGGTCTGTGCTATTATTCTGTATTCTGGATTTCTTATGTAAGTTTTCTTTAAATTTGTAAATATTCAGCCTCGCTCCCTACCTATCCACAAAGACAGTTTGCAATATACAGCAAATGAAGGATATTGCGAACCGTCTTTTGTGGATTGATGGGGAGTGGGTTTACAGTTATTATGTAAATTCTTAATCCTTTCATATATTTTAGTGCTGGATGGGTTGTTATTGGACCTTATAGTATGAAGGTATTTTTTTATTGGAAATATGTTTGGCGAGCTTAATGTATCTCAAAATTTAATGAACTCCAAAATTTTAAGATTTATCTACTTTTGTGGATTTTTGATTATTTGCATTAACCATTTTTAACTAAAATTTATTTTTATAATCAAAATTTATTTAAAAAGTTCCGAACATTGGCACAATCATCAGAAGCGCTTTTTTCGCTCCTCAATGGAGATGGTGAGTTATTATTGACTTTATCTTAAAATTAAAAATATATTGTAGATATGTTTGCAACATTCTACACAATTAGTGATGCAAATGCTGCAATTAAATTATTTGGAACTATTTATATATATGCTTTTGTATCATTGTTTATTTATGTTGTTTTGTCATTGTTTATAGCTATTATAATGGATGCTTATGAAGTAGGAACTTTTAAAAATGAAACTTTTTTGAGACAAGAATTAGCGAATAATTAGTTGTCCCTTTAACAAATTTTATAATAAAAATATTCTAAATAATTTTTAGGTCGTCAAGAATCGATACAATCAAGGTATGGATTTGGAGCGCTCTATCCTTCAAGAGTTCCTTGCTAGCGAAGATATGCCCGACGTCAACACTCCAGAGGCAAGAGAAATATTTGCAACGGATCAATTACTTCAATTAGGTCAGTTTTTGTTATAGGGTTCTTCCACTTCTTCTAAATGCACAACTGAAGAGGAGGCGACTGTAAACAATGAAACTCCACTTTGAGTGTTTGGTTTTGTCTCGCTCTTTTGTTGTGCTTTGTTTATTGGGCTGAAATGATATCAAAATACCTATATTTGAAATATGTTGTAGAAAATTTGTGATATATTTTTTGTGAAGATTTTTAATTGAATGTTGATAACTAAATTAATTTTCTAGTTAACTTCACTTAAATTAATTGTGAAATATTTTAACAATTTATAGATTTAAATGATTTTCTTTTTTGAATTTTCCAGAAAGTGGCTGGTTTTTGCGAGACTTTTCTCGTTTCTTTTCCATTTTTCGTCGACTTCAGGGACGTTACAATCCAACAACGTCTTCACCTCGTCATCTTTCTGCAGCAAATAACGGAGGTCCTTTTTTCGACTATCGCTCGTTTGAAAATACATCACATGATGGAATTTCAATAACTGAAGAACAGCCAGCAAATATTCTCAATCAACGACAACAAACTGGGTTTGGAACAGATTCACCAGAGAATGACTTTAGTCAATTGAATTTAAGTAATGAAAACCGTAGCAGTCAACTCAATAATTTAAGTGGTGGATCTCAACATTTACATCATAGTGATAACCTCCGAATGAATCAATACAATAATTTATCTCTCGAATGAAAAAAAGAAGTAAATTGTTTATTTTTTCACCAAAAGTATAATTTTGCGCTGAATTTTTATTTTTTTTATATTTCCATTTTTTAATTACGAACCATTATTTACGATTAGTATTTTGGAATTTTTAATTAGAATTCTTAAATGTCATTGTAATTTGTAAGATTCAGAATAATGGTTTTTTGCTGATTCTATAAATTTTAATTAAAGGATCGGTCTTGGGATTTTTAATTTCGTATAATTCTTTTGCTTTTTTTATAAAAAATATTTTGACCGATTTTTAGAATTTTTTAAACTTTATTTTACTCATTCGCATTATTTTTTATCTAAATTGCATTTTTGCCACCCTTTACAATATCTATATTCAGTATTATTATTATAAAAATTATATTCAATGCCTTTATTTTTAACGCTAGAATTGTTAGTATAAATTTGTAAGTAAATGTACTTTAAATAAATGTTTATTTTTGAAATTTAGTTTTTATTCTCAGACATTTTAAAATTTTAATGATTTACATATTTTTAAATATTTTCTGAATTTAAACGTTTAAATTCAATTTTTATTTCATTTTCAGAACTACAACTAAATTATAAATTATCGAAGCTCAACTCAATGTTTTGACTTTTTACATATTGACCAAAGGTAAATTAAATTTATTATCTTTATTAAATGTAAAAATACGTACACCCTAATCTCACTAGCACCCTAATTTATATTTTGGTTTCTGGGCTGCCCAAGTCTTCAAGGGTGTATGTACGTACAATCTAGATCCAACTATAATTATATTTAGATTTTGTATGTTCAAATGATTATTGATTATTCTGCTCATTTTTGGGTATTTCATTAAATTTATTTTTTATCTACAAATTTCGTATTAAGGGTGATAAACATATTGGGTATAATGTTCTTTATGACCATATGAAGAAAGGAGAGGATTCTGTGCATGAATTGCTCACTTTTATTAAAGAAAGGGCTAGTATGGAAGATGACATTTTAAAGTGCCTTAACAGACAGCTTGTTAAAGTATTTTTTTATTTTACTATAATTTAAGTATTATGATAGAACATTAAGTAAATTCACACTTCTATGAAAATAAATATAATTTAGGCTAGTACATATACAACTAATAATGGATCTTTGGCTGATGCCTGGCGATTGACTAAAAATGCGCTTGAATTTTGGATAGGTAAATTGTTAGTTTAAAAAGTTTTTATTTAAAGGATTTTTCTTTAATTAATTTTTTTACAATTTTTTAGAAATTAAAACAAAATTAGTGCATAATCTTGGTGACCTTTCTAGAGACGTTTTTCGATATCAAGAAGAACTTATAAAAATTCGGAAAAAAGCTAAAGATATTGAGACATTAGAAGCAATTAATTTAATGCAAACAACAACAACTTGTTTACAAAAAGTTTTTTTTATTTAAATTTAAAATTAAAAAAAATTTTTTGAAGGCTAAAGAGACCTACTTACAACGCTGTGCAGAAGTAATTAATTTAAAAAATTCTAGTAAAGACTGGACCTTTACAAACACAAAAGAATATCTTAAATTAAGTTTTTAAATTAAATTTTTGATTTTTTTAATTTTTTAGATAAAAAATAAATTAAATAAATCACATATTGAATATCGTCAATATATGGAGAAATATGCACAAATTAGAGATATTTTTGAGGATAGAATACTAAAAGCTGCAAGAATGTTTCAAGAACATGACAGAGGACATATTTTACAAATGAAAAGTTTTTTTTTGAATTTAAATAAGAATTTTAATTTTTTTAAAGAATTTTTCTTCCAATTGGCTACTCTTTTGGAGACTGCACAAAATTGTGATGCTAAAACGGCTATTGAATATAAACAAAATTTGGAATTAATTGATGTTGAGGAAATTATGTTGAGATTTATTGAAGAAAAAGGGACTGGCACAGATGTTCCCAGTTTGGTTTTTTCTTAAAATTTGCCCATAAGAATATATTTAATTCTAAAAATATATTTTTAGAAAAACTTAATTGGACAGAAGCAGATGAACTTCCACAAGAATTTGATGTTCTCTCTGCAGTTCATTCCCATTCTTCTTCATCAAATAACTCCTCGGCTATTGTTCCCAATACTACATTTTCTTCAGTTACTGCTCACAATCCCCCTCCAACAACAGTTGATGATTTGCTGAAGTTTGATGATCATTGTGCTTCTTCTAAATTATTTGAAAGTGAAAAATCTTCTCAACGAAAATCTCAACAAAAAAGACAACGTTTTAGACAATTGGCATCCGAAGCTGACGGGGAGGATAGTGATTCTAATTCTGAAAATGCTGAAGGGGAACAACAAACAAATATTAGGTTGAAGTTTATTTATATTTAAATAGGGTACTTTTTTGTTATACGACCGCGAACTGAGTACGCGCCGATTTTGATCGGCTGCAATGCTTTTTTAATGCTTGATCCAATACTTATGAATTTTGTATGTGTATTTTTTTAATAGGTTAGATCAAATCTGATCAGTTATTAAAAAAGTTATAACCCGATAAGTCAGTCATTCGATTTTTCACATTTATCGAGTTATAACTTTTTAATAGGCGATCAGACCTGTTCGATCAAGTAGGATAAAAGATACCTCTTATCGATGCTACCCCATTGCTACCTCATTGTCTAATTTATTTTTAAATAAATTATTTAAAGAATTAATACTTCTGATAATCAACAACAACCTTCTTCCATTTCAACTGTTCAACACCAAATTTCTTCTTGGTTGGGCAGGCAGAAACAGGCAGCTTCTCATTGGAGACTTAAAAAACATAGTGCCTCACAATCTAGTCTTCCAGCAGCAGTTGCAAATGAAATGGCTATAACAAATGAAAAACTTCAATCAAATAACCAATTTGCAGAATTCTCCAAAAGTTTTGGTGTAAATGAAGGTAAAAAGAAATGGAAAATTTTGTAAAAAGGAATGGGAATGATAAATTATAATTTTGATTTATTAAAGGTAGTGGAGGAGGGAGTGGTTTGTCTAAACGTTATCAAAAGAAAATTAATGCAAAGAATTCAATTAATGAAATAACTCAAACAAAAATGAAGCGAGCGTATGTTTGTTTTAAAGAAATATTTTTGTAAAATATTTTAAATTTATAGTTATAGTCAATTTCAACTGGAAGGCGAAAATTGTGATATTTCTGTTGTTGAGGAGGAGGTGGAAATTAAATAAAAATAAATTATTTAATATTTTTAAAGCCAAAAATCAAAGACCCTCTTCAAGTTTTTGGCCCTCCACCACCATTACCTCCCCCGCCATTACCAATTAGTGCACCAATTCCTCCACCTTTATTTGACAATCAATCACTAAATTCCCAAAATGTTTCTTTTATCTATTCGAATGAAAAACAACCAAATATTAATTATAATATTAGCCAATCTACTGATAACAATCGTTGGTCTGCTGCTGATAGTTCTTCTTCTTCTGGTAGTTTTTATAGCCTATATAATTTTTTTATTTTTCTTTCTCAAAAAGATGATGAAGATAACTCAACAAAATTCCAAACAACAAAAATACGCCAACTCCAAATTCGACCACTCGTTGAACAACAAGAATTCCAAAAAAATACTTCTTTGGATGAATTACGTTCTGCTATAGGGCAAATTAGTTTGCCAAGAAATTCAATAATTGAAAATGTTTTTTAGAAATTAATTTAAAAATAAAAAAATTTTTTAAGGATCCTTGGGCAGCGTCTGATGCTGAAACAACAACTTCTGCAGATATTTCTATTCAAAGTAATCAAATAACAAATCAAGTATTTCCACCACTTCGAGCGGCACTTACAGGGGATTCACAATATCGGCGATGTTTTGGTAATTTTTTTGGTAAACTTGTTTTTATTTTTTTCTTTTAAAAGCGCCCTCAAATGATTTTGGACAATCTTTTTCTATATTTTCTACTTCAAATAGTATTGCTAGAGCTAGACCACGTTCCCATACACCTCTTGTTTTTGGACCTGCATCTACTAATACATTTTCAAAATCTCAAATGGCAACAACAACACCCTTAAATCAAAGTTTTTGAATTTATTTTATCCCGAAAAAATTTTTTAAGCTAAAGGAAATACTTCGCAAAATATGGATTCATCTTCAACACAAGGAATTAAAACACTTGACCATCCAATTGTTGAACTACCACGAAAATGAACGAGTAATTCAATACAAGAAAATGTAATAGGGGATTGTAGAGAATATATTCTATGTATTTTGTTGGTAATTTTTGTTTATAGTGTTCACTTATATTGCTTGAGCATAAATAATTAATAATATTGTAAATCTGAGATACAAATAAGGGGGCAAACGAGGGGGGTTTGTATCTCACCCTCCCCCTGGTTACGGGTCTGGATATTTTTTCCCAGAGAGGTGTGGAATTAAGATTCCAGTAAATCCTTTTTTCTTCTAATTAAAAAATATATAAAAAGAATTTTTATTTAAAAAATATAAAAAAGTATAAAAACAACTAAAGCTAATAAAAATCCAATAGGAAAAGCAATTCTTGAAACTAAATCTAAATGATTTGTTGCTGAATAACGATTTAACACTTCTGCGTGTGTTGATGAGAGTAATGGCTTTTTTTAAGGAAAATAATAAAAAATTATTCTTTTTCTTTTTAAATTTACCTCATCTTGTGTAACAATTAAAGTAGTTGTTGTCCCTTCTTTTCCATCATCTTCACTTGTTGGACGGTTAAATTGATGATGTCTTTGTTGTGCAGTTAATGCTGCAGCAGAATGTTGATTAATTGTTGAATAACACCGAATTACAAAAAAATATTCAATTAAAGACAAAAATGTAAATAATGTACAAATAAAAAGCCAAATTATCCAAGCACAGGATTCAATTGGAAGAAAAATCTTTTTTTAATTTAATTTAAAAAATAAATGAAATTTACCAAAAAACAAAGAAATAAAAGAAAAGGCACAGATGAACTAAGTGTTCGAGGTACTGACCATGATGGATGTACCCAAAAATGGAACCAACTCGTAAATACAAGTAAAATACAAGGAATTAAAACACTTGACCATCCAATTGTTGAACTACCACGAAAATGAACGAGTAATTCAATGCAAGAAAATGTACCTTTTTAAAATTGGGAATTGTAGAGAATACATGTGTATTGTTGGTAAGGATTAAATCAAAAAGTAATGATTGAATCTGAGATATAAACAAGGGGGAGGATATAAATAAATGTTCCAAAAGGAACATTTATTTTTTAAATTTACTTTGTGTAAAATTTCCAATTGAATGACATTCCCCAGCTTCAGCTTCTTCAAATGCATAATGGGCACCCCCACCAGCATGTAAACGATCAGCAATCTGTATCGGCTGGATAAGGGGAGGAGAATTTGCCCATAAATAGGCGACATCGTCAATTGAGTAAATAGCTTTAAAATGAAGATTATTGGGAAATAATTAAAAGATTTTCCAATGAATATTTTAAAAAAAAGTTTTACCACTTGAGAGAGCAAAGCGAATAGAGCGAACATCACGTATAGGGTAAGCTCCATCCGATTGAAAATTTATTCGTAATGTTCTCCTTTAAATTTATTTATTTAAAAAAATTTTTGTAAAAACACAGACGTGTCTTCATTTCTAATATAGCCGCTATATTCAATTATAGTTCTTGATCTAATTACTCCTTTATTTCCAATAGAAGGTGCTTGTTCTTGAGCTCCTAAAAATACCTTTTCAAAAAAAATTCACAACTCTCCATTACTAACCAACAAAAAAAGTATCTGGCTTCCAAACAGTTGCATTTTTTGGAAGAAGTACTAAAAATATTAAGAAGAAGAATACCTCCTCTGTATATCCTCCTCTCTATTACCTTCATGTATTCCTTCCCGATGGTCTACATGAAATGCAAGACGAGAATCTTCCCATTCTTGTTTTAATGTCAAATCAACTTCCTTTATTATTAAATTTTATTTAAAATTAAATAAAAACACCGCTGAATGTTTATGCCAAACAATATTTTTAAGTACAATAGAAACAGTCACAACAATTGCTGCATGATCAGCTAAGGCTATAGTAGAGAAAACAGCACAATTTTAATCAAAACAATTTTAGGTTAAAAAACCTCTAACAGGAGGGCGTGTATTTGGATCATAATCAGCAAAAAGACGCGAAAGAATTAAATTTTGAGTTCCTAATTTTTAATTTAATTTTAAAATTAAAAATATTTAAAAATCTACGAATTTGTCTGCTTCTTAATTGTTTTGCAGGAGGGTCTTTTGCCTGATTAGACAAGCACAAAAATGTGGAAATACTTTAAAAAACAAATTTTAAAATAATAATTTTATTATTTAAAATTACCAAAAAATAGAAAATATTAAATTTGTTGTTTTTAATTGGAAAAACATTTAATTTTGATTTAAAAAAATTTTTCGGGATTTTTGAAGGAAAGAGAGAATAATTTAGTTAATTTTTTTCAATCATCCAGACGAACGGAAAAAACATTTTTATTTTATTTTTAAACTATTTAAAGTAATTTTTAGAAAGGAAGTTTATTTTCTTCAAAAAATAAAAGAAAGCATGCAAACTTTATTTAACAGCTGTTTTAAAAATTATAAAAGAATAATCATTTAAAAAATCCATGGAAAAGACGGAATAAATAAATAAAAATAAATCTAAATAGTAAAATAAAAGAAAATTTTTTTTTCTGATTTTTTGTAAAACCAAAACAGCTGCCTATATTCTACTTTAAGCAAAAATAATGTTTAAATTAAATATATATTTCCATTGGAATTATTTTAATAATTATTCCCAGGGGTTTCTTTATAATTTAGCCAATCTTTTTTGTAATTCTTCTAAAGAATTTATAGGCATTTCACATGATTCTGCTTGACATAAAAATATTGTTGGAGGCCCTCCAGTTTTATAACTTTCAATATAATCTTTTAAATGTGAATTCTTTTGTAAAAGAAAAGAATTATTTCCTTTAAAAAATTATTTTTAATTAAAATTAATTAATAAAAAACCATTTATCTTAATTTTGTTAGCATCAAGAAATATAATTGTAGCCATCGGTAAATATTTTTGTTGAATCATTTGAAGCATTTTTTGAGTTGTAAAATCATTTATATCTCCCACAATGATAAACTTAATTTTTAAAATTTAATTTAAAAATACTTTCCGAATTAAGTATACCTGAAATTGTGGATTAGTCAGTGAATATAGAGGAAGTAAAAGTTTAGGAACAACAAAAGGAAATTTAGTTAAACGTTCTGTCCAAGTAGTTGAGAGAAAAACAGATTCGACACGTTGTTTAAATTCTTTAGAATCAAGCAAAGAAGAAAGGCGTAGAAGATTAGAAATAGCTACAGATGTTGAACAGGGCTAGAAAAAATGAATAAAATTATTTAATTGATAAAGATTTCTTTACTTCAGCTCCATCCTGTTCATCAACTATACGTGCAAATATTGACTGGTCTCCAGCACGAGAGGTGAAATAACCAGAATTATTTGTTGAATCAAAGAAGAGAATGTCCATTTTATTTTGTAATTGTTCTGCCCATTTCAATAAATTTTCATCAAAATTGAGTGAATAAAGATCAATTAGAGCCTCAATTAAAAAAGCATAGTCATCAGAAAATGCCATAATCGGAGAGGAACTAAATTAATAAAAAATATCCAAAGCTAAATTCGTTATAAATTAACTAGGAAATTAAAAGTTAAGATTGCTTAAACCCGAAAATAATCAAATACTTTTGGTTCAAAAATTTTTTAAATTAAAAAACCTCTGAACAATATTTCCGCTTTCATCAACATAAACAGAACGTAAAAGTTCTCCACTTTCCTCTGTGTATAAGTGTTCTTTTATAAATTTGACAGCATTTTCAGCCCGTTCTCTATATTGTTTGCTTCTTAAAAAGATTTTTTTAAGAAATTAAAAAATAAATATAAAACTTTTGTTCATCGATAATTGTTGAAGCAGCACAAAATCCAGAAATTGCTAGAGCATTCCAAGCAGTAACCAATTTATTATCTAAATGTGGTTTTGGCCTTTTAGCACGTTCCTCAGCTAGAAAACGTTTCGAATCTTCAATACATTCACAAAGTTCAGAAAGAGACATTTTATGTTCTTTTGAAATTTCCTCAAGTTGAGGACGAGTAACGAGATGAAGAATATTTTGTAATTTCAATTCATCATGTGGATCCTATAAAAATATGTAAGTGAATTAATTGCAAAAATAAAATTAATAGATTAAAAGAAATAATACTTTACTAAAAAAAGTTAAAAGTTTTGAAAACAAACAGCAGAAGCCGGCACATTTCCTTCATCTCGAATACCAAAAGCAGCACAAACAATTTCATCGAGACAAACATTTTCATTATGCCTCGCAGGTCTATCACCTAAAACTCTTTCTACTTCAGCTTTTGTCCAAACACAAAAGGCCCCTTCACGTTTCTTTTTAGATCCTTCTTCAGGTAAAGAATCAGCATCTTCGGCACTGTAGAAGCCTCCCGACTAAATTTTGACAAATTAAAAAAAAATTAAAAAAACAAACTGGGTGTGATAAATTTGTATTTAAATATTTAGCAATATCAATTATTGCATCGGTTGCCAACTCTTTATTTGAAGGGCAAGTTTTACAAAAATTACTGAAAGAACGCAATAATTGGCCTTGGTCATAAAGCATTTTCTAAAAAAATTTAAGTTAAAAATTTAATTATTAAATACTTCAAAATGTGGAACATGCCATTTAGAATCAACTGAATATCGGTGAAAACCCTAAAAACAAAAAATAAATAATCTTTAAATTTTAGTAAACCTTTCCAACATGATCGTGTATTCCACCCTCAAACATTTTTTCAAAAGTCAATTTTAACATATTTAATGCTTTATCCGCTTCAACTGAAGGTTTTTTAACTGCATAGAAATTTAGTAAAAAGTCCAAATCAACTGAAAACATTTTTAAGTTTTAAATTTTAGAAAAATAAAAACCAGTTTTGGGGAATTTTGGAGCAGAACCAAAACCACCAAAAGTGGAGTCAAACCGTTTAGAGAGCCATTCAAAACAAGCAATTAAAGCAGAAGCAGAATTTGGAAAGTTTTGTTTTTGTCCATCTTTAATTGTTGTTGTAGGTTCCAAAGCACTACGTAGTGACTCAGCAACTTGCCGGCCTTCAATACGCATTTGAACATTATTAATCTTCCATTTATCGGTAATCATTGTTAAAACAGAAGAAAATCCAAGACGGCCAAAAGAGTCGCGAGGTGGAAAATAAGTGCCGCCATATATAGGCTCAAGTTCGGGTGTAAGGAAAACACTCATTGGCCAGCCTCCACCACCAGTTAAGCTCTTAAAATAAACTAAATTATCCTAAATTAAATATTACAACAACCTGAACAAAAGTCATATAAAGTTTATCAACATCCGGACGTTCTTCTCTATCGACTTTAACACTAACAAAATTTTCATTCAAAATATTGGCAATTTCAACATCTTCAAAAGATTCATGCTCCATAACATGACACCAATGACAAGTTGAGTAGCCAACTGAAGAAAAAATCATATTAAAAAACAAACTAAAAACCTGATAAAAATATTGGCTTGTTTTCAATCTTCGCTTTTTTAAAAGCTTCATCTCCCCATGGATACCTTAAATAATATTTAAAATTATTTATTTATTGATAATTACCAGTTAACAGGATTTGTTGCATGTTGAAGCAAATACGGAGATTTTTCATTAAACAAAAGATTGGTTTTCTTTTCGGTAGACATTAACCTTTTATTGTATTTTGAAGGTAAATAATTATTAAACAAAAATCTTTTTGACAGAGCTGTAAATATTCTAAAATTTGGCATCTTAAATTAAATGTAAAAAAGTAAAAGAAATAACTCTTAGAGAAATATCAACTCAAACTGTAAAAATACATAACAATTATACTTTTAAAAATTATTTTATTTTAAAGGTATTAATTAAATTAAGAAAAATTTAATAATAAATTTATTTCTTACATGTTAATGTAAGATTGTAAATACATAAAAAAAACAAATATTTACAATAAAAATCTATATGGCATATAAAAATAATAATTCAAAATTTACATTCACATCCACAGCCGAGTGGGCATTGTGATTGTGTATCAAACCATGTTGCCAAATGTGTTAAATGTCCACCATGGCTACAAGTTACACAAGTTGTGACGATACCTGATTAGAAATAAAATTATTTTATATCTTTAAATAAGTTTACCTTTACAAGGACGTTCACATATAGAACAAACTAAAATAAAGAATTGGTAGAAAATAATCTCTGGGTAAAACGATATTTGTTAAAGCGCTTAATCCTAAATCGAAAACAAAAACAACAAAAACATCCCTTTACCAAAGAAATACTTTGAAAAATAATTTGTAAATAACACACCAATCGATGATGTTCTCCGTCCCTTTATGCAACAAAAAGAATCTCCTCTTCTTTGTTGTCCACAAAAGTGACACCAAATTAAAGCTATAAAAATTGTAATTTAAATAATTCAATTATTTTTTTTAACTTTTTATTATTTCAATTGACTCATCGTTTTTACCACTATCACAATGTTTAAGAACTTCAGCACATTTTTTATACATTCGCCATCGATAAAGAATATCAGCATATATACGTTTAACTTCATTAAACCGATTAGAAAGTGCTGGATCCAAAGACAATCTATCAAAAATTAATAATATTTACTATCAAACAACTTATAAAAATATACAAATTATTATTCCTTTCTTTCCTTGCAGGTAAAGTATAAGTTGTTTTTGGTTTTGGAGAGGAAGACGACAAGTATTCAGGGGAAGGAGATAAACGGTCAACAGTTGTAGTAATTGCTGCCTTTGCAGATGTTATTGCTTCTACATATTGTCTACCTCTAGTCGTGTAAAATTGATCAAGAGGAGCATCTTTAAAAAAGTTTTTAAATTAATTTTTAAAAAATTCCGATACTTGCTGAGAAAACAGCATTTGATGCCGCGGAAGTTTTACGGTTAAGATGTTGTGGAATTATTGCTGTAACATTATGTTCTGATATAGTAGTAATTGGCATAGAAGAAATATTTTGTTGCATATATAATGCAGCTGAAGAAGAGGAGGTTGAAATTGTTTTTGTTGTTGGTCTGATATTAATAGTGTTATCTTCAGTTGTTTTGCTTTGCTTAAGAATTCCAATTTTAGTATTGTCTGTCCATGTTGTTGATCTTCTACGAATCTTAATCCTTGGGATGTTGTTATTTTTTGTGACTAGAAATTGGAGTTTTTTTTAATAAAAAAAGAAAACATACTATTAAACAAGCAAATAATAACTGCGGCTGTTTGCAAATCAGATTTAGATACATAATGCTCTAATCTATAAATTTAAATTAAATTACAGGCAGGTAAAAAATTCTCTCAAATTAAAGAAAATAATTGTCGTATAAAATTATAAAATAGCTAGCCAAAAATTTATTAAAACCTACAATCTATTTATTAATTCTCTTCCCAATGGGTGAGAATTCCATGGAATTTCTGTTAATTCAACTGATCTAGCAGCGCGTAGAATTTTCGCAGATTCGATTTTGTAGAGACGGCCAAATTGCAGATGAACAGATTTTTTATTATCACCATTTTGTGCTGAAGAGAAAGGTTTTGAATAGGAAATTAATTGCTCAAGAAATTGCCACAGTGCTAATAAATCAGAACGACCACAACCATATTTAAGTACTTGTTCAAAATTATGACGACAAATTTCAGAAGGATTATCACCGAGTAATCTATAAAAATTCATAGTTAGTATAAATAAAGATTCAACCACTTGTATGTTTTGGCCAAGGGCTGTGAAATTGGAAGAAGAGTTGAAGCATCGTATATTAGAACAGTTGAATTAAATACCTTTAAAAATAAAATAAATAGAAAATCTATGAAGAATGATAGAGAAATACAGTTAAAACATGGCTCATATTAACAAAAAACATAGGTAAAGTACAAAATGTTAAAGAAAACTTTCAGTTAGAATATGAATACGACTCTTGGGTTAAAGTGTAAAAAAAAATATAACTTGTTCAGGCATAACCGCTGCTAGCCCTAAAAATAAATTTTCGTCAATTGACTGTTTATGAAACGTTGACGATGTAGTTAATTGCTCTACTGATGAAGATGTATCACCGACAGTTGTTTGTGGAAGTGCACTCGACATTGAATTACCTCGATGTCGAATAGAATGCATAACATTTTGAAGTGAGAAACTATGTCCATATGGTTCTATTATTGATGATGAATTTGGAGAAGTCTTAAATTAAAAACACCTTTAATAAATTTTGTATTTTAATAAACAGTTGCAGAAAAATTATAAACAAAAATACCCCAAAAACGCGTGAATCACTTATTATTGGTCTTTGTTGACTAATTTGTATAAATTGAGTTTTCTGTTGTTGTTGCGATTGCTTTGATGACTCAACTTCTCCCAATTTCTAGAAAGAATATGTAGTATTCTAGTTTTATATAGTAAAAACTTCTACCTTCTGATATTCCCCACTCACACCAGAACAGAGTTGATTCATTGACTCAGAAATACTATGAGGTTTTGACCCATGTGCAATAGTAGGGGGTATAACATAACTTATTGATCTTATTGGAGGAGAATACTGAAAAGATCCATTCCAAGTTGAAGAAGATTGGCGGAGACAAGACGGTGGCGTTGGGTTGACTATAAAATATCAATCTATTATTGAAAAATTTTATTTAAAAAAATCACCAAAAATACAATATTCAGCCAAGGAACGAGGATAAGGTGATTGACTTTCTGACTGTTGAAGACGAATACCATCGGATTTTATTCCTCCAGATTTTTCAATTTGCACGCCTCGCATTGATGCAGGCATAGGAACTATACGAGGAATACTTCGCTCTTCCCTTCTGTCATCAACTGTTAATTGATGTGAAACACCTCCACAAAAATCTTCATTCTTGCGAATATAAATATGATCAACAATTCCAAAAGCAACTAGATACCCTAAAAATATATTTGTATTTTTTATTTGTAAAAAGAAATTTGCCTGAACGATTAAATCGTGCTCCACAATTTCTAGGAGTGGGGACTCTACTATCATAAGGAGATGGTTTATATGAACAAGGAACTGCTTCCAATTGTTTATGATTAGGTGCTAATGCATCACTTTCACCAAAAATAATTGATCCCCTTTCAGTTGCTTCGGCAGCTAAGGAAGCAAGCAAATTTCTTTCATCACCGGTCGAATCAGATTGGGAACTTGCTTTCGAGGGATATTGGTTAGACGTATCAATAACTGATGAAGCAGAAGGAGGTGGGCCAAAAACCTGTTAGACTTAAAATTAGATTTAATATTATTAGTAAACCTTCATTAAGTCAATGATTTTAGGAAGTTGTTTAAGTACTCTACAAAGAACAGTTTGATCACTGGTAATTTTAAATTGTTCATCACATTCTTGCTGTAAAAGTGTGAGAAACAATGATGCCTTGGCTGACGTAAATGGGGAATCATTTTGTAAAATGTCAACAAATACCTAAATTTAAAAAAATTAGACATACATTATCAAAGAAATATTTAAAATGTATACCAATCCATTGTCAATAAATTCCTGAAATTATAAAATAATAATATTTTCTATAAAAATATTTTAAATAAATCAAACCCTGTGAAAGCGTAAGATCATGTTTATCTTTCGATATCTGTTGTAATGCATGTATGAAAAAGCGATTGCAGCACGCGTGAAGTTAACCTAAAAATAATTTTGAAGTATTTTTCTTCTTGTTTACCTCAGTTGTATAAAGACCTTCAGTTGTATGCTTTCTAAGTGCCTCTAATTCAGTTAACAGATCACCTCCTATTGTATTTGGTGCTTTAATCCAACGTTGCCATTCAGAATACTAAAAAATATATTTTAGAAAAATATGAAATTTATATTTGATAAATACACTGGGTGATTGTGGAATAGTGCTACCAACAGTAGAGGGGACTTGTTGATGTACTTTGATGGGACCGAGTGATGATGAAGAGGCAGATGCTGGAATAGTTCGTCGGGGGCAAACACTTCCTTCTTCAGTTTCAAGTGCCAAATTTTGACAAGCAGTGGGCGAAATTAATTTGTGTTCATCCTATTAAAATTGATTTCTGCTTTATAGATTACATGTTTGGAAAATGAAAGTTTTTCATGAGTAATTTTATTTTTTATTGAGGTCGTTTCAATAATCGACTAACGATAATCAAATGCAATAACTAATTTTACATTAAATTAAAAAATATTTCTCGTTTAATCGATACCATTTGATTATGTTGTTGTTGGACATGTTCGTCTTCAAAAGTTTTATTTTTCTCAAATTCAGAAGTTAATGTAGTGGTAATTTTATAATTTTCTGTATTATCAGATTCATTGCTTGATAAATTTTCAGCACCAAAAGCTTCAAATATAGAAAAATGGCGTCGTTCAAGTTCACTGGCAGAATGTTGGCGTTGTTCAGAAACCGCCACAAGCCTATCACTTTCTTCATCAGCTTTTGTTTGTAATATAGGAGTAGACATTTCATCCCGAAGTTCATTCTTTACAATAAATTTATAAATTATTTTAAAACAAATTATATACTGAAAATTCATAAGCAATTGCATGTCGACATAATTTGTGTTTAAGATTAGAAAGTGTATAGAGGAATTTGGTGGTTGATCTAAACATATAAAAGAATAACTTCCCAACGATGAATAATTTACTTTAATGTATTCGTTGATTTTAACCAAGCAGCGTCCATTAATGTATCTCTCTCAATCCCCTATTTATAAAATAAAAATAAAAAAATTGATTTATGAAAACCCGAAGAAGACGTGGATTTTCTAATCCATAATTTGAATAAAGTGCCAGTGCATTAACAGGTGGTAAAGACAATGCAGCCAATTCCTGACCTTCAAACTAAAAATGTGATTCAATTTAGACAAAAATTAAATTCAAACCGAAAAAACAAGTCTCCAAGCACTAAATTGGGCTACGCTTACAACTGTCGGTGAATTTTGTTGATTTGACATATTCCAAAGCTGATAAGAATATTTATTAAAAATAAGCAAAATAACTACCTTAAGTGTTGAATCATTCGCAGAAGTGAAAAAACTGTTAGGCATCTGGCAATGTCTGTAAAAGAATAAAAAATGAAACAAAGCCAAAATGGAAAAAACAAACGGATGCCAATCAAGACAAAGTACACGCGAATCATGGGCTGAAAATTGCATAATCGGATGAACAGTATGCTAAAAATGAAAATTTTATTCATGGTTACCAGCTGGGAATAAAAAAGTCGGGAATAAAAGATAAAAAAAAAGAATATTTAACAAATTATAATAAATATTAAAATAAAACCCTCAAATCCCATAGACGTGTATCAGACCCATGCGTTGTTAAAAGAAAATTTTGAAGATGAGGAGCAACTTTGGATTGGTTGGCGCCAAATGCAGCAGTTACTTGAAAACTCGGCTTGGTTAAATTAACACGTAAATCCCAACAATTGACATAATCAGATTCTCCACAGCTAATCTTTAAAAAAGTTGAAAAAATATTTAAATTCAGTGTTATCTATTGAAAAAAGAATGAACAATCTTTAATTCTAAAAAATATATTTATTGATACCATTAATTGTTCATCATGTGGACACCAGCAAAAATCAGAAACTTTTCTATTCTGAGCTGTAAATGAAGCTAACTGCTGAATTTGTGCGTGTTGTCCAAGTGTATAAATATCAATGTATTGGCCAGACTTGAGGAAAATTATTTAAAATAACTTTAAAAGATTAATCACCACACTAGCAAAACGTCCAGTCGCAATTACTGGATTGAATTTCAGCAAACGAACCAATGATCTATTTGTACGAATTTTTGTGATTGTACTAGTACTAGATGATCCCATAAGGTAAAGAGAGATTTGATTTGACCCTCCAACAATCAAGTACTCAGTATTTGCCAGAACATCCAATGCCGTCCCCTGAAAGGTTTTTTAAATGTTCGACAATGAACAATCTCCTTGTCAAACAACAAAGCTAATCCCAATCAAAATCATTTCCATAAAAAACCAAACCTACCCGAACATCCGCAGACATAAGTCCATCGCCTCGCATTACAACCATTATGTTCGTTCCATAAAACTAATTAAAAATGGATTTAATGTACATCAGGCTAGATTTAGAGAATTATTAAATATCAAACTCGATCTAATAATCTAATAAATGAGATAAACATAATATTCTAATTTTTTATCATCTAATGGGGCAGCAAAAAAATATGAAAAATACATAATTTTAAATAATAAAAAAATTTTCAAAATAAATTCAACAAATCATTTCTGAGCAACAAAATACCCGCAATAATAATTATACTGAAGCATAGAATCCTTATTCCACGTATACCGCGAAGGTGATTCTTTTTGTGACTCTTTATCAAGAACTTTTTCTAATTTAAATCCACATTGTTCAACAAGCCGTAGAATTGACTGAAAAAATTTATTTTAATTAAAAATTTTTATTTGTTAGTTTTTACATTAAACGGTAACTCCAAAGAAAGTGTATCATCAGAGTCCTCATGATGATAAGTTAAAGGACCAAAATTTAACCAAAAACCTCCCTTCCTCAAAATTTTATAGATTAATCGAATATAAGCAATCGGATTAGCTGCAGTGTCGAGAAAGAAAACGGAAACAACACTGTCAAAATGTTCCTCAGCATCTGAATAAGCTTGTAAAAAGTCACCAGCACACATTGCAAAGCCATTAGCCATGTTGTTAATATTCTCTCTTTCTGAAGAATTCTAATGAAAGATAGTTTTTTTCCTAATAAAATTATAAAAATTTTAAATACCTTATCTCCATCACTAAAATCAGCTGGATTTACATCAGGAAATTTAATTGGCTTTAATTGATCTTCATAGCACCAAGAATTTGAAAAATCCATTACATAAGGGTAAATAGTAAATTCCTCTTTCTTAAAGTTAAAGTAAAATAAAAAAAATTACTTTTATTTTTGATTTTAACCTCATGACAAGCATTCAAAATAAAATTTGAAGTCAATAACATAAAATATGAAAACCTTAAAATTTAAAAATAAATTATAAATAAATTAATTCCAACTCGTTCCCGGTGACAGAAAATCCCATTTTCCTCAGCTCCCAGGCTAGCCTAGCCAAACCAGCGCCAGTAACAAGAACTTGTATGTCCTGCCTATTCTGTTGATTATCTTCCGATTTAATAGGATAAAATGCCGCCATATCGTTTAGCACTAAACGGTAGCAAGACTCGCGCTCATGCGCTCCTTAAATCAAAGGACATATAAAGGAAATATTGTAGAAACCAACCATCTGCACTCCAATCACGGACAAGTTGTTTAAGGATACTTTTGCTTTTCGTCATATAATGTTCTGTTGAGGGATGCAATTGATGTGTCTCTAAGGCACTTTGAACACTTCCACCCAAAATATTAGCACCACAATGGACAATCATTTCGAGCAATCTTTTTAGAAAAATATTGAAATCAAATTTAATTTAAAAACTTTTGATTCTGTTCCACACATTCACGTACGCGCCTCATATGTTCAGTACAAGATGCCACAAGCAAAGCTTTGTCTTCTTCTAGAAGGCTTCTTAATAAAGAATTAAAAATAACATAAAATTCAAACCAAAAACCTTATAGCATCAGATCTTCGCTTCAATTTCATCAGGCAATATTGTCGATAATAGCGCATTGCATTAATTACTTTTTCAGCAGCCTCCACCTCAGCTTGTTCAGAATATTCATTTTCAAACTGCCTCAATTTATTTATAGATTCTTCACTAACTTCTGCAGAGAAAGTATCGGCAAGGTTTTTATCCATAAAAATGATCAAAATTAAAAAATAGCGAATTATCTTATTAACGATATTTTTTAAAACTTTATAATTTTTTTCACAAATTTTTTCCATCCATTTACAATTTCTATACCAGAGGTCGATCGGAAATGACGAAGGTGCTGGAAATCGAAGTGGCTCAAAAGTCGAAAATCGGAGATCAGCTCAAATTTTCGGAAATCGGAAGGAACAAACGTCTGAAACCGGAATTCCGATCAACCTAATTCAGACCAAAATGTGTTTACAAACACAATATTTTGGCGAGGAGGTTATTCCCCTCCTCTGTCTCAAAAAATTTAACCAAAACGCGAATAAATCGCGGTTATAAAAGTGGCTTGTAATACTGGAAATTAACTTTGAAAAAGAAAAAAATTTCTTAATACTGTTCGACGGGTTGAACATGCAATATAGAGTTTTAAATGGAAAAACTAAATAGCAGAGAAATACTAATGAAAAGATAATAAGGCTAGAGAAACTATATAAATTTATCTTATTCTAATATTTCTGTTTGTTTTTTTCTTCTTCTTTCACTATTTCTCCACATATTTTCTTGGGTTCAGCCCGAATAGTCGCAGGTCGATTATTCGCAGCCGAATAGTCGAATAGTCGCCGGCCGATTAGTCGCAAGGCTATATAGTCGACGGTCTCATAGCCGATTGACCGTGTTAAAGCCCAAAAAGGGCTTTAACAAATTATTATAATTTGCCTATTAATTAGAAATGTCTCATTTAACCAAATACAAATGTAATTAAAACACTAATTTATTAAATGGAGAAACCTAGAGCCCTAGAAACACAATTTATTTGTATAAATTGTCTTAATCCATCGTCGTCACTTTATACAGAATATAGTCGAGATGTTATTCGAATGACTGAATGTGTGGGTTTTGAAGAAATTGGCTATAAAAAATTTTTTTAGAAAAATTGTGGATTAATTGTTGACAAATACATTGAATATGACATTACCTTAATTATAATTGATTTGGTATATTTTTGAAATTTTTTAATTTTATTTTTTTAAAAGATTTTGCAATACAAATCTGCTTATCGTCACGTATTAATTAATCTTAATTTTAAAGTAAAATTTTTATTCAAAAAAATTATTTTTATTTCATTTTATTTTAGTCATTTTTTCGAATTATTTTCATTTTTCTCCTTTGTGACGCCTATGAAGATTGGATAGAAAGGAAATCATTAGCGGATCCTGTAAGGATTTTTTATGATTTGGAATGGACTTTTTATGAATGTCTTTTAAAAAGTTTAGTTGAATTTTTGGTTTATTCAATTTCTATTTATTTATTAATTAATTTATTAATTCAAATAAAACAAATAAAGGTAATTAATTAATTAAAAATTAATTTCTAAAAAAATTCAAAATTAGCCTAAAATCAAGAAATTTCTTCTCAAAACAAACAAAAATTATTTTGTTTTTTCTTTTGAATGTGCTTTAATTAGTTTTTACGGAAATTTATTTATTGTTTTTTCAATTATTTGGAAATTAAATGGACAATATTTTCATAAACTGCTTACACAATCTTTTTTATTTATTTCACATTTACAAATTCAAAAAGGTTTTTTAGACTTTTATTTAAAATTTTTTTTCAAATTTAAGCCCTTTATCCTGAATTTGGTTTTTGGAATATTTTAGCAATTTTAATTAGTATTTTATTTCAATTTGTAGCAGGATATTTTACACAAAAATATATCAAAATGTTTACAAACACGTTTTATTAATTTATTTTCTAATTAAATAATTTTTTTACAAAATATTTTGAATGTTTAAAAATATATAGAATATCTGAAAATATATAAATATTTGGAAAATCTTTTTTACGTTTATTTTATTTGTGGAAATGCCATTGACGGTTTGGAAGATTCGTCACTATCTTCTGATCGCCAAAGTTGTGTAACTGTTTTTATTTGCGTATAAAAATTTAGTCCTGCACGTCCATAAAAATTAGCATCTCCAAGAAAACTAAAATTTATATTTAAATATTTCAAAATTATTTTTCCTTTCTACCTTCCACGAGAGCCAGTAAATGAAAACATTGGAAGAGGTACTGGAATTGGGACATTAATTCCAACTTGTCCAACATCTATCTGTGAAGTGAATTTGTGGGCAGCAGCACCATTTCGAGTGAAAATTGCCGTACCATTTCCATAAGGGTTTGCATTGATTAAATTGACAGCATCATCCAAAGTGTCAACTTCGAGTACACAAAGGACAGGGCCAAAAATTTCTTCCTAAAAATTATTTTTGAAAAATATTAATTAAAATAAAGTTACTTTATAACAAAGCATTTCTGGTTTAACATCTGTAATCACAGTTGCTCCAACAAAATTTCCTTGTTCAAAACCATTCACTCTAATTCCTGTTCCATCCAATGGAACTTTAGCACCGTCTTTCTTTGCTGACTCAACTAATTCAACAATTCTCTTTTTAGCCTTCTGTGAAATTACTGGCCCAATTTCCGTTCTAGCGTCCCACCCCGGACCAACAACTAAACGACGGGCACGTTCAACCAATTCAGGAATCCATGCCCGGGCTTCACCAACAAAAACAGCAGTAGAAAGTGCCATACAGCGTTGCCCAGCAGCACCAAAAGCCGCGGCCGTGACCTTTTAAAAATACTTAAAAGGTTAAGATTTTAATTACCTGATTAAGTGCATGTTCTTTATTTGCGTCAGCCAAAACAACACCGTGATTTTTTGCACCCAAATTTGATTGCACACGTTTTCCCTGTCTGGCACCTTCCTCATAAATATATTTACCCTAAAGAAAAAATTCCTGAAAAAATATTGAAATGTTAAAAACCGCTTGATCACTGCCAACGAAGGAAATTGCTTTAATATCTGGATGTTGACAAATAAATTTCACAGCATCATGTGTTCCATGAATAACATTAACACATCCATCTGGTATGCCCGCTTCCTACAAAAAAAACAAATTAAAAGTAAATTTTTGTTCAACCTTTGCTAATTCAACAAGCATTAAAGTAGCACCAGGATCCTGCTCTGAAGGTTTTAACAACATTGTATTTCCGGCTACGAGAGATAGAGGCATCATCCATAGTGGAATCATCGCAGGAAAATTAAAAGGACAAATTCCTCAAAAATAATTTTTGTATTTTTCAACAATTAAATATTCAAACCCGCTGTAACTCCAAGTGGCAATCTCAAGCTATAAGTCTCCATATCTGCTGCAATACTGAAATAAAAAAATATTCGGTTTCTAAATTAAATTTCTTACTTTGGCAAATGTTCACCAAGTAACATACTTGAAGCATTACATGCAAATTCCACAACCTAAAAAATTATTCTAATTTTTGCATTCATTATACTTCAATTTAAACAAAACCTGTAATCCACGAAATACATCACCTTCAGCATCAGCAAGTGTTTTGCCTTGTTCACACGTGATATTCTCAGCAAGCTTTTTTTGATTCCGTTTAATCAGTTCTTGAAGCCTTAAAACCAAAGAAAATATTAATAAGATCAAAAGGCAATTATTCAACAAGATTTTTACCTAAACATGCATTGTTGTCTAGAAATTATTGAGGTATTTCGCCAAAGTTTAAATGCATCAAGACAAGAATTAACTGCACTCTCCATTTCTTCTCTAGTTGATTCTGGAACTTTACCAATCAACTCATTGGTAGCCTAAATTGATAATTGACATTAAAAGGTGAAATTAAAAATAATTACGCCTAGTGCAAATTTATTTTTAAGGAATTTACCGGATTAAATAAATCAACCCATTTATTAGTCTTTGACTGAACAGCTTTTCCATCAATCCAGAGTGGGACTGTTGACGAATTATTAGAAACAAAACGCTCGGAAAGAATCGTCAACCGTCTTGCAGCTAAAAACATCTCTTCAAATTAAAATTTTGGCGAAATCTTACACAAAATCTTGAATTGTTTAAAAATTATTATTAGAACAGAATATTCATCTGCCCCGGATATGTTCGGAGCTTAAATTAAAAAATGCTCGGGAATTGAAAATATGAAAATAACCCGAGTATTTATCACACTATTTATCAATCACCCCAAAGTAAAAAATATAGTATTTGTATTTTAAATAGTACACTACTTTAAAAAAATTAAATTTTTCTTAATGTCTTTTATGTATTGTCCCAGTCACATTTTTCCCTTTAAAAAGACTAATCAATCAATATTTGAAAAAAATTTGTTCAAGTAATATTAATACTTGTTATGTAAATCAATTAATAAAAAAATGTCAGAATTTTAAAATACAATCGCGAAAATATATTATCTCCACAAAAATTAACATAATACATATATTTATGATTGGAGAGATGTTTTTAAACCAAATTTTCTTCAATTCTTAAAAAAATTTAGTAAAAGAATTTTTAGTTCTCTCTAATCACACTAGCAAAATTATTTATTAAAAATTTGAGAATGGACGAGGCTAGATAAAAAACGAGAATACAAATTTATAAAAGAAGAACCCCAATTTTATGTCACACTACTTCCCCAACACATGATTTTTCATAAATTAGCAAAGTAATGTTTTTTTTTGAAACTTGCTTTCTTTTGGGTTTTAATTTTCCGTATTCATAACTAAAATATGACCTTAAATTTTATTTATATGTGGAAGAGTTTGCCAGAAATTGAGGTTACCTCTATTAAAAAATGAAAAGAGTAGTAGAGATGGGTGGGTAGATGAGTAGGATTTATTGTAAAACATTTATGTATAAAGTGGTAGTTTATGGAAAAACCTTTTTCTTACAATTTAGTTGAGTAGAAAATATAATATAGAATAATATTAAAATATAAAAATAGCAGGCATGTGGCCAATCAGCAGGAATAATTATTTTAGCGATTAAGGACTTTTCCTCGCATATGCTATACTTCGACATACAACTTCATCTACAGTTTGTTCAATAAGGCTGAGATTTTCAGCTGATGAAGGGGCGGCAGATAACGGTGAAGATTTTGGATGTATAATATGTTGTTGGATTTGAGAGTGTTGGTCAAGAAGTTGCTGTGTTGATTCATCTAGGTCCTCGTCGAATTGATTTTGTTCATCATTTGTTGGGGGTGTATCAGGAGGTGGGGTAATTGTTCGAATCTAAAAAATTTGCAACTTTTATTTAAATTTATTTAAAAATAAAGTAAAAAATTGACCTATTTTAGGGATTTTACACCATTCTTCTGTTTTAAATAACCTCTAATATATTTTTACCCTTTGATTTTAACATTTTAAGTATAACAGAAAACCCAATAATTAATAAAAGAAAGATATCCCAATTTTTTTAGCCTTTTCCTTTTTTCTAAATTAAACATCCATTTAATATTTTTATATATTTATATATTGTTGAACGTCTCCGTAAAATGGGAACGTCATATTTTGGAAAATATCAGTGTAATTATTTTGAAATGTTGAATTATTTGAGTTATTGTCGAAGAAATTATTTAGCTATAATTTAATTAAAGTATATACACAAATATTTTGGATTTTATTTTTAAAAACGGAAAAATTATTTGAAAATTACCTGCTGATAAGGAGCAGGCTCATCACATCCAAGTCCATTTCCATTTCGAGAGCGTCGACGTGCGTTCATGAAAAAATTAGAAACTGTGGACATATCCAACCTAAGATGCTCAGCAATTGTTTGTTGCATTTCACGACTCGGTCTTTGAGTTTCTTTGAAAATTGCCTAAAAATATTTTTATGAAAATATAAATTTATACTACTCAGAAAAACAATATTTGAACAATAAAATATACCTGCAATGTTCGTTTTTGAATATCAGTGAAAACAAGGCGTGGACGTTTTAAGGGCTGTCCGTCTTCACCAGCACTTCTTCGTCGATGATGATGACGTGAATTCTGTGCTGGCGTTGGTGGTGGAATAATGCCTGAGGGCATTGGACCTTAAAATTATATTTAATTACAATTTAGTTTCAAAATATTAACCTTTATACATATCCAAAATACTCAAACGAATGTGTAAAGGCTGTTGTAACCAATTGTACATTCGTTTAAATGTCTCACGGCCAGATTTTAGACGATTCCATGGCTTTGGATTACGCAAAAGATCAGAAAGAGTACCTTGACTACGGCATAGAATACGCTCAGCAAAAATAGCTTGGGGGATTGAATGTTGCTAAAATTAAATTTAAAAAATTAATCCAATTGTTGTTCAAAAAACCTTTAATTCGTAAGCAACTCGCTTACACAAATCTTTTGTATCGATATAAATTTCGTCGTCAATTTCAGCATTTAAAGGATCTACCATTCCTGATGATTGGTGATAAGAAGTCGGAGATACAATTCCTTAATTTAAAAGATAAAATAAACTTTAAATTTAATTCACCACTAGCAAGTTCAGACCCTAATGCGGCATAAACATCTATATTAACAGGATTGCTTGAAGCCTCCTGTGCTGCAGCAGCTAACTGATTATGTACAGCCGCATCCTCTTGCTGTTGTTGTTGAAGAAGTAATTGTTGTTGCTGTTGATTTTGAGACATTTTTGACTTAGAACGTCGTGGTGCAGGCATCGGAGAAGAAATAGCAGCAGGTGTAGGGGCATTTCCAGGGTGAATTAAATGTGGCTAAAAAATGTGAGTTTACATTATAAAAAATAATTTTGTTACTAACTATAAGGATATTCTCAAAATATATTTCTCAAAATACATCAAGAAACTATTATAAAACCTGAATCTGTAATCTCTGTTGGAGCGATTGTTGAGAATGGGCCGATTG